AATGGTGTTCGCCTCGTCCAGGGCGCCCCGCGCGGCCAGCGCGCCCTGCTGGGGGACGGCCAGTTGCAGCAAGCAAGCAGTGCCGCTCCAGTGTCGCTGGTCGGAATGACCGCGCGAACACGCGCCCAGACGCACGCCCACACTGACACACTCACACCCGCGCGCCTACAGTGACAGCCTCGCCTCACACTCGCACACTTACTCCGAGACACTCTATGCGCTCGCGGGGGGACGGCGGGGACGGCGGGGCCGACGACGAGTGTCGTCACATTGCCAGAGCAGCGCGGCGGCGAGGGCGGCGAGGGGCGACAAAGCTGGGTCTGTTTGCAAGGCGGGGGGAGGGGGAGGGGGAAGGAGCACCAGGGACTCCAGCCCTGGGGCGAGCGTCGTAAAGCTCGCGAGGCAGCTCAAAGATGGGCAGCACTGACACAATGCGGAGCGGGCCGGCGCGGGGCGGGGCGGGGCGGGGCGCCCTCGAGGCCCTGACTGCTACTTCTCGCCTCGCGTCTCGTCGACACCCTACCCCGCCCCGCGGACCGAGCGAGCCGAGAAGCGCGCAGGGTCGATTTTTATTTTTCCTCGTTGTCGGCCTGCTCATTACGAGGGGAGGGCTCGTCGCCGTCCTGCCATGGAGTCATGGAGTCCTCTCAGCGCCGCCCTCCCCGTCAATCGGCCCAATCAACCCGAGCCCGGCGTCGACCCTTCCCGTCCGCCCCGCCGCCCCGCCGGGCAGGTGTCGGCCTTGGCGGCGGCCTCGGTGGCGGCGGAGCGGAGGCGCCCGCTAACGATATTCAAACTTCATTCCCCCGTCCGCGGAGGTGTGCGGACAAAGGGGTCGCTGGCAGACGCCGGCGCGCCAGACGCCCCTATTCTCCGCGTCATCGGGCAGCGCCACGGCCTCCACGACCACCTCGCCAGCGGTGTCGCGCCCATTTGGGGGCCGCGCCATCTGTAGCCGCCACAGTCGCCACAGTCGCCACGCCACGGCCGAGGCTGATTCATATCTCTCTGCTGCAGCAGCGCCAACAGCGCGCTCTTTCGAGTGGCGCGCTTGGCCGCGGGGGAGACGGGGGGCTGGCACGGCCTGGCGCGGCCTGGCAGCGTCCCGGAGCCGCGGCGGCGTGGCGGCGTGGCGGTGGCAGCGAGATGAATGCAGCCCTGCGACATAACTTTACCGTCAAGGGCCCTTTAGTTTTCCTGCGGTTTTCTGCGCCGCGGCGCCACAGGTTAGATCGCCCCCCAGCCTCCTAGATAAGGAAGGGCCCCGCAGCGCGGCCCCGCACCACTGCCCCCCCCCCCCCCCGCACTCTTTCGCGCGCCAAAGAGGACGCCAGAGACCAAAGGCCGGAATTGGGTCGCGAGGAGGCCACGGCCACGGTTGGCCAGGAGCAGGAAAATAATCGCACAAGTCGTGCCCATCACCGTGCCGAACAAGGAGGCCGGCATCGGTTTCGGGAGGCCCCCGGCGGGTCGCGGATGGACTTCGTTGAACCGGAAACGGACCCCTCAGCGCCCCAAGCGGCCACCAGCTCGTGTGCCACCGGCAACAACGTTCTGGACGCGCCGTATCATCGCGATGAGCGCCGCTTGATGATTCGGAAGCGTTACTTCGGCCGATCTGCTTCACTGTTTGTTGCCGCCTGTGGTGCACCGTGTGCTTGTGCACGAGATGCCACGCCAAACTGTATCCTTTTCTCGGTAAAGGAGCGGGAGACGCCTGCCGCCTGCCGGCGGCCAGGCCCGTCGAGCGCGCCTGTTCGGCGGGCTGGCCTACCCCCGACTCGTCGGGCGCTGAGGCTCGGCCTCCCCCCGGACGCAGCGCGCGGCGCAGAGAGTGACGGCCAGGGTCGCGCTTTGACGAGTACGGCGGTGGCGGCGGCGGTGGCGGTCGGCACATGTCCCTTCCACTTAGCGGGACGACGCGGGCCTCTGCGGCAAGGGGCGCGTCGTAAAACGAGCAGGCTTTGGGGTGGCCGGGCCTGCCGGGCCCGCCGGCCCGGGCGGAGGCTTTGGGTCGAAGGGTGAGCAGAGCAGCCAGCGCCAAAGTGGAGGTCAATGGAGTAGTTGGCGGGGCGGGGCGGGGCGGGGAAGGGCGCGCCAGTGTCAGCTTAGCGTCACGGCGTGACTTGGGGACGGCGACGACGAGGGGCTCGGAGGAGGCGGGGGCAGCGCGGGGCAGCGCGGGGCACCGGAAGGGCGGTGGTAATGACCAGGCCGACCAGCGACAGGAAATAAGTAATAACTCGAGTCGTGTCCGTGTGTCGGTGTCTGTGTGTGTGTGCGTGGTGTACAGCGGCGGTGCAATCATGAGCGAAAAGGGCCTTTGTTGGTCTGCTCGCCGATCCTAATTCAATCATCGACACCCCTCTCCTCCCTCCCCCCTCCGCGCCCGAATACCGCGAATGCCGAATTCGAGAGCCGCCGAAACGCCAAAACAGCGGCCCGGTACACGGATTCCGAAGAGTCGTCGTTTCGTCGCCCTCTTTGTCGCGCTCATCGGGCGTGCCGCTGGGGTGGGAGAGAGACCGAGCGACGAAACAACTCTTGGAAATCGGCCGCCCGCCGCGCCCGGCCACGCGGATGGCGACGCGGCCGCGACAAGCTTTGGAAAGCAAACACATTCATGAATGAATATGGTTCAGCCCAGCGCAACCAGGCCGGTGCCACCCGGAGCCTGCCGCCAGAGCCTGCCGAGCCACGAACAAAACGCGGCGGGAAAAACCGAACGGAACGGGACGGGATGGAACGGGACGGAACGGGATGGAACGGAACGGGACGAAACGGGGCGACTTGGAATGTATGAGCAGCGCCTGTTTTATTCATGTCGGGCCTACACTGGCCTCACTGGCCTGCAGGGTGTAGGGCCAGGAGGCCGGTTGGTGCGTTGGGTATTGAAAGGGAATGAGGCATGATAGGGCCATAAGGACGGCGGGGAGGGAGGGGGCAAGTACACGGCCGGGCCCAGGGCGTGAGCAGAACCCTGCAGGGCCCGGGCGCGGGGCCCAGGGCCGCGGACGAGGCTACCGTTTTATAGGCTCGGCCACAAGGCGTGCGGGGCGTGCGGGGCGTGGGGGGCGGGCAGCGCGACGATGGAGAGGTACGAAACGGCGCGTTCCGGAGTCCCGGCCCCCTGAGTCATCACGCGGACGCAGTCACGGCGCCAACCTCTTGACGGCGACGGCCTCCTCGACGACTTGCAGCCGCGCCCCGCGCCCCGCACACCCCGCGGCAGAAGCGCAGCCGACTACAAAGTTTGCCGCGAATCGCGCCGCACCGGACGCCGCCGACTGGGAGGGGGAGGAGTGGGGGAGGTGGCCAAGTTTCTTTTCCCTCAATTTAGAGTTAATTGGGGGTAGTCTCGGAGGGAGGAGGGAAAAAATGTGGCGAGCCTTCGCGGGCGCTGCGTGAGCGCGTTAGCGGCCTGCTGCGTGGGCGGCGGCCAGTAAGGCCAGCAAGGCCAGTAAGGCCAGCAAGGCCAGCAGCTTGGCCGGCGGCGCGCGCAACCTGGCCGCCTGGCCGCCCCCGCCCCGCTGCTGGCGCTGCGTCTAATCGCTTTATTTTATGTAATCACTCCACTTGGCCCTGACGGCGTCGTCTCTACAGCAGTAGTGGCTCCGGCTCTGGGGCCGGGCAGGGGAACGGAGACCCCCCCCCCTTTTCCCTTCACCCCCCACTCGACTCACTTCATTCCTCTGCAATGAGGGAAGTCCCGCCCGACGCTGGATGAAGGCAGCTGGAGACTCGACTCCAGCGGCGCGCTCTGCCCGTAGTGGGACGTGGCGGGGCGTGGCGGGGCGTGGCGGGGCGTGGCGGGGCGTGGCGGGGCGTGGCGGGGCGGTGCGTAAGCTGGTTACAACGACGCCGCATAATTGTTTGTCGTCGGGACGCTGGCCGGCGGCGCTGCCTGGACGGACGCTCGCGGAGACGGAGGGACGAGGGCGGCATAATTCATGAAACGAAGCCTCAGTCGAGTCCACCGCCGTCCACCGCCACCCGCGAGACGAGGAGACGGGGCTCGGGACGACGCGGCGCGGACCGAAATCCTCAGAGACCTTCGCGCGCGCCTGCCTTGCCTTCTTCCACTGCCCTACTCTCCAAAAAACAACAACAAAACAGGGGAAAAACAACGCGGCCCTCGAAAATAAACTTGGAAAAAGCACCCCGGGAATGTGCGGCTGCGAAGAGTCAGAGGACTCTCCCTCCCTCTCTCTCTGTCTCTCTCTCCATTTGTGCTGCGGTGGGTAGATTATTCGGGCCTCCGTGGAGGGAGGCCGAGGGCCGCCCCGCTCTCTCTCCGCTCTTACTCCCTCTCTCCCTCTGCAGGCCGCCACCGTGACCCGCCGCCTAACGTGACGACGATGTGGTGACCGATTAGAAGCACGTGCTGGCCGACGTGCTGGCGGGCGGCCCTAGAGTGGACTCAAAATCGGCATCACGCACCAGCCGGAGCAGCCCGGCCTTAGGCCTGGCCTTAGGCGTAGCAGCCCCCGCCCTCGCCGTGCCCTTCCGCGAAGCCTCGGGGGCCGCCCATAAATTTGCCCCTGCTCAGTGGGCTAACGGGCCAAGGCAGCCAAGCCAGCACCCTCAGCAGGCTCAGCAGGGGGGCGCCTATTTTTTACCTGCCCCTGTGGCCTGCACTGCATTAACATAACTCACACGTAGGGTCTGATTGGCACGGTTCGCCCCCCGCGGCACCGCCCGCGCCCCGCCGAACCACCCCTTGTTCAATCACCTAATCTACGCTCGGGATCGCAACGCCTCCGCACAACGAAAAATAGAACGCAGGTTTGATTTATGACGAGCTCTGGGAGGGACGCAGAGTGAAGGCCCGCACCTCTACTCTGCTAAGGTTTACGAAACCGATGGCACTGTTGGTTTAACGGACACACTTTGTCCCTTGCGGCGCGACCCCCGGACAAAACTACCCGCTTCGATGCGAAAGTCGGAAATGACAGCTATCGGAAATGCGACGTGGTTTGGAGCGGTGCGGAGTGACTCACGGGTGCGGGTCCTCGGGGTCCTCGGGGTCCTCGGGCAGCACGTGGCCGTCGACGTCGTCCGGGTGCGCTGGGAGGTGCAGACCAAGGTCGACCGGAGGCGTCGGGGGTTGCAGCGCGAGTGAGCAGGGGCTGCTCCGCCTGCTCCGCGTCGCCCCCAGCAGGCCGCCGCCGATCCGCGGTGCGCGCCGAGAGGGCGGTGGGGGCGGCCCGGGGGCAGGCCCGGGGGGCGGGCGGGGGCGGCGCCGAGCAGGGCCGGGGCAGGCCTTTGCAACCGCACCTGTCCGCTCGCCATGTCCGCCATGTCCCCCTGGGCAGTAGCCCGAATGCAGAGTCAACAGTTCCGACCGACAAAACAGCGGCCTCCACCAATTTTTATTTTCATCTCTCTCCCCGCTAGCCTTTTTGTGGTGTCCAGCGTCCGGCCGCGTGAGCGTAAATCCATCCATCCGCACCGGAATAAAATGGAAATCAAATTCCCATGTGGCAGCGATTCCCACAACTTTGTCACGACTTTCGACTTGTTTAGGGCCTGCCTCTCTGGCAGCCAGTGGCAGTGAGCGGCTCGGCCGCGCAGGGAAGTCCAACCCGCGGGGTATCGACGACGCGACGCCGCTCGTGGTGCCCCCTGGCGTTCCTGGCGGTGGCAGCGGCGGCCGGGGGGCCGGACGGGCCGCACGCCGCGGGGTATCGCAGAGACGCGGCGCGGCAAGGAGGGGCGCGGAGTAGCGCCACCGAACGCAGCAACGCCGCGCCGCTTATCTCCGCCGCGGCGTGGTATTGGCCGCAGGAGGAGAGAAAGGGCGAGGGGGAAGGATTTCAAAAGAGTTTATTTGTAGAACTGCTCAATTTATTGCGAGGGCATCGCCCCTAAAGATAATACAGCCTTCGGAAAACACAGGAACAAGAGCGGAGCCGATTTTCACGTAACTACACATAGGGGCAGCCATGCCACCGTTAAAAACTAACAAATCAAAAAATACAAATAAATATTTACACAATACCATGGGAGGGAGGTTTCGCCGTCCCTGTAAAAACTCTCCGAGCGAAACGAAAACATCCGTCCGGCATCGGATGGACGTCGATCGACGTCAACGCGACGAGTCGGCAGCGCCAGGCAGTGCCGTGCCGATCTAGGTCACCGGTTTTCGTTCTGGGGATGCCGCTTTGTCGCTGCACTGTGTTGCACTTGGCGTGCCACAGTGGGCCAGAAGACCAGTGGAGGCGGACAAAACTCTAGATGCGTTTTGAGCTCCAGAGCCGCAAAATGAGACTCGCGAACCGAACGTGTCACCCCACCGATGGATTGCTCTCCGAACAAGGAATCCATTGGTGGGATCACACGTTGGGTTCAAGGCCTGTTTAGCGACTCTGGAGCTCAAAACGCGTCGAGAGTTTTGTCCACCTCCACCGGTCTTCTGGCCCACTGTGCGTGCGGCTACTCGTCACCCCCTCCCCCTCCCCCTTCCTCCTCGTAATACTGCAACGGGCGCTCCGGGCGCCGCGGCTCCGCGGCTACGCCTCCGTGCTGTGGATGGAGTTGTCGTGCTCGGAGCTGCAGGGCCGCGCGCCTCGCGTGCCGCGCTCCCTGTCCACCTCGCCGATGAACCTCTGCCAGCGTGTCGCCAGCGCGGCCAGGGCCTCCTCCTTCTCAACCTCGCCCATGGCACTGTACCTGCACCAGAAGATCGGGGAGTTAGTGTTTGTTTTCGCACGGATTGTAAAGAAATGTGAGGCCTCTTCTTCCGGAGCCACGGCTTACTGGATGGAATTGATGGCGAGTTGCTTGAGAGTGCGGAGGTCCGCCTTGAGCCCCGCCATGCCCAAGAAGGCCTCGTAGAAGTCGTAGCTCAGGCCCTTGGCGTCCCACAAGCCGGGGTCGTCGCTGCCGATCACCAGGGGGTAGTCGTCGGCCAGCAGGGCGGCGCCCGGGTGGTTGCGGAGGTCCTGCACCAGGTTCAAAACCTGCAGGGAAAGAGGGTAAGTCGTGTGTGTTTGAACCAGCCGCCAGCCCGCCACTCGGAGCACTGCCGCCTCACCTGGTTGGAGATGGGGTTCAGCTCGATGGCGATGCCCCTCTTCTTGACGGCCTCCATGACCATGGGGTGCTTGTCGATGGCGTAGCCGTGGCCGATGCGCGTCGTGTTCAGCATCACGGCGTCCACCAAGTTCTCGTCCGTCGACGACTGTTCCCAGTCTGAAACATTTTGTTGAGTATAAACAGGTTTCCAAGACCTAGTCGCGTATCCGCGAATTTTTCACACTCACTCGTCTCTCCGGCGTGGAAGAAGTACTTGACGTCCGGCAGGTCCTGGCGCAGCTGCAGCAGTGCGGGCACGAAGTCGATGAGGGGGTTGCCGTCGTCCTCGTGCGCCACCAGGTCGAAGCCCGCCACGAAGTCCGGGAGGGCCTTCTTCAGCTTGCGGAAGAACACGAGGTACTCGCGCACCTGGCTAGCCTGTGTGACGGGGACAAGCACTTGAGTGACCCGCTCTGGCGCTGGCCTGAAGCACCTGGACGCCGCACGCGCGAAACGGCGCCCCGAACACAGTTATCGGATCTCCAATCGCTCCTTTTTCTCGTTTGAAAGACATGATTTTGTTGCGGTTGGTCTAGCCGGGGCGCCGGTCGGCGCGTGGGCCGGGCGCGGAGTGGTAAAACACTAACTGCGTCATTCTAGCACTAACTGAGACGTGGCGACTCGGAGCGTATATCAACCTGACGCCGAGGAAGTCCGGGTGGACCTTCTTGAAGCGCTCGGCCACCTCCTGGTAAATGGCCGCCACCTGCATCTGGTCGTACTGCGTGCCGTCGAGCTCGAAGACCTGCCGGGGAAGCAAAACGTTGTCGCTACGGTTTCGCTCACGCCTTCATCGAAGCTGCAGGTGGTTGGTTACGCACTGGGGGGAGGACTCCTCGAATTTCGACGTACATGACGTTGTCCTCGTAGTAGTCCTGCAGGGTGCGCCAGAAGTAGTCGCGGAACACGCCGGCGAAGGTGAGCGTGGAGAAGATGAGTGTGAAGCGTTGGTCGAAGGCGTGCCACACACTCGCCTGGTCGGGGTACGCCACTGCAACAGAATCCCGGCTCTGCGGTCACAACGAGAGCGCACGCAAGAGTCGAAGAGAGACGCGGTTCGCGCAGTACGCACCGTGAGGGTTGGAGTTGCAGATCACGAAGGCCTCCCTGATCCTGGCGTCGAACGCCTCCGCGGAGGGCGCCGCCGCGCGCAGCTCATTCACCAGCTTCCAGTCGGCCGCGGGGGCCTCCAGGGAGAAGCGCAGGTTGACGGAGTCGGGCGTGATGCGGCCCCACAGGTGGTCGCGGTACGCCACGTCCTTGACGATGAAGTCGGTGTTGGCGGCGGAGAGGTCGTGAGCGTGCAGCACGGCGCCTGGCGGCAGAACGGCCAAGACGGCGCGAGATCAACATGGGCCCGCCGGCCCGCCGCGGCGCAGCGCCCAGCCTGCGCGTCAGCGCCACACAGCAGCCTCAGCGATAAAGTTGTTGTAACAATTAATTTACGTTATCTGCGCGGGGAAAGAAAACACTGGCGTTTGGAAACTCTTTTTTGATGCCGTCGTTATCGGCGCGGAAGGGCGGGTTCGGCGGTAAACGCCCCATCCATGGGGCTGGTGGCCAGGTGAGTGCTGGACTCACCCTTGGGCATGCGCTTGATGAACTGGAACACGCGCGACTGCTCGATGCGCGGCTTCATGAGGAAGAACGAGTGCGCGGGCGGGAAGTCGGCCTCGGCCACGTTGTACTCGTGCCGCTTCCACTCCATGAGCTTGGCGTTGACGCGCTCCTCCGCCGCGCTCAGCTCCAGCCGGCTGCCCAGGAAGCGCTGCGACTCTTGCGACAGGAACTTGGTCCGCTCGACCAGGTAGCGGAGTCCCGGCGGGGGCCAGTTGGCGGCGCGGGCGGCCGGCGGCTCGGGCACGGCCCAGGGCGCCGCCGAGCACCGCGAAGGCAGCACCGCGGCCACGGCGAGCGCCGCCAGCACCGCGTGCACCGCGCGCACCGCGGCCATGGGGGTCGGCAGGGCTGAAGGCTGGTGGACGCACAGCAAGGCGGACAGTCGCACGACGGCGTGGCGAGGCGGCCGGCCGGCAAGAGTCGGGCTGCGAAGGGAAGGCACGGAGCGAACCGGGTGAGACGAGTGGCGCGTGCGGGCGAGCGCGACAGACAGACTGATCTCATGGCGCGAGGCGCAAGGCACTCGGGCCACCGATGTGATTTGCAGAAGAGTGGCGCCGCTGCCGCGGCCTATCTGATAACTCGATCTCCACGAGTGGCAGTGCCGGCCGGGCGCACGCCGCGACCCCCGCGGACTGCTACTGGGCGGCCGAGGCGGCGCGACCCTGCAGGCCAGGGACTTAACGCGCGGACAAGAGAGGTCCGTTCCGTTTTCGGCAATCTTATCCATCTTGATGGGAAATGTGTCGGATCATCGATCGACTGACACGCGACGCGCCTCAAGCAAACAGCAGGCCGATCACAAACAGCAGTGTCGTTGTCTCTCTCGCACTCACGGGGCGTCCATCCCGTGCGAGAGAGACGGAGCACACGGCAGATCGCGCTGATCCTTGTTGTTTTGCACGGTTCGTTGCAAAAACAGAACCCTCCTCTTTCAAGCTGCATTTCAAATTTAAATATAGATCCGTTCTCGACTCCTCGGCGTCTATGACGCCACTAGGGAAAAGATCTTTCTAAAGTCATCCAGGGCAGTATGACGATGACCGTCCGCGTCGACAACATCCATCATCCGCGTCAGAGGTAACTTTAACGCCCAAGACACCGAGATGGCGAGGTTTCACCATGAGAGAAGGGCGCCCTCATGGTTTCACTCGCGCCCTTCGAAAGTACCTTTTGTTGTTGTCACGCCGGCCAAAATCGAACCCGCGTCCGACTGTTCACTTGGAAGACGGGCGCGCTGTGCTACGCTGTGCTGCGGGCGCGCGGTGGTGGTCCACTGGTGGACTGGGATTGGGTCGAGGAGAGCAGGGCGAGCAGGCCGCGGTGGACAGCTGCTGCAGCCAAGTGATGTGCACTGCAGGCCGAAGCAGGCCGAAGGCGGTGGGGGGTTCCTTCCGCCCCCGCCCCGCCTCGCCCCCACCCCGCCTCACCGCCGGCCGCGCGGCCTGGGCCCGATGCACTGCGACGAGGAGACAAGTCATCGCCTCATGGCCGGTGGCCGTCAGCCGAGCCATCATCAGTGCCCGGCATCCGCCGTGGATTGATTTGCATGCAGTACAGTGCTCCCGTCACTCTGGCTCTCTCGCACCCATGGGGCGTTACGCAGGGGTGCGACAGAGACACTTGAAGAAGCGCTGTCAGTAATCATAGGTCTGCTGGCGCGAACCGGTGCTGTAATGACGCGAGCTGAGCGTGAGGCAGCAACCCGCGGAATCGGGCCGGGCTCGGCCGGGACAACAACAAACTCCCCGCGGTGTGCCGGTGCTGGACTGCCTGCCGCTCCTCGTTGCGGCGACCCTGCCACCGCGACACCGCGACGCCGCGACGCCGCGCTGCAAGTGGCGATGACTCAATTAGGCCGCTACGCGCCACGCGGACAAAGTGTGTGTGTGTGTGTGTGTGAGTGTGCGTGTGCGTGTGTGTGTGTGTGTGTGTGTGTGTGTGAGAGAGAGAGAGAGAGAGAGAGAGAGAGAGAGAGAGAGAGAGAGAGAGAGAGAGAGAGAGCGGCGGGCTGGGCTGCAATTTCACTTCGATCGGTCCGCGTTTTGCCGGTGATTCTCCACGCCGGGCCCGTCGTCGCTCGCCATTCCGGGACTGGCTGGCAACACGGCGGGTGACAACGTCGCGACGAAAAAAAATCCTCCCGGGATTCGAACCCGCAGCGCGGCCGCTGATGGTGACTGCGGACGATGGGGACGTCAGCGGCGATTTCCACGTCGACGATGCTCCGTCCGATCTGCTGTGGGAAGCGCTGTTGGACGACTCGATACAAGAGGTAGGCAACGAAACCGTTTTTATTAAGTGAGAAACGAAAATGCGTCTGGGAATTGGAAAGTTACCCCTTTTCTCTCCGCTTTCGCTAGATGTTGCCTGCCTCCTTCTTTGGAAGTAATTCTTTCGCGAATTCTTTTTGCTCGCTGCCGCCCTGTGTTGTTAGACTTTTAGAACCGCGCTGACCCGGGTGAGACCTTAACCGTATGCAGGCGGCGGCCGGTGGACCACCGCCCACCGCCGTGCAGGCGGAGCAGGCTGATTCCAGACACCCTCGTCGCTCTGTCTGCACAGAGACGAGAGGCTGTGCGGAGTGGAATCAGTCTGCAGGCTTAGGTTGACACGCTCCGTGTCTTTGCCGTCAGGCCGCGTCGCAGGAGGTGGTTGACGCCGTCGACAGCGGCGTGGTGCTGGCGGCGGTAGTGATGGCGGTGCTGGCCGTGCTGTCCCTGGCCATCGCCCTCTCCTTGCGGCCCTCCAGGGCGCCGCGGAGCGACGGAGTCCGCGCCTCGCGCCTCGGAGTGCACGGAGTGCACGGATACACCGCCAACCCGCACCGGAAGCATTCCGCCGCGTGACACACATTTGGGGCAGTCAATAAAACGAACGGCTATATTCGACTTTGGCTTTTATTAGAATAAGATTCTTATAGAGTAGACACACGGCAGTGGTTCTTTGCGAAACCACAGCTCGATCGTCTGATAAATTACATGGTCTTTAATAAACAAACCCCTGCAGAAGTGCAGAAATGACCTCGTCGCCACAGCGCATGGGTTTGGGAAGATCAGTCTGTTCGCTGGCGCGGTCCGTCACCGCGGTCACCACATGGGCATGAACTCGGGGCTCCAGTCCCTGCCCAGCACCCTGGACACGCTGGCGCACGTGGAGGCCAGGTCGTGCACGCCGTCCTCCACGAGGCACTCCTCCATGACGACGAGCTGCGAGAGCCGCGGACCGCACGCCTCGGCCAGGCGCACCAGGGCGCTGCACGTCACCTGGCACTCGGCCAGGCCCAGCGACGACAGCTGCTGGCAGTTGGTGGCCACGTCCAGCAGCTGCTTGTCGATGACGGAGTTGCCGTTGGCGCCCACCACCAGCTCCACGAGGCGGGGGCAGAACGCGCCCACGCGGCCTGCAAAGTGCAAGTGCAAGGGCGAGGGTTCAAACACCGCGCTCTGCAGCACGCTTTCGCTGTCCGGGGATGGGAGCCGCGCCGGCCGGGTAGGCAACCCATCCGGCGGCGCCACGAGTGCGAGTGGAGGGGACGGCGCGGCGTCTGGTGCGTCTGGTCGGCAGTCAGCGGCGCGAAAGGCATGGCTTTACGTCAAGATGAATGGGTCGGCACGCGTACGTGACGCGCCGTTAGTCGCCATGCCAACCATCAGCTGACTCCGAACAGTCGCTCCGTCTCCCTCGCACTCATTCGACTGCCGGTGTAAACAAGGAACCTACTGAGCACGGACGTGGGCACGTAGTCCCCGAAGTAGAGGTGGGTGACGGGGATGTAGGACGTGAACAGGTTGTCGAAGGACTCGTCCTGGATGGCGAACAGGTACATGACGAGGTTGAGCTGCGGCGAGTGCGCCACCAGGGCGCGCCAGGACGACGAGGCGATGGGCCGCAGCGCCGTGTCGGCGTCCGTGTACACGTCCACGCGCAGCACCTGTCCGAAAGCCGAGGGTCCAGGGTTCGAGTACTCGCAGTGCCGTCGCATTTCGGTGTGTTTAAGTTTGTCGCGGTGGCGGGACCTTACCTCCAGGCATACGTGCCGCTCGGAGGACAGGGCGTTGAGGAGGTCGTCGCTGAGCAGCGTGTAGCTGATGGACAGCTCGCGCAGGCAGCGGCAGTGGTCGACCAGCGCCAGGACACCTGCAGCACCAGGAAGAGAGTTTTGAACGCCTTTCGCAATTCTAGTGTTAGCGTTGACGGGCCCGTGTACCGAGTGCCATCTTCTAAACCGCTTGGTGCGCCTGCGCCGCCACTGGTTACTATGGTGTTTTTAAGCGGTCCTCTTTGAGCATAGCTTTGCACGAAATTAAACACACAATGAACAAAGTCGTGCGTCGCTAAGCACGACATTGTATGAAGTTACGCATGAATTCGTGCATTTCACGCGTTTGCTCAATGCATTGCCCAGAATGCTACATAAATATTTACTGTGCCTATATCTGCGATCAGGTGGCCCCAGCCCAGCCTCCCCGCCTGAAGCCACCTGAAGCCCCAGACGTGGTGGCTGCGGGCCGCCCCGCCTGTTCGGCGCGTTCTTCCACTGTGAATCACGGTCCCGATCTACGCCGCACCGCACCGCCCCAGAGCACAGTGGGCCCTGGAGGCGGCCAAAACTCTAGACGCGTTTTGAGCCCCAGAGTCGCTGAACAGGACGCGAACCGAACGTGCGACCCCACCAATGGATTCCTCGTTTGAAGTGCAATCCATTGGTGGGATCACACGTCCGGTTCGAGTCCCATTTAGCGACTCTGGAGCTCAAAACGCGTCCGTGATTTTGGCCGCCTCCACCGGTCTTCTGGCCCACTGTGCAGAGGCGGCGTGGCGGGGCGAGGCCCGGCGTGGCCTCCTCCACTCTCGCTACAGTACCTCCGGGTGACAGCCGGGGGCAGCTCTTGCAGCGCAGCAGCTGCAGCGACCCCGCCGAGCTGGAGCCCACGCCGGCGAGGGCCTGCAGCGAGGGGTCGTCCACCAGCGTGTGGTCCACGGCCAGCGCGCGCAGCGACGGCGACGAGTGGTCCAGCACGAGCGTGAGCGCCGAGGCGAACTGCTTCTCCTCCGCGCCGTCCACGTCGAGCAGCGAGGGCCGCGCCGCGCCCGACATGAGCGCCAGCGTCTTGAGCGAGCACTTGACGAGGCGGGCCAGGATGCGGCACGCGCCCCGCGCCGACTCGGCCGAGCTGTCCGTCCGCAGCACCACGAACTTGAGGTGCTGCGCGTGCTCCTCGAGGATGAAGTTGACCAGCGCGGGCGGCGTCGGCTCCGGCCTGGCGGGCAGGTTCAGCAACTTTCAAGTAACAAATTTTGACACAAGGGTTTTTCGTTGTAGGAAAAGCTTGAGAAAAAGTGAGGGCGAGGCAAGTTTCTCACCTGAGGGTGCTCCCGAGCACGAACTCGGCCGTCCTCCACAGGCAGGGCTCCTGCGACGCGCGCCGCCAGCCCCGGCACACCTGCGCGCACCGGCCCAGGTCCTGCAGCGCCAGCAGCTGGAAGATGGTGATGAGGAGGTCGGTGGGCAGCTGCGACCAGTCCTGCTCCCCTGCAACTCGGAGAAGTGGGTGAGCTTCGTGACAGCGACCCCTTTGCGGCAAGGCGGAACTAAGCTGTCGGAGTGGCATGAGCAGCTGGGACTCACTCTGGTTTGCAACCCCCGGGTCAGCAGTGTTTTGCCTTCCAAGGGTGTCCTTGGGGCTGAAGGCGTCCCCGACATCGCGCCCCTGGTTCAGGCGGCCGTGGTCGTGGCCCAGCCGCGCGGTCCTGGAGGCGGACGACGACGCGCCCTGCAGCCCCAGCGCGCCAAGGCGGTGATGTCGAGAGGGCGGCGCTCTGCGCACGTCGCTAGGCCTGCCCCACACCAGCGCGCGCGGCCACCAACCCGTGTCCACGCCGTCGAGGCCCCGTCCGGCCTCGGGCACCGGCCCCTCCGCCTCCACCGGGGAGTCATCGTCGGCGAGGTCCGCGTCGTGCAACGTCCCAAACGGCCCCACCGCGGCCTGGGCCTGGTGCCGGTCCAACACCCCGGCGTCTAGCCATTCCTCGTCGTCGTCCTCCTCGTCGTCGTCATCCTTGAACTCGGCGGCCGGCACCGCGGCCGGCACCTCGGCGTCGAGGCGCCGGCGCTTGGACCCGCTGCGTCGCGCCAACCGGCCAATGCTGTTCAGGCTTCCTGTCAAGCAGACGCCACACATTATCCAACAAAAGCCGAAAAGCGACGGCCGTTCCGGTATTCGAACCTGGACCCAGGACGTACCAGTCATGTAGCAGCAGCTTGGCTTCATCCTGCGTCTCCTCCTGGCGTCCTCATCCTGGCGTCTGGCGCGCTCCTCCCGGGCCTGCGCGACGGGCGCGGCGGAAGATTATCAAAGGCCTGTGTCAACAGTGAAAGAGGCGACTCAAAATGTGTGTAAATTTCCTCGGACTTGGGCCTTTCCGCCGTTCTTGGCTACGCCAGCTACGCCCTTGGTTCCCACGCCTCGCCCCGCCCCACCCGCCCCGCCCGCCACTGACCCTAACCTTCCGCAAGGCCGACTTGCGCCTCTCTCTGCCTCGTCCCGACACGGTCCCGACGTCGCCGTGGTCGGCGCCATTCGGCCCATTCGGCGCGGCGCATCGCGGCGCCGATCAGCCGCCGAGCGGCACGAGTGCGGCCGAAGCCGAGCCGAAGCGCGGCGCGGCGCGGAGCGGGGGGCCGTGCGGGGTGCGGGCCCAAGTCGCGCAGGGTCGGACAGCCGGGACCGCCAGCAGGCCGCCACGCCGCGGCACTGCCAGCAGCACCAGCAGCGCGACACGTGACCGCAAGTCACGTGCGAGGCGCGAAGCCGCTGTGGCGGCGGTGGCGGCATACAACAACACGCCGAACGCGGCGTGCGACGTGACGCCTACACGCGGACTGACTGTTCCGCTAGCTCCAGCTCGCCCAGCGCGCCGACGACCGCCCCCAATGACTCCCCACTGTTAATTAGCGCCGGCTGCCCCTCTCCCCTCCCCCTCCCCTCCGCCCGCGGGGGCGTGTTGATTTAGTCCCCGTCCTTGGGGACGGCCGACAGCGCCACAGAAGAGACCCCCTTCCAGAGGGTTCGAGGCGAGGCTTGTTTACGACCCTTGAGTTGGGATTTTTCGTGTGGCGTCGTTACTAGACTCACCACTGCGATAAGAACCTCAGCAAAAATTTCAATTTTTCCTATTTCAAAGTTCCTTTGCTTTTCTTCAATCTGTTATCGGCTGCCACACATCGACGGGAATGCCCTTTGGAAAGGCTTGCCGTCCGCCGGTCCCGGCCGGTCCCTGACACGCACTGCCGGGAATGTTGGCTGCTCTGGCCCGGCAGCAGCGCAGGCACTTTAAGCAAGCATTTTTGCAATTCGAATCAAAAAGAATGGGGAGAACCGGGGTGGATGACCTTCTAGCTAAAAGTCTGTCGAGTAATTAGAGCAAAAAAAGCGCCATGCTATGGCCCAATGGTGCAACGGTAGCCGTTGGACGCAAATCAACACACGCCAAGAAATCCGAAATGGTGTTAATTTAAACCCCAATTTAGCCGATGGGTAAGATTTCATAGAAGTTTTGTATGGACGCTCCTGACACATTCCTTTAAGGGGGGACCCTGGTGAAAATATGACCAAAATTGCCAAAAATAGTATTTTCAAAGTTCATAGATAAAAATGTGCATAGAAGGTTTCAGATTCAACAGGTTGAACACCTTTAAACTATGTGGGTAGTTCCTTCATCATTTGGAAAGAAATAACATTGAGATCAGTTGTCGTTGGCTTATACGCTCAACTTCACAGCTTTGCTCAGTCGACAAAAAATTTTGTCGTAGAAAGACTTCCTGCGTTCCTGGTTGACACCTACATGAGTCGTCTTGCATGGACTCTATTCATTGATGACTTATCGACAAATTTTAGTGACGGAATCTTGATATCAGCCCTACTTTTTTCAACACACACCTAAATGTTTCAAAAAAAGGCAAAAAATTCACTTTTTTTTAATGTTTGAATTTGAAAATTGATATCTCAGGACAGAAGATGAAATTGAAAATTCCGTCACTAAAATCTCTTCTATACATTTTAAGGATAACCCAAAAAAATTTTCAAGACTTTCCGTTCCAATGAAAGACGCAGGAAGATTTTTCCCCAACGCTCTAAAAAACACCAAAAAGCCACTTTTCTCAGAGACCGTTCAACATTTTGGATTGAATTTTGTTTTATGAACTCACCATAATGAACCTAATAATCAAGCAAAGTTTCAACTTTCTGGGATTATTTTAAAGCCTACTTGGAAGTTTCACCAGGGTCCCCCCTTAACGATACCCGAATCGGATCAGCCAAGTTTGGTGCTTTCTTGAATTCTTTCCAGGTCAAAGCACCAAATGTATTGGGGGCCCTGCAGGGCGCTGCGCCGCTGCCTCGGCCGCTGCGCTGGCGGTCGGCGGGCTGGTCACGAGCCTCGGCACCACGTGTTGGGGCGGGGGCGGGGCTGTGGTGGCGGCCTGCGCGCCGCGCTGCACCGCTGGGCTGCATTTGAACGCCGTGGTGACTCAGCAAAGCTCCCGACGCCCCAATGCCCCACCGGCCTGCAGGCGCTGCCCTGCCCAGGCCATGCCCAGGCCACTCTCCTCCTCTCGCCCCGAATCGTGCCGTGCCGTGCCGATCTAGGGACGGCTGTTGTCATCCGTGACTGTACACACGGCGCGCCGATCAGGTGTCCCGGTCGCGTGTCTGAGAGGAGGTGGCAGTGGAAGGGCCGCGGAGGGGCCGCGCGGGGCCCGGGGATGTCACGTTGGGCCCTCGGTTATGTGCCTTCCCTCCGGAGAGATTGGAAACAGATTGACAGGCAAAGAAACGCCACGGCCCGGCTGGTGGTTGGCTCGAATCACTTCGCACAGTGACGTAGCTGCCCTTCAGCAAATAGGCGCGTATCGCCGACAGGACGGCGTGGAACGGAACCGCAAGAATGTGACGGCCTGAGCGTCACGTTTTTACGTAACACGTTGGGACGGAGAGCATGGCACTGCAGACATGCCGCCAGTGGCCCCAGGCCCGTGGACAGGATCGCAAAATGAGGCGGCCTGGCTGGGCGTAGCTCTGTAGGACTCTAGGCGTAGCTGGGCGTAGCTGGGCCTAGGCCGGCACGGGGTTACCCACCCACACTGCAAGAAAAAGTGTGAATAGTATAGCAAAAGTACAACAAAAACTGTACAATAAAAGTACAACAGGAATTGCACAAACCACAACGAGGCCTGGACTGCACAGCACTCGTCATGCCGGTTCCATTGTACTTTGCAACAATTGTTATACTTTGAAAGTACAATAAATTTCTGATAAAAAGTTTGCCAAAATTTGTGTACTTTTGTTGTGGTTTTGTCTTGCAGTGCAATGCGCGTCAACAATTCCCCCGTCAGCACTAGGAGATTCAAGAAGCAGCGACCAAGATCACTTGAAATGCCTGTCCAGGCTACAAGGTGCTGGGTCGGTCGCAGGCCGTTGACAAGCGGTCCGCTAAAAGTAGGCGGAATGAGCGCCACTGGCCGGCCAGGCAGACATAGTAAACCGCAAAGCAGTGCGTCTCCGTTGCCGTCCCTTGCGCAACGCACGCAGCACGCACTTTGGGCTTCTCGCCAGCGTTTCTTGGAGGCTTGGACGCGGCGCCGCCTCACGCGTTGCACGAGTTGCATTCGCCGAGGGGACCGCGCCAAAATGTGGTCCTCTTTCTCACCTGTCAGCGTGGAGCAGGTCTCGCCGGGAAGAAACCGTAATCCTGTGGGGACTGCACTACACTCCTCAAACTGCAGCGCGTCAGTGCGTTCGGTGGCACTTCCCTCGCGGTGCGAATGCGCGGTACGCGGTGCTGCGCGGGGCCCGCCTGCAAGGCCTGCAAGAGAAGCACACTGGCGGGGCGACGCGGCTCCACCGGCCCGGCTCCGCGCGCTCCGCGGTTCTCAGCAGTAAGCAGTACAGAGGAGAGGGGGAATCGATTCAAAACAAGGCGACACCAGCGCCCGCGCGGCCGCCACCGGCACCAGCCCGTGACGCAAGCAAAGCCGGGCAAGCGGGGCAAAGCGCGCCGCGCGCCTTGGTGACGTCACCGACGCAATGTCAAGTTCAACGCTGATCCCGCCGTGCCTGGGCTGCCTTCGGGGGTGCCTTGACTGCATTGGTTCGCGGATCGATGGTCTGGTCGCACAAGGTGCTGTGCTTGAGTGTGTCGCGCCGCACCGCGCCGCACCGAGGCCACAGACCCCAGAGCAGCAACAAGTAGAGGGTAGCGGGTAGCCTTCCACCTCCGCGTTGGGACATGCCCGTGAAGAACACGACAGGCTGCCAATCCAGTGGCTTTCCAAGGAAGAATAAGTGCAACAGTTTGCTCAAAAAGAAGTTGCAAGGACAACTGTTTCTTTTAATTTCGTAACTTGTGCTTACAGAAACAGGGTGAGGATGTTATCACACAGACACAGCTGTACCACATATCATTTAACAAAGGAAAAAATCAACTAAAGAAAACAATCGTAAAGCCTAAACGAAACTTTTGTGGCATACATTTAAAGGAAAACTCTACAACAGTTCGCCACAATCACAGCTCGTTTGATGAAGAGAGTTGTCAAAATACATAGAAATACATGGAGATAACGTTTCTAGATCAATTTAACTGCAGCACACAGTGTAACGACCATGTGGCGTTTCTCGGACACCGTATATCTACAGGCCAATCAACGTGGCAGATTTTGTAACCCTTCTAAAGATATTATACTAAAACGATTCCTCTCCACAATGTAGAAAAATACCCATCTATTCGACGTGACATCTCAATCAACTTGGTCTTTTCGTCGGGCTCCTTCCCGACGATACTTTACTCACAGTGGTCTATTGTCGGTTTTGGTCCACGCGGCTTCGGGAGGACACAGCGGACCGTACTCGACCGTACCCTCCCCGAAAATGATTAGAAACTACTTGGCCAGCGCACAGCTCGGTCACGAGGCTTCGCGTGCTTCGCGCGCTTCGCGCGCTTCGCGCACGTCCTCGCGGCTGATGCTGCCGGTCTCGCAGTCAGTGACGCGGCGGTAGGCGCGGCGCAGCCCGCGCACGATGCTGGCCCGCACGGACTCCGGCCTGCTGCCCCTGCCGCCAAGGCCGCCAAGGCCGCCAAGGCCGCCCAGCAGGTGGAGCTGCGTCCCCTGCGGACACACTGCCATCAGCACGAGGGCCCCAGGGCGTGCTGGGTGCGGGGCGTGCGGGTTCCAGTGTCGGCGGCGACAAGCGATTAATTCGTTTAATCTCAGTAGAGTCCGATTTTTAAGGACCGCACCCACCCTACGCGCTCCATGTTAGGTCGCTGATGGACCTGCCCCCAGGGCGCAGTGTGGGTACGGCCCCCGTGAGCTGGCCGTTGGCTGGCCGTGAGCACAGCGTGCTAGGGGTGTGCCAGGGACGTGCTGCTGGGGTCGCCCCACACCGTGGACGAGCTGCGCGTTCCCGTGCGGTGCACGTCCGAGTGGCTGTCACCCGCCGCGCCGTCCGACTGCCGGGACAGCCGCCGCCCCCACGAGCCGCGCCTCAGGATGTCGCCGAAGCGGGAGTTGTTTCCGCGGTCGCGCTCGCGCAGCGCGTACAGCAGCTCGTCGTACTCGTCGACGCTCTTGCCGCGCGACAGCCCGTGCTCGAACTTGGCCTCCTTGGTGAGCAGCCGCTCGCGCTGGATCTGCGTGCGCACCTCGGTCGGCACGTCGGGGATCACGTAGGACACCACGGCCGTCGTTAGGAACAACGATGTGCTGCACAAGCAAGCACATCAAGCTTCAATCAATCAAGCACACATCAAGACTTCACGAAAAAGTGCGCATCAGTTCCACCAGCAGCGTGGCTCAGATCGAGGATTCACTGCTCCACCCCTGTTGCAGTAAGGGTTCCCCATTCATGTCCCCATTGAAGTAGCCGCCATCTCCGTTCCTCGTTGTCGTGGCAATGCCATGTTCCAATGAGGGACCAAGGTGGCGGCTATTAACACAAACATGGGGATCCAAGATGGCGCCCGCTACAATGAGGTGCCCGTACTACTGACGCCTCCTCGCCTACCTCGAACACGACGACGAAGGCCAGCCTGGCGGCGAACACGTGCCAGTACTGGGGCGACAGGCCGTAGGGGTCCGTGGGGTGCTCGGGCCCGTTGCGGTAGCCGCGGTACTGGCACACGTCCGGGTCGGGGTCGTCCACGTCCGAGCCCATGTCGGCCGTGTAGTGCGACGTGTTGAACACGGACAGCGAGGCGTCGATGTAGCCCACCAGGTCGTCCGTGGGCGAGTACTTGTACTTGTACACCATCCGGGGGATGAAGTCGCTCGTGTACGCGATGACAAACGCCTGCAAGGAGACGTAATGATGGCAGACGCGCAGCGTGGCAGTTGCATCCCATTTTAAAATGCCACTCACGTTTGAGACGACTGAGATATAGGTGATGGTCTTCAGAATGCCGAACCAGGCGCCGATGTCCTCGACGCGCTCCGCGAGTGGCCGTCGCGCTTGCGTCACCATCTTGTACGCGTCCAGGCGGATCTCGGCCACGTTGTTGAGCAGGGCGAACACGGGGGCGAGCGGGAACGCCGCCACGAACAGCGTCACGAAGCCGTACTGCAGCACTGAGGAAGGGAGGTTGGCCAACTCGAGAATGAACTGGGAGTGCTCCGCGCACTACCGGCGGCGTAGCGTGGCGACCACTCACCCATCTCCAGGTACTCGTAGAACAGTGCCAGGCGGCCCGGGTCCTGCAGTTGGTAGTCTTCCTCCCAGCGCGTCAGGCCGCGGTTTAAGTCCTTCTTGGTGTGGCTCTTGTGGTACAGGTTGTAGTACCAGTTCCAAAATTTCCTGCAACAATGAGTCTGTCAGCGGTGTGGGCCATGAGGCTAGCTCGGCCCGGTCGGGAGGAGGCAAGGTACTGACGGGTATAGAACTTCGACGAAGTTGTTGAGGCACTGCTTGCCCACCATGATGATGGCCAGCTGGATGCACAACTCCCACAAGCAGCCCGCGGGGTCGCACACGTCGCCCTTCAGCTTCAGGAACTCGGAGCTCCGCGTGGCCTCGTCCCCCGGGTGCATGAAGAAGCGGCCCTGCAGAGGACGACGTTAGAGGGGCAACGACTCGCAACCGAAAAGTGGGGAGGGGAGTTACTTGCCTTGAAGAAAGCTATGTAAATCAGAGATGAGTAAAAGTTCATGAACTCAAAAACAAATATCTTAAAGGTGAAGTTGTCTTCATATTCAGTCTGCGTGCGCGGGTTTTCGAGGTTGGTGAGCCACAGGGCCAGTTGATGGTAGAACTGGGGCAGAGAAGCGCAAATGATTACGGAACAAGGTAAATGAGACGCCAGTCCGGTCAAAAATTGACGCGGCTGCTCACCCTCGTGAGGATCAGGATGATTGTCAAGTTGATGCAGGCCGCCGTGATGGAGGTAAAGATCTTGGCGTGCTGCTTGAGGAAGGCGCCGCCGCCGCTGTGGAAGACGGTGACCAGGGAGATGCGGTAGATGATGGTCCCCAGCACTGCACAGCACACCACCACCACCTGCAAAAACAACCCGCCGTAAAAATATCTGTGTATTTTGTGTGGCGCGCTGCCGCGTCGTCGTCCCTCTCACCATGAACAAGACGGCCGAGCCGGTGGCCGTGAACCGGAGGCACCGGTTCCAGGCCGTGAGGTAGGGCTCCCGCTGCCGGGTCACGGGGTTCACCCTGTAGGTGGTCACGTTGGCCTCGAACTCGGGGCGCGGCTCCTCGTCCTGCTCCACGTTCTGCAGGTCCCACTCCCAGCGGATGACAGCCGCGCGCCGCTTCCACATCTCCAGGAACATGGTCGCTGCGGGGAAGCGAGCACGTTAAGCGGGGCGAGCGCTGCGGCTATGACTATGCGCTGGCCGGCGAAGGGGGTGACGTCTATACCCGGCACTAAGCTGCTCACCCCAAAACGACATGAAGATGGCGAAAAACACGGTGGACGGGTTGTCGAAGAGGTACGGTCATCTTGGCGAACAGGCACGACTCCTTGAGCTTCTGGTAGCGGCAGGCCTTGTCGCACAGCGGGCACAGCGTGATATTCCCAGCGCCCGACGGGTCGCAGATCTCCTTGCTGCGGGGACAAGCAAATTTCGATCTCACTCTGTCGACCTGAACGCGCTTCGTTGCGAGATCAAAGGCATACCTGGGCATGTTGTCTTCCGAGTCCATGGACATGAGGCCGTAGAAGAAGCAGAAGAGGCCGACGCACGACGGCAAGATCAGGGCCTTGGTGTAGAAGCCCAGCCACGCGAAGTACATAGCTATCTTGTCGCCAAAGTACTTCCGGACCAGCCAGAGGGGCTGCCTCTTCAGGCAGCGCGCGGCACGGCCCCACTCCAGGTACAGCAGCTGCGTCAAGCAACACGCGCTAGTCAGCGAGGCCACACAGACAGGCAGCCAGACATCGAGACACGCCGCGGACTACTCACCCTCCTGTCGAACATAAACCCGTTGGGCCCGTCCTCGTCGTAGCGCCCCTCGTGCAGAGGAAAGGCGGACAAATAGGTGCTGTTGCTGAGGAGGTAGCGAATGCCGAGCTGGAGGATGCAGGGGAGAGAAATAAAGTCAGACACTGGTCAGACATTCATTCGAACCGAACGTGATACTACTGCAAAGACTTACCCTTTCCCCGTCAGCAGATTTGGCACGAATCATCAGTTCCCACACTATGGAGCTACGTTGCGCTGAGGTGAAGTACGACTCTCTGTCCTTAACGACGAACCTGGAACGCAGAACGGTATTTTCGATCATTTGTATGGGAAAACAACGAGTCATTCGCTGCGCACTACAAACGCAAGGTGACACCCACTGTTCCTCCCGATCGCTGTGGTGCGTCGATCGGTAGAAAGACGGTTCTTGCGCTATCTTTCGGTGGTCTAGATCAAAAAATTGGTTTAAAAAAGCCATAGGCGTTACACCTTTATCTACAGTGGGTACTTCCTCGCCTTCCTGCGAACAGAACACAACAATCAAGGCCCACCCGCCCTCAGTAATAAATACATGAAGTTACATGACATGAGACTACTTACCCACGCTTTTACAGATATGGATAAAAATCTCTGAAAGGGAGGGGAAAACATTGTTAGATTGGTTTTTATTGTGCGACTTTATGACCTTATGACTTTATGATGGGTAATCATGTTGATTCCGCTCACCTTTATTGGCATCTTCAAATTCATTACTTCTGCATAGCGCGTTATCACCTTCCACGGCGCGTGAATTTTCATAAACATAGATTTTTCGTCGAAAGAACTCTAAAAAAATCAAAGTTTAAGAACACGTTTGTTGTTTTCATATTGCAGTTACCGCACTACGCAGTGCTACCAACCGTCGGTCCTTCGAACTCCAACTGCAGCCCCTCCGCCTCCAGGGCGGCCTGGAACCTCTGCCTCCGCTCGCCGCGCATCGCCTCCTGCTCCGTTGGCACGCCTGACTTGTCCACCTCCCACACCACCACCATGTCGATGCGCCTCCGCCCGTCGCGGAACAGCAGCGTGTTGTGGTCGGCCTGCGCCCCGGACTTCTACAAGAGCGTGGAAAAGGCCCGTCAGCACTCTGCCACTTTGGAGCCAATTTGCAGCCACCGGGGAGCGGACACTCACGACGAGGTCTGGGTCCGAGGCGATGGGCAGCCCCGCCGTCTCCTTCTCCAGCGAGCCGAAGTGGTGGTAGTGCTTGAGCTCGGCCAGGGTGGCCTTGGCGACGGTCGAGGACGCTGGCGCCGCCACCGTGGCCGCGGCCTGCGCGGCCACCATGGTCGTGGCGGCCACATTCTTGCGGTTGTTGCGCTCCTCCGCGATGCCCGGCAGCGGCGTGCCCGGCAGGATGCTGGACTCGAAGCTCGCGTGGTCCGACGCCGAGAGCCGCTGGCCTGCGAAAGCGGTGGCAGTTCCTGTTAGCTGGGGGACGTGGTAGCGTGCTGGCGCGTTGGCTTGTCGCCGGCAGGGCCACGGCGCCAGGGCTAGGGTGCCAGGGCGGCCAGGGACGCGACATCGTCCTTGGAAACAAGAAGCGTCGCCTGGTCGATGGCTTCCCCGCTCCCGAAACATCATCCCCACAACCTCGGCCCCTCACGCCATCCCGCGCGCGGCGCACCAGCCTCGTGCACTCCCCGGGCAGCCCCGTGAGCATGACGCGCCCGTCGCGCCTGCCGCGTGTGGCACTCGTGACTACCGTGACGCACGCACGCAAGCAACCTGTACCGATTACAATCACTCAATTGGCGCGACACTGGCAGTTCCCCGCTCTCTGTCTCTGTTACCTTGGCACGCAAGCGTAGAGAAAAACTGCTTTTCAATACGTTCGATGGTTCGACGCTTCGAAAACTTGCCCAGTTCTACGATTTAGTCATGACGCAGAGACACAGGGGATGTCGCACGAGCGCTCTCCCAACCAATTCAATGCACTGGCTTTCCGAAATATTCCCACGGACCGGCACGAACGCGGCGTTGATCCAAGACAACAGCAAATAACACTCCACTGTTTCCTCGCGATGCATAGAGACACGGGGGGTGTCGACCGAGCGCCTTGCCGACCTATCTGGTAGCCAAGCCCGGCAATCCACTGGCCTTTCGATAGATTCCCACGGACCAGAGCACGAACGCGGCGTTTCCATAAATGATCCAAGACAAAGCAAACAACACTCGACGGCGATGTCTATTCATAGGTGTGGCCGGGAAGGCGGTCGGACGGGCAGGACGCGCCGAGGCACATTGATTATGGACGCACTCCCCGAGGCCCCCGTGGCCCAGTCCGACCCGTCATCTTCCCTCCAAACATTCGTGCTCATTCCTTCTTAAACAGCTGCAAGTCGGCGGCCCGGGCCGGGCAGGACGCACGGAGGCACATTGATTATGGACGCAGTCCCGGAGGGCCGCGGGGCCCAATCCAATCCATCATATTCCTTCCAAACATTCATGCTCATTCCTTCTTAAACAGCTGCAAGTTCGGTGGCTCGGGCTGTGCGGCCGGGGCGGAGCGCACCGAGTGGCGCGTGGCCGCCCACGTCGGGCCCGGCGGCCCGGACGCCTGGCGGGTAGGCAAGCCCGCCGCGCTCCCAAGGCTCGAGCCCGGGCGGTGGCCTACCCGCTGTCTTGCAGGCGTTCTCCCCGTTCTCCCGCATCCTGACTCCGTCTCCCAAACCAGTGCATCGCGGCCCGTGAAAATCCTTTCAACACCTTCACGCCGGTGCGAGAACGGTGTTCTCGTCCCTTGCCGCGATGTCCCATCCCTTCAATTTCATACTTCGGCGTGAACGTGTTAAACTTTGCTTCTATCAAAATCAACGTGACCATGAAAAGTAACATCTAAAACGAAAAGCAGTTACTTTATTCTGGTTTGGACAAAAAGTCGACCTATTCACAGGCCAACACTGAAGTAGCCAGCGTTATCGTTTGAAAAATGAAATTCAAAACTTGTGCGCGCGGTAGGTGGAAGAAGAACACTACGAACCTAACTGTCTACTAAGTACACACTTACAAATGCATGCTTGGCCAAGTACACACTTACAAATGCATGCTTGCTGCAAGTACACACTTACAAACGCATGCTTGACGCATGGAGTTATACGGCGTCAAGCATGCATTTGTAAGTGTGTACTTGGCCAAGCATGCGTTTGTAAGTGTGTACTTGAAAGCATGCATTTGTAAGTGTGTACTTAGTAGACAGTTAGGTTTGCAGTGAAGACTGACCGGTGAGGACCGCCACCCGGCGGCGGATCCGCTTCCTCCGGATGGCGGTGATGATCATGTGCCCCCGGGAGCCCCAGTCCCAGTCCGCGAGCTGGAACCGCTCCGGGGGCGGCCCAGGTGCCGGTCGGGGGCCCGGACCCCCGTCCCGCGTTGGCCCCACTGCCCCGGCCGCAATGTCTGCGGCGAGCGCGGCGTGCGGCGTGGCCTCGCCTCGGCGTGCCTCGGCCCGACTAACTCACGCCCGGCCCGGCGAGCGGCGCAGCAGTGGCGGGCCCCGTCCCGTCCGGGCGTCCGGTACCGCGGGGGCAGACCCAGGCCCGGCGCTGCGTTGGGCCCATCGCGCTGCCTGCCTCGTTTTTTAATATCTACCGGCAATCTGGACATCAACTAAGCCCAACCGATCGGCGGCACGGGCCTGATGCTCGGGCCGTTGCTTCGGGCGGGGTGGGGCGCGGTGCGGCGGGGCGGCGCGGCGGGGCGGGGCGGGGCGGGGCGGGGCGGGGCGGGGCGGGGTGCGGCGGGGCGGGGCACGGCGGGGCGGGGCGGGGCTCTGTCGCCAATTATCCCGATAGAACTACATGCACCCGCACTCGGTGGAGGCAATTAGACGCCCGGCCGGTCCCACAATGTCAAGTAGTCCGTCATTGTCCTGCGCAGCCGCGCGGTGGGCAACCATGTCCTGTCCCTTGTCAATGGGCATGTTTTGTTTTCGTGTCTTTGTTGTTCTAGGTTTGTTATTTGGCTACTGGGCTTGGAGCTGCTGGCGCGCGTCCGCCACCGAGCCGAGAGCCTCGAGGTGGTGGTGGTGCCGAGATCGTCGGCGAGCACCACGCCGCGCCTCACCTGAGGAAAGAGGAACCTGGCACCCCAGCCCAACGCGACAGACCGCGTGCCGGGCCTTGGCCTGCCGTCTGATTCCGAGCACTGCTTTCGTCGCTCTGTCTCTCTCGCACTCATGGGGCGGTCCGTAGGGGTGCGAGAGAGACAGAGTGACGAGGCAGTGTTCGGAATCAGACGGCTGGGCCTTGGCCTTACCGAAGGGCGTGGGCGAGACGAGCTCCCAGGGCCCGTTGCCGGTGGGGTGCACGCTCTGCACGCTGGCGCTGCGGCCCTTGGGCGTCCGCAGGCAGACCAGCGACTGCGGGGGCGGCAGGTTGGGCAGCAGGGGCAGCCCCACGTCCCAGCGGGCCGGCGACGGCACGGGGGTGTCGGGCCGGCTGTAGCCGTCCGTGTCCGGCGTGGGGCCTTGCTCTGCAAAAGGCGGTCGGCATGAGCAGCCGCAGCGCGCGACCCAGTGAGCAGCCCCGGCAGTCCTCGTTACCGACGATGAAGGGCAGCTTGCCGTAGTCGTCGTACAGCTCCTGCTGCTCGTCGGCCCGCGTGGTGCTCGTCGAGCTGACGGGCCGCTCACTGCTCTGCGAGCGCTGCGACCGCAGCGAGTTCCTGCAGGCAAGCAGCAGTCATGAGGACGGCGTCGTGGGGCGCCCTGGCCGCGGCCTCGGACAGGTCTCGCTCTCACTCTTTGGACTGCAGCAGGGGCGGCCGCTCGTCGCGCTCGTCGCTCGGCGAGTTGCTGGGCGTGACTGGGCCGTTGCTCTGGCCGACCCCGGCCGCCTCATCCGACACGCTGTGCACGGCCTTGGCCGCGGCGCGGGTCGCGGCCTCGGCGACGGCCTCAGTCTTGGCAAAGTCCTCGGCCCGATCGGAGCTGGCGGGGCTGGCGGGGCTGGCGGGGCTGGCAGCTCGCGGGGGGAGGGGCGAGGACGGCAGGCGGCGCACGGGGGACTGGGGGTGGCGAGGGAAGTACCTGCAAAAGAGAGAGATAGAAAGGAGGCGCCATCCAGGGACCGAGGACGGCCTCCAGACAAGGACAGAAAGCCTCGCAGCAAGCTTGCAGCCCCGCCTCTTACTTTTGGCCGGTCTCCTTCCATTCGTGCGCGCTGCCGGTGTTGGCTTGCACGGGCAGCGACGGCCTGCGCCTGTTGCGCGCGTACTTGGCGGTGCTGCCGTTGTTGAGGCTGTCGTTCCACTCGGGGGGCGTCCGGATGGCCCACTTGGTGTCGCTGGTGGGCGTCACGGCCGGAGTGTGGGTCCGACTCCGGCTCGCCCCCGTCGCGGTCCCTGCGGCCCCTGCCAAACAGACCGGTCAAATGCCGCGGCGGCACGGGCGTGCCTGGCGGCTGCCTGGCGCGTGCCCGACGCCCACATCCGGGCCTTAATGCGAGCCGGACACCGGGCGACGGACGCCCCGTGGGAAGGCGAGCACGTGGCTGTCGGCCGTCAAGTCGAGCGGCGAGGCGGCGAGGTGAGGGCGTGCGACCCGGCATCGGCATTACCTCGCTAATAGGCCCGCCACGCTGGCAATCAATTGGCCGGTGCAGTGGCGCGGCCAGACCAGGCCAGACCAGGCGGCGGGGCACTCCACTTGTCGCGCCCCGCCGCCCTCCACGCCACTGGGCGACCTGCGGCCTGGGGTGGCCAGTGGGACGATGGTGTCCGCCAAGCCCGGCCAGAACGGCCAGGACGCGCACATCGAGTCTGCTTGCGGCTTGCGGTGTCCAAATAGTTCCTCGTCCCTCCGTTCCGTCTGTCCAGATCGTTGTGCCGTCGTCCTGTCCGTGCAGTCCCCATCGGGTCGGCCGGCGCCACCACGACCCGCCACGGCCGTGCCGGCACAGCCCCGAGGGCCCCGATAACCAGGTCACCAGATTCGGCGATGAAGATCGATGTATCGATCGGGCGGACCGGGCGGACCGCGCTCCTGGCCGCCGGAGAGGACGCCGCGACGCCGCGACGCCGCGCTCCCGGAGGCAGAGGCCAGGATGCCAGCCCCGCCCGTCCCCGCCATCTAGTCCATCTTGCGCAGTGGACGCCAGGGCGCCCCCATGCCAAGTCCGTACCCAGGACCGCCAGGCCAGGGAGCCGGGCAAGGAGGGGACTTCCCAGCGCCGCTCGAGTACGGTAAAAACGCGTCCTGGGAAAACGAGGACCGAGGCTCCAAGGTTGTACGGAGGGACCGTATCCAGGACGGTCCTGGAGGAAATGGCAAAACTTCCAGGACCGTCCTGGAACATAATGTGTTTTTTTTGAGCCGGCCACCCGTTTCCAGGACTGTTCTAAAAGAAACGGATTCGACCAGGACGGTCCTGGAAACGGGTGGCCAGCCCCGCGGAACCGGTGCTTTACAGGCGGCCACCCCATCGGTTGTCGTCTGATATGGGCCGAGTGAAGGGCGGACACTTTGAAAGAGTCTCTCTCTCTCTCCCTCTCTCTCTCTCTCTCTCTCTCTCTCTCTCTCTCTCTCTCTCTCTCTCTCTCTCTCTCTCTCACGAGAGCCTTGGCCTTTCGCTACCACAGTGGTATCCCCGCTGTCAGGCGCTCTCTACCGAATTCGGTCCGTTTCCAGGACAGAGGACGGACCTTTCCAGCGGGCGCGCAGCCGGTACCGCTCGTTTCCAGGACTGAGTCTAGACCTTGAACGAACGGGGCACTATCTTACAAGGTCCGCAGCGGGGCCGGCCACCCGTTTCCAGGACCGTCCTGGTCGGAAGCATCGGTTTCTTTTGAGAACAGTCCTGAAAGCGGTTGGCCGGCTCAAAAAAACACAATGTTTTAGGACGGTCCTGGAAGTTTCGCCATTTCCTCCAGGACCGTCCTGGAAACAGACCCTCCGTACAACCTTGAAGCTTTTCGGTCCTGGTTTTCGCAAGACGCGTTTTTACCGTGAGGCGTGCCCGAGGCGCGGAGCACTGCACTGAGAGAAAAGTTTTGTTGCCAGAATCGAACGTTCGGTAGCCACGACTAAACCTGTTTGGTAACTTTTGAAGTAATCAAACAGTTCGGTTCCCAGTACCGAAGTTGTTTTTTGATGCTGCTTGATGCTCATTAACAAACCAGAATGGGCCTCCGATGACCCTAGTTCACTCTACAAAAAATGTCCTGTCAACGCCGTTAATTTATTACCAATGTTTGCTGTTATTCAATTCACGGCGTTTGCTGTGAACTAGTTCACGGCGTTCACTGTGATCTCGGTTACAGTGTTCACTGTGATCTGGCCACAGTAAACGCCGTGAATTGGAGCCCGATTTGCAGTACTTCGGTGCTCAGCGGCGTCAAACTCACAGTGTTTACTGGGGACCAGATCACAGTGAACACCGCGATCAAGATCACAGTGAATCCCGTGATCAGATCACAGTAAACGCTGTGAATTGGCCTACAGTGAAAACTGGTAATAAATTAACGGCATTTACAGGACATTTTTGGTAGAGTGTTAGTAGCTGGGTAAAAAACAAGTTTATTTCTGATTACCGAACAATGTTTGATCGGTTGATCGACTGCATTGATCATTTTAACAGCGTCGGGCAAAATTGTCTCAGCCCGCGGATCCGTCTTTCCCGCCGGTATTCAATACCCACAGTCCATTCCCTCGCCAATCAAATGATTTGCGCGCGGGAAAACTGGTTACGCATCGCCGGGAGTCGAACCCCGCCGAACCCGTCTCACTATCCAGCCTCCAGGCACGGAACCAACTGAGCCACCGTGACAACTGAGAAGGGACGGGATGTCGTAGCCTCTTGACTGACAGCCCGACAGCAGTGACATCATTCGTCATGTTGCCAAATTCATCATAAGTTCTGTCGAGGGTTGTGTTATTCTATCGATACACCAACCTAAGTCCAAAATAGTTTAGTAGCCACGACTGAACTGGCGGCAATCGAACCACTTTCATAGTGTACATCATTTTGATTTTGATTGGATGGACCAAAGTTGTTCGTTTGTGCAGACAAAACACGATTTTTATCGGATACAAAAGGGGTTAGTGTTCACGACGAAACTCTTTCTACCTGGTTACCAAAACGTTTATTACCTGCGACAAAGCCTTATCAATCGAACAAAGTTCAGTACCGGCAGCAAAACATTTTTCTCAGTGTGCAGGTTATCCCCTGCAGCAGGCGTGGATCCAGGGGAGGCAACAAGTCGCGCTCTACCTCTGCTCCTTCAGGTAGGCAAATTTGGCGACATCGTCACCCCACCCCCTTCTCTGCCTGAACCCGTCTCTGGATCCACCCTTGCCCCACGACTATAGTGACCGCGAGTTGGCAATCTTTCCCCACGAGCTGGGAGAGTGCTCTTTTGATCTTTGAGATCTTACAATGTATATAGTAATTGAAAACTGCCACGTTACTATATTCTACGTATATTTACTTGATACTCGCCTAATTTCACCTACTTTAGAGGCGAATCTCCGCTGAGGAATATTCCCCCTTCTCGGACTTGGACGCGCGGACGCGGCCTCTCGTCCGCCAACGCCGGTCGTGCCCAAGATCTGCGCGTGCTAGTCACTTCCCCGGACGAAGCCCGAAGCCCCCAGAGGAGGGCAGATCTATAACCACAAACTTTGGCCGAACCCGAGCCGCCGGGCCGCGGGGCCGAAGGGCATGGCGTCACTACACCACATCGGTGACGTCACTCGGACTGGACTGGCGTCACGATTGGTCAGGTCGGCGAAGCCGGACCGAACCGCGCTGCGTGCAGGGGATGACGACTCCGACGGAAATAGGTGCTCTGATTACTCGGGAAATAGATTTTCTGTTTTCTGCAGAATTTATTTCTACACGTTTCTTGATACTTGTTTGTGTTGTAAGACTTCATTTTTGTCACAGTCGACAGCCTTACGAGTTTCTGTGCAGTATTGTCCACTGCGGCTGGACTATTACCGACATCTGACCTACGGGGCGCGGCGGTGCATGGCCAACGACACAGCAGCCCCGCTTCGCTACACGTCGCACCACGTCGCTGCATGAGCACAATGCAAGCGAACTGCATGACAACGGCCGACACGGCCACCACAGCCAGCTCGGTCATGTATGCCCAGCCCGCTGCATCTCGGGCATGTCCAACGTGTCCCCGCCGGGCACGGCACGGCACGGTGCCACCATCGCGTCGCCCAGCCCGTGTCGGTAGACAAGGGTGCGCCACCTGCCGCCACGCAAACTGATTCTGAAGAGTCACTTTTGTCGCCCTGTCTCTCTCGAGCCTACGCGGACGCTCCACAAGTGCGAGAGAGACAGAACGACGAAATCGACTCTGGCGGAATCAGTCGGCTCCCGCTGGGCCTACCCTACACGGGGGCCACTGGGGCGAGGGGTATCGACGTCGATACCGCGTGCCGCGCGTGCCGCATGCCAGTCAATGTCACAGCTGGCATCATCCCCAGGGCCCTTCGAGAATCGACTGGGCACACCTGAAGCACGCCGCCATTCCGATGGCTGTCGACGCGAAGGGCCGAGCGAAGATGCTTCGCTTGTTTTCTCCTGGGCCATGCCAGTTAACTGTTGAATGAACTGACTAACTGACGCACCGCGACACTGGTAGTGCCTCGGGTAGTGCCGTTCGCACTCCACGGGGCTCCCTCGACGGAGACAAGCGGCGGCGGCTAATCGTGCACGTCCTGGCGCCCTGCCCTCGGCGCAGCGTGGTCGGCGTACTCACTCGGCTGCTCGCTGGCTTCCATGCCGGCGGCCGGCCCGGCGCCCAGCTGCTGCACTCTCCACGACGCTCAGCCCAGCGCCGCCATGGACAAGGCCGTGGACGAGGACGAGGCCGTGGACGAGGTCGGAGGCGCGGCCGCGGGCCCCGGGCCCTCGTGCCTGTCATGCTGCCCCGCCCCGCCGGCCTCCCCTGCCATGCTGCACTGCACTCGCGCTCGGCTCGACGCGCACCTCGAGCTGCCCGTGTTCGAGTCTGGCTGGTGGCACGTGGCGGTCGACGGCGAGCTCGTCGTGCGGCGCGGCCAGCGCGGTGGGCTGTGGGCCTCGTAAGCCGCTGCTGCTGGACACCGATTGCCGATACGCTACGGCCGGCCCGACCGGCCCGACCTAGCCCGGCGTGGCGTTGCGACGAGCCACCCCTGCCCCTCCCCCTCCCCAGGGGGTTGGGGCCCCCACACACAAGCCGTGCCCCCAATAAGGTGTCATCCGGAGAATATAGCTTTAACAATTGGCATACTCACCCTGTAATCTTGGTGGTGTCATTTTTGTCATTGTTGGCAGGGTGATTCCGTGCGTAGGGGCCGTTTTAGCCACCTAAGAAAGTCAAGTAGGTAATCAATCTTGCTTGTTCGGACGGAATTTGGCCTAGATGGCATCAATTGGACCCCAGGAAGACACTCTGAGCGTGGGCGAGCTAAAAGTTGACTTTCGTTTTCTCCCCCTATAAAATATGACGAAATTAACTGAAAATATGACGGAAATTACGCTTCACGGAAATTACAGACAGGTGTTTCTGGCTCACTGCAACTGCATATCGCCACAGAAATATGCCATAAGTTTGGCACACTAGTTCGACGTCAAGACACATCTTTTCACGTGTAGGATGTCTTTCAAAACCCAATAGACGAGGAGCGAGAGGGGCATACGGAAATTACACCAATTGTTACAACCCACCGATTTTACACACAACTTCCACTCGCACACTCACCCCCCTCACTTTTTCGCCACCGAAACTCGTTCTTGTGGTAAACAGACCGTGCTGAATCTGAATACGGCGGTGGTTTTGAGCAGGAAGCGCTCCTAGTAGTTTTTTTGGTGCTTATTTTGAAACCGCTAAGGTAAAAGTCGGAGTACGGTGGACATTTAGTACGCGTTCTGAAAGTACAGATCCAACCAGTATCCGATCTTCAAATTCAAGCAAGATAGTCACTATTAGTTAAAGATTTGATGGGTGTGTGTGGAATTCGAAGATTTGAATGGAACGCAGGGTTATAAAGCCGCAAAGTTGGTGTAAGGTGCGAATGGACATGACGGAACTTACAAAATCGACCCTTTTGGCCCCTCTCCCGCGTCACATGTTAGCTTTGAAAGTCCGTATACAAAGGGAACAAGCTATTCTAGTGCCAAACAAGATTCTTAAGTGTATAAATGGACTGCACTCGAATAAGTTCGCTCTGGGGAGGGTGTGGACACGAAAACGCCCTCTACGCGCGGAATCACCCGGCAGGGATTTTTTTTCGTCTCCTGCATTGTGTGCCCTGCCCTCCTCATGCTCTCCCCGTGCCTCCCTGGCCCTCTTTAGGCTCTCACGGGGACGGTATTCAAAGTGACCGATCATCCTGACTATGTGGTTCGCTAGATTAAACACCCCGTGTTGTCGAGGGGCGCTTCAAGATGGCTCACCTGAGAGATTCTCACGTTTCGGGGTAGTTTTGGCGTCTCTGATTTGCCGAAAGTGAGAAATATCCAAGTAAGTTTTTCTGATTATTGGGGTCCTGGATGATACTAGAGTTATGGAAATGGTATTTATAGTAAAGACCTTGTACTATCTTCCTAAAAACATGAGCCATAAGGTATTTCCATACGTTTTAGTGGGTGTTTTGATCACGGAAATTACGTTATCACGGAAGTTACACAGTGTGAAAATCAGCTTTAACGGCTGACTTGGGCTTGCTGTGGCTTAAAAGTCGTTCCAGGGTCAAATGATACTCTAAGCCCGACATTTAAGCGGAAAATTTTTTCACCTAGTGCTGCTGCAACATTGGGTAATGGGTGCCACGGAAGTTACAGGTAATTGTTGATACACGCCATTTTATTATGCTCTAGCCCGCTTTGAGACCATGTACAGCATCTTAGATTTCCGCGACCCATGGAATTATATCCCAGGACTCCACTTTGATGGCTTGTGTCATGGAAAGTTAAAAGTTTGGCTTGGGGAGAAGTCCAGAGCTGCCTTTCCGAAATTTGTGTAGTGAAATTGAATATACGGAGGACATTTTTCGTTGCAGCATAAGTACCTTTGAAAGAAGTCTGGCGTATTGGTCTTCGGTTGAAATTAGCTCGAGACATGCCAAGCTTCGAATCCCCATCGACAGTTGGCAGCATTTTCGAACCACACCGCATCACTGGGGGCGGAAAGTTCGAGTATGTTCTCTTTGGACAATCACGGAAGTTACATTTGGGGTATTCCAAACGCTACGTAGACCAATCCAACGAACAAGAACTTTTCGAAATGCGTGCGTTTAGTGGGCAATGGCCCTTCGTAACATCAGAAACAAACCCCATGTCGACATCTGCGCTCGTTTGGGCACAGGAGTCAGAAGAAACGAAACTACCCCGAAACGTGAGAATCGCTCACCTGTCGAACTCAAATTGACGCATGCATAACCCCGGTCGAGTCTGTTGATAGTTTAGCGCTGCGCTCGAGGGGGTAACGACTGGTAAATTTCGTGTCAGCCGGAATACGGATTACCCCGGATTACCCCGGATTACGCTCAAATTACCTCCGGATTACAACAAAAATAATCCTGGATTACCCCGGATTACCCCGGATTACCCCGGATTACCTCCCAAGTTGCTGTCAGCCGGATTCCCGAAGTCGTTACCCCCTCGGCTGCGCTGCTTACATGGCGACTCCTCAACACCTCAGCGCCGTGCGTGGCACGGCCCATGGCCTTCCTCAAAGTAGCGCACGCGCGCGTACGGCGCATCGTGCTACTTGGGGTACGTTAGGGTGGGTTGCGGCGGGCCGGGGGGGGGGGGGGACGGCGGGCGGCGCTGGGTGGCCGGGCCGGCCGCATGGCGTGCTTACTCGTGTCTGCTGTGGTCGTGTTGAAGTATGGAGCGGCCGCCGTCCGTCAGTGGTCGATAGCCACACTGTCTGGTCAGCCCCCGCGGCCCCAGGCTGGCCCAGGCTAGGCTAGGCCGCACGCCGCCGCACGCCGGATCGGCCCCTACGCCGTGCTCGTTGGCCCACTGACATTCACGGCCCGAAGGAGGGCGTGCCCTAGGTGTGTGGCGCGCCGCCGGGCGTGGCCGACACCACCCGCACTGTCGCTCGCGACCATTGATCGGCTTCTGTCAAGTCCCGCGAGGCGGAAAAGAAGAGACCAGGACGCCGCGCGACCGTGGCGAGAAGCCTCAAGAGGCGACCGCAGTGCCCGGCAGTGCCGCGGTGGTTCCGCCAAGCCCTGCGCCCCGCGCCCTGCGCCCTGCGCCCTGCGCTCAGTCAGGCTTTGTGGCGGGCGGGGTGAGCCCTTGCAGGCCGCCACGCTGCCGCGTCACACCGCCAATCCTACGGACCGCGCTGTCGTTGGCGTCGGTGCTGTCGCTGCAGACTGATTCCGAGTGTCGTCGTCTTCGTCGCTCTGCCTCTCTCGCGCTCATGGGGTGCCCCTTGTTGGTGCGAGAGAGACAGCGCGACGAAATCGACTCTCGGAATCGGTCTGCCGGCGCCGCTCCTCCGCGATGACGTGTTGTGTCGGCGAGTGGCGTTGCCATGGCTGCCATGCCGACGGCCGCCATCTTTTATTTAAACTCGCGGAGCCGAGCGGAGCGCGTCCGGCGCGTCACTGTGCAGAGCCATCCATCCCGCATCCATCCCGCATCCATCCCCCCAGCGCGGCGCAGCCAAGGCGCCGCCCCGCGCAGCCCAGGGGCACCGGGTGGCGGGGGCGGCGGGCACGGCGGGGCCTCTCAGCCCCTGGCCGGCCCCTCCATGCCTTCCGCCTGCGCTTCGCGCCTTCCCGCCCTCGACGCGCACGTGCTGAGTAGTGCCGGGCATGCCGGGCAGCCGGTGGGGGTAATGCGGCGTGGGCGGCAACAGGCAGCCATGTGGACGCCGACAGCGAGCGAGGTGCTGGCTGGCCATGCACTGTGCAGTGGGGTGATTCCGAACAGTGCTTTGTCGGTCCCTCTCTCTCGCACCCTTACCGAGCGCCCCGTGTGGGCGAGAGCGAGAGGGAGACCCCCTCTCGGAGTCACTTGGTTGGATGGGCTTGGCGACCGCCACAGCGCCCGCGGAGTCGAGGGTAGCCTAGCCTGGCTGAGGCGCTGGCGCGGCCGTCGCGCGGTGTTGCCTACCCTCCACTCTGCAGGCGCGCGGGCCGGGCCCTCACACAAAATCTATGTGTGTACTCAGTACACACTTCTAGGTGCGTGCTTACAAGCATGCACTTCTAGGTGTGTACTTGCCTAAGCACGCACCTAGAAGTGTGTACTTGAATGAGTACACACTTATAAGTGTGTACTTAGTGAGTACACACTTGCGAGGTGCATGCGCGGCATAGGGAAAACGCATGCACTTCTATGTGTGTACTCATTGAGTACACACTTATAAGTGTGTACTCATTCAAGTACACACTTCTAGGTGCGTGCTTAGGCAAGTACACACCTAGAAGTGCATGCTTGTAAGCACGCACCTAGAAGTGTGTACTGAGTACACACATAGATTTTGTGTGCTCACAGTAGGCCAGAAGATCGGCGTCGGCGGCCAAAACTCTAGACGCGTTTTGAGCCCCAGAGTCGCTGAAAGGCGCTCGAACCGAGCGTGTGACCCCACCAATGGATTCCTCGTTTGGAGAGCAATCCAATGGTGGGGTCACACGTTCGGCTCGAGCCCCATTCAGCGACTCTGGAGCTCAAAACGCGTCGAGAGTTTTGGCCGTCTCCACCCGACCGATCTTCTGGCCCACTGTGAGCCCTCACAGTGGAGAAGTGCGGCAGCACTGCGCAGCATTCAGAGACGTCTTCGTCCCTTCGCGTCGTCGCGCGTCGCGGTGTAGCTTTGTTAATTATTTTCCGAGACCGTCGCCGGGGCGGCCGCCGGGCCCACCAATGACGCAAGACGCGGCCACGGCCTTCGAGTCCACCCGCCAGCCCGCCGCGCCGAGCCAGGCCAGGCCAGCCAGGCGCACAGCCGTGGACGATGCGACGCCCAAACACGCACACACGCCGCTGGCACGCACTGAAAGAGAAAGAAACTCAACGTTGGCTGGAACTGAGAACCACGGGAACCAGGCCTTCCAGGGCGCGCCGAGTTCGTACGCGGACGCCGCGCCGCGCCGGGGCCCTGAGGCTGTGGCCGCTGTCGCGCCCCGTCATCGCCCTCCTCTTCCGTCTTTCATAACAATAACAGTCCGGGCAACACCGCCTCCCCCGGCCCGGCCGGGCCCGGCCTGCGGGCGGACCCAAATAGCGTTCAATGCGCCACAAATAATACAATCATCCGCGCGGACCGAGGGGCGCGGTGAACAAAGAGGGACGACCGACGGGGTGAGGTGGACGAGGAGGAGCGGCTCTCGGAACAAAGTCTCGTCGAGGCAAGTCGAGGCTATGCCTGAAAGGCCCGAAAGGCCCGAAATAGCCGCCACTGTCATCGCGTCGCGTCGCGTCGCCCCCGCCGGCCGCCCCAGGACGACTCCTATTTCGGACCCACTGTAACCTTTCCTTTCCCGTCGCGTTTTTCCCCTCCAGCTGCGTCGGCGACATGTCGGCGACTAATGCACACCTTCCCCCGACTCCTGGACGGCATCGACGCGCACCTCCATTGCAGGCGTAGTTTATTTGCAGCTCAAGGACACATGAATAAATAATAACAATTAAGAATAAATAGGTGAGCGGTGCTCTAGAAGGGCATGGCCGCGGCGTCGTCGCCGACCTCCCTGGCGTCGTTGCAGGCGATCTGGCGGTACGACAGGCTGAAGCCCCTGCCCGTCAGGTTGCCGTTGGAGCGGACCGGCAGCACGAAGGGGCCGCTGCCGCTGTCTGGAAAACAGTTTTCGAAGATGAACAACGGACAACGGCAAACGTCGCACTGCTGTAGGCTTAGCCGGGGCGTTGCATCTTTGATCAAAGCGCGATGCGTCCGGGTCGGACAGCCAGCCAGTCGGTCGGCCGGCCAGCCAGTCGGCCGGCCAGCCGGTCGATGAGAATGGTGACTGGTCGTCCGGCGCAGCGATACCCCGCGCTAGTGTTCCGGATTGGGTGGGCGGTCAAAACCCGATGATTCCAGAGCGACTCTAGAACTCGGCCGGTGAATGCAGTGCCGCCAACAGACACTGTCAGCAGGCTAGCGTAGGACCTGAGCTAGCCCGTCGGCAGTGCCTACGGGCGGCACTGCATTCACCGGCCGAGTTCTAGAGTCGCTCTGGAGTCATCGGGTTTTGACCGCCCACCCAATCCGGAACACTACCCCGCGCCCCCGCGCCCGACGTCCGAACATCGTCGTCGGCGACGTGCCGGTGGCCTCACCGGTGACGGGGCTGTTGTGCGTGTAGTCCTGGTCCAAGGAGGCGTCGTTGAGTCGCTCCCCGCACAGCCGGATCCCGTTGATGGCGATGTAGTCGTTGGGGCAGTTGAAGACCTCCGCCCCGGCCTGCCCCGGCGGGATGGTGGGCGCCCCGTCTGGTGGGACGGCCAAGTTTGGTCAAGACGTCACCGCGAACGAGAACGCGGCAGTTTGAGGAGGGGAAGAAGAAAAGAAGAAAGGGGAAAGCGGGAATCGAACCTTGGTCCACGTTGAGCAGTTGGAAGGGCATGCTCGTGCCGTTGGTGCTCTCGGTGGTGTAGGTGACGCTGCAGAAGCCCGCCTCCTTGCGAATGCACACGGCGTAGTTGAGGTTGTTCTGCAATCAGATCGAGCACGCCGTCAACGGACCGCTGGGGACTGCGTTTTGGGATATAGCTCCACGGTGGCTCCAGTTCCGTCTCTCTCACAGTGTAGGAACCGAGGCCGGGGCCGAGGTAACCGAAGGACTGCACGAGCCCGGCGTGGCCGTCGTGGTACTGCAGGCAGCCCGTGGGTGCGGCGCCCTCGTCCCGCGCGCGGAGCTGCGTCAGGCGCACCACCCAGCGCCGCGCCTCGGCCGCCCCGCCGCTGGACCCGGCGCGCCACTGCACGCCCAGGCGCACCGTGCCGCCCGCGCTGCCCACCTGCACGTACACTGCAAGCAAGGAGAAACAAGGCGAGGCAAGGCGTCACTCGGTGTTAGCTCCAGCTTCGCGACGACTGTGTGCGATTGTGTCGGACTCACTGTGCTGGCCGGTGTTGGTGCCGCAGAGGGCGGGCGTGGGCGCGTTCCGGTCCGGGCTGACGACCACGAAGCGCTCCTCCAAGCACGTGCCCTCGGTGGGCGCGGCGAGCTGCTCGAAAAACAAAAAGGCCATTTATAAACGGCGCTTTCCAAACGTCTCTCGCGCGCCTTTCGGACTAGAAATGGCGGGCCCCACCCAGCAAAATCGAGGCGCGTGCGACGCGGGCGCTTTCCACCGGATGGCAGGCGGCCGTCCATCGGCGTACCCCCCGGCCCTGGGAGCTAAATATTCGAGTTGTACCCATTGGGTCTTTAGAATTGGGAGTCAAACACTGCAAACAGTCATAACGAGTGCGCAAAGCCCCCTCTGTTATTCGACATGAAGTGCCTAAGGGTTAAATACGTCAGAAGACCATCGGACAATTCTGGGTGGTGATTTTCGGCATCTTAACACCACTAGTGCGCCAAGGCCGCGAGAGAGGGGTGGGAAGTGAAGGCAAATTGGGACAGCAAATTTTTGCCAGGAAAACGTGTTTAGCTCAAGAAAACTTCAGTTTTTCGGGGTATTTTGTGATCTGAGACCTTCAGCAACAAACGTTTCACTCACGCCGATTACGCCGACCGATTCGACCGGCGGCGGCGTCGTGACCGGTCAGCGCACATCTCTATTTCGGACTAGAAAAATGGCGGACGCACCTCGAAGTGCAGGAAGTCGAGGCGCAGCTGCGTCACGTCGGGGTTCAGCTTCTCCACCGTGATGAAGCAGTTGACGTAGCCGTCCACCGCGTCCACGCCCTCCAGGGCCGTCGGGGAGCTGACGAAGTACGTCGAGTTGTGCCGCGTCGTCCCGCCGCACGTCTTCTCGACTGCGGAGTGCAAACGCCGCGGACGGACGAGGCAGTCAGTCAAGCGATTCCGCTGCCCGCGCCCCTCGCTCTGTCTCTGTCGCACTCGTGGAGAGTGCCGTAAGGTTGCGAGAGAAACAGAGCGACGAGTGCGGGCTGCCGGCCGAAGGTCCAGCGCCTGAAGCCTGTGGAACGGATGGCGGACGCACCAAGTGCGGGGCAGGCGAGCGTGGCGCGGGTTCAGCTTCTCCCCGTGATGAAGCAGTGACGTAGCCGTCCACCGCGTCCACGCCCTCCAGGCCGTCGGGGAGCTGACGAAGTATGTCGAGTTGTGCCGAGTCGTCCCGCCGCACGTCTTCTGACTGCGGAGTGCAAACGCCGCGGACGGACGAGGCAGTCAGTCAAGCGAGTCCGCTGCCCGCGCCCCTCGCTCTGTCTCTGTCGCACTCATGGAGAGTGCCGTAAGGTTGCGAGGGGCGCTAAGCCCGCCGGCCTGCCGCACAGTGGGCCAGAAGACCAGTCGAGACGGCCAAAACTCTAGACGCGTTTTGAGCTCCAGAGTCGCTTAACAGGCCTCGAACCGCAGGTGTGACCCCACCACTGTGTGCCGGCCCAGGGATCCAGCTCGAGTCAAATCGCAGTCGTTGCCTGGGCTAAAGTGAACTAAATTGGAGAAAGGTCATAATTTGTTCCGTTTTGAATTTGTTTTCCCTTTATTCAGGCCCAGTGAGTGGTAGTTCTCGGAGCACGATCCTGAGCACCACTCCAACCCAACCCTAGTCAAATTTTTGGCCTGCAGGTTCGCCGCGCTTGGCACTGCACTGCCTGCACTTGGTGCCTGGAGGTGGCCGTGCTCGCTGCTCGCGCGGTGCTGGCATGCTGGCGTCGCCGCCACGGTCCAGGGCGTCGGCTCGAGGCTGCTGCAGGCCCGAGGCCTTGCCCGAGGCGCCTCCATGCGTGCCGCGCCGCGCCGGGAGAAACTCGCCACTTTTTAAACTCATTTTCCGTAGAAAAGGAAATCGCGCCGTGGCCGCCTCGCCGCCTCCCAGGCAGTGGGCACTCACACAGGCAGCAGACGCCGTAGCCCTGGGCGCAGGCGCCGCCGGGGTGCCCGCCCAGCGAGCGGCACTGCAAGTGGTGGTAGCAGGTCCCCGTCAGACCCACGGCGGGGGCCTCGCACGCGTCGTTCGAGAACTGCACCACCGTGAACAGGTTGAGGACTGTGGGAACACGAGACCAACAGTTAGGAGCCAGGACGACGCCGTTCCACGCGGCGTGTCTTTCCTGCTAATTAGAATAAGCGTGCAAAACGCCGCGCGAGCTTACACTTGGCGATCTTCTGGCGCATCTTGAGCTTCTTGGTGCGCTGCCGCAGCGCCGCGCGGTCCACGCTGCCCGGCGTGATGCTCTCCGGCGTGGCGTTGGAAGGGAGGGTGAACCCGCCGCCCGCCAAGGACGCCAGTGGGGACGCCGTGGGGACCTCCAGGGCGGCGTCCGTCGCGGAGCCCAGCCCCACGCCCGCGCCCACGTCTGTCGGAACGGCCTTGGCGGGAGGACTTACTGTGATACTGCTCGAGGTAGCCGACGACGCCGCCGTGCCAGCGGCGTCGTGCGCACCGAACGCCGCATGCGTGGTCAACCAGTCCGGCAGCTCGACGTTGATCCACCTCCTGGACGCCGGCCACGGGCGCCACGGGCCGGGCGCCGCGTCGACGCCGCCGTTGCCCAGCAGGCGCTGGTACACGGCAGGGAAGTTGTTCTTGACGGGAGACACCCCGCCGGCGAGCGGCTCCATCCTGTCGTTCTGTCGGCGCCGTGGCGGCAGCGGCGTCCTGGTGTCACTCGGCCAGCCTGTGTCGCTTGCGTCTTGAGCGGCACCGCCGTGCGCTTGGAGGAGCGCCGCCGCGAGGAGGTGCTGCTGCAGCACGAGGAGGCCGAGGACGAGGAGGAGGAGGCAGCGCCCCGGACAAGGCATCCCCCAAGGACGCGCGCGACAGCGAGGACCTGGCCGACCTGGGCCCCGTGCACGGGGACGGCTCTCGGCATGGCATCGCGACCACCGCCACACTCGCACTGAGTCTTAGGTCTTCACCTCGTCGCCGTGCCCGTGGTCATGGCCGTGGTCATGGCCGTGGTCGCCTCGCCCGGGGACTCGGGACGCGGGGCACGGGCGTGGCGCCGTCACGCCTCACGCCTCGCCGAGCACGGCCCCGCCGCGCCCCATGCAGACTCATTCCGAGCACTGCTCTCGTCCATCCTTCTCTCTCTCGCTCAAGGAGCGTCCCGGAAGGGTCCGAGAGAGACACGACGAAAACGGCGCTCGGAATCAGCCGGCTGCCGCGCTGCTGCACGCGCGTGATGCTGGCCATGCTGGCTGGGTACGCCAGCAATTGTCCAAAGTGGTTCAAAGAAGCAGCCATTTTCACCTCGGCTACACTCTGAATCAAAAGGCGGCACCGGGGAGCACCACCCCCACCCAGGCAGTACCCAATATTTGGCAAAATTTACCATTCTTTTCCGCGTTGCAAGACTTGTGGTGTATACATTTCATTGCCTCTACAATGCTGGGGATATTGCGACCCCAAAATATTTTTCCGTGACTCTTTGGAGGGCATAGGTAGGTGCCCCGACAGCCCGCTGCGCTTCCCGACCCAATAAATTCCCCGATGCCGATATAGTGTGCGCGAGGAGGGAGGCAGTAAGTGGTGGGTAAATAAAAAGTGACAACTCATAACTTGGAATAGATAAATTTATTTGATTCATCGATCACAAAAACGGGCATTATGGCTATTTGCTGACATTACTGACATTTTCAAAGGGCTTAGTTTGTATTAAAATTGGATAAAATTTGTATAGTACACAATTGCAGGTTTTGAGAGCTACATTGATACAATACTAATGGACAACTTCAGAATATCAATTTGATTTTTATTTTTTTTAAGAAGAAAAAGCTACCTACAAATGCCAGGGAAGACAGAGCGTGTTTACCGTGTAGTCTGCCTTAACTACCTTAAAAATCACTCATATTACGATAAAAGAGAGCATGAACTGAGGTACATCCAACAGATGAGACTACAAGTCGATTGTGCAAAGAGACTAACATCTCACCCAGACATGTTTGTGAATTCTTTCACAAAGCGTAAATTAATAAGGGCATTTCATTTTGATGGTAATCATTCTCCAGGATAAAATTAATCAACAACTAAGTGATTTTGGTTAAAAAGAATGAGATCAAAGCTCTTGATGGCATATAATGAAAGTTATGTGCACACAAAGAAAACGCATAAAGATACAACACAATGGCACCAGCATGGCACATTTGTTATCAAAAGACAAGACAAAATTAGAAATTAATGAGAACTATTCTACTTATAGGTGAGATTTAAGTCGGCATCAGCTAACACATTAGATAACCATAAGTTTATTGGTTCACAAGAGCTCTGACTGAGTTCGGAATGTGGATAATGGAGATGGTTGTGACCCAGGAATTTCACTGCGCCTCCTATGTTGAAAGGTCAAGGGTGCAGTAAGACGGTTATCTTGACGTTTGTAATTATCGTTGAAGTCTAGTCTAGAGCTCAATAGCTGTAAGCAAATGTCTGGCTGAGTGGTAAGAAGGAGTAGAAACTTTTTAACTACTTCCTGGTAACTTTGAGCCAAGACACGAAGCCCAACTCTTGCTGAAGACAAAAATGCTTCAAACTCTTTGATTGCAATTTGGTTTTGTTCTTCAATTTCAGCATTGGTTCCATGCTCTTCAATATATTTCTCAAGATCCGCCCTCCGCTTCACTTCTCGAACTACACACGCATGCAGTTTCTCTTCTCGGGCTTGAAGCTGAAGAGCCAAGTCAAAAATAGTTCGCAATTGCGTTGATAGTTCCTAAATCAAGAAAAATACATAAATAGTTAAATGACTTGAAACACCATTAAACTTAAGATCTATTGTAATGTATCGTATACCTCAGAAGAATCATCAACAAGAGCGCCAGCCTTAATTCTGTCAAGAAATTGGCTGTGTGCTTTAATGATATCATCCAAGCCATCAGCTTGCTGAACATTGGATATAAGCTTGTCCCATGAACATTCCATAACTTCAAATAGGAAGTAATATTGGAGCTGATGAATCAAATGTATCATTTCTGCAGATAGAAGGTACAACTGTTGGAGAACAGGTGACAGCTCTGAAAAACATAGGGATAAAAACCTTTGTTAAGAATGTGCTAGTACACAAGAAAATAAATGAATTTAAAACACCCATCTTACCTGGAATCTTGGGCAACATTTTTGCAGAAGTAGTTAGGCGCTTCCACATGAGAGACAAAATCCATTCAATTCTCTTGGCACGCCAAAGAGCATTAAAGAGCATTAGGTATGACAAAGTGCATGATGAAAACACCTGAAACAAAACGTAAAAGAAATTACAAATTATTTCTGTGTAAGGGAGCATATTAGTTCTTTTTTTTTTTCAGACAGAATATTTACAGTTCCTATTGGTCCATCCATGTGATAATCCATACTGAATATATCCCAACCAGTGTCCCCAGGACTATGTTCAAGTAAGCGAACATCCAGTCTCTCAAGGATTGATGCATCCTCAAATTGTGCATTAGTAGCTCTAATAGCTGATTCAAGAATGGCAGTTAGGTTGTGTGAATTCAGATCTGATGCTGGCTTCCGCAATTCAGGCCTGCGACAAAAGAAATTTCATATACCAAAGTGTCCAAAAACCATCTAAGCAACAATGATAAAATCCCAGCATTGAGGACTTACTCTAGGAGCTCCATGAGATGGCGAATGAAATCACCCTGCCCCAACAGCAAATATCTCCTCAAAGCTTGCATATGTTCCATGAATTTATATTTACTGTTAAGAACATCAAGAACCCTAGAAGATATTTCAAGATAAGTAGTGTTCATTAAACTTTGGAGATCGCTATGATGGTCCAAAGAAAATAATGCTTCATCTGGAGAAGAAAAATCATAATTAAAATTTATGAGACAGATCAACCTTAAGAATTATGTTGCAAAATGATAATGCAACATACCACTAGTATTTTGAAGGGCTCGTCTCAAAATTTCTCGGCTGTTGACTGGTGAATGATCTTCACACACTTGACGTAAGAAGTTAATACTTTTCCCGGTAGCTAGAATTTTGCGAGCTTGAATCATGGATATAAATGATGGAACCATGGATTCTCTGAAATCAAAGGGAAAAGAGAAACAGGTAATAACACTTTTTTAATTTAGATCTGAAAACAGTTGTTAAAGAGAAGCAAGAAATAATTATAGTTATCATACCTAACTTTATATTTTTCATGCCAAAGTTGATCATCCCCTTTAATCTGCAAATTGGTTTGTACGAAAAATTCCTGAAATGGGTCTTCAAGTTCTCCATCTAATATCCATCTAGACAACATAGCATAAAGCGGCTTGCACACCTGCAACATGTTTTAATATAAAATCCAAAAAGATATTTTGAAAAATGTGAAAAAAAATTATTATATTCAGAAGAATCATACTAACAGCAACAAGAATCGATCGGGCAACATTGCGGGCATATGAGTCTCCATGACGTAGAAAGCCATGAACAGTTGAAACCAGAGCGCCTCCCTTTCGATCTTGGCATGCTTCACAAATAGTAACCAACCACTTCAAATGGCATAGTGGTTGGCACATATGCACTTCAAGTTGAAGCAGAGTCAAACCAGGTTGATTGAGGGATCCTGCAGAGCCTCTTGATACCCCTTCGGACATGGGTGACTCAATGGTTCTCTCAGTTTGCTGAAGCTGCATAAACAGATAGTCCACCAATGTAAAACAAGCATATGTGAACTACATTGGATCTATTCCACAGAGGAGGAATGCTACCGAGAAAACTATCGACAAACCTGAGATTGAAGGTCAGCCAATACTCTGTAAAACTCAGACAAATCATTGGAAATCTCAGTGTTCAAAGCCTGCGTGATAAGCCCCTTACTAACAGAGCGGTGCTTGTCTGCATCACGGAAAGCTTCCAGTTTGTTATGCAACCATCCTATCTCTGCTAAACGCTCAACAGTTCGACGTTGGGGTCTTGACAGCTGATACTGAGGAAACATTGCAATTAGCTTATGACATGTAGAGTGCGTACTTCAGTTAAGAAAGAAAATAAGATATTTACTTTGTGACTGATATATAATCCGTTTGAAGTAGGATCACGTTTCAGTATTTTGCCCTCAATACCCTGGAAGCTGTACAGCAGCTCTTGAATAATAGTTTGTTCAGAAACATTGGGTAAATCTGAAACATTACGGGCTCTCAGTATTACACTAAAAAGCTGCAGACAACTTGTCCCTGAAGAACTATTGTGAACACACACATACAAAAAACAAAACAAGAGGCCTTACCAAAAGGACCAGGGGCAGCACTAGCACCTTCAGTCCACACTGCTCTAGGACTGGACACATGATTCACAGCGCCTACAAACACAATGGTTTTCATTGTAAGTGTTGCTTTACTACTCAAAAAACTTAATAAAATTAAGTTTACTTTACCTGCACTCTGTAGTGGGCCTTTCTTTGCTGGCAGGCTTGTGGGATTGTTATTCTCCCAGTTTCTATCCCATGCTTTTCCTTTCGAGTTTAAATTCAGCGATTCCATATTAGCCAAAGTATTTAAAGGCATTTCCTGAACAAAAAAAAAACAAGAAGACAAAGAATATTAGTAAAAAAAACCTGTGGAATATCAAAAGTATTTGATACTAATGTGGAGGACTCGTTCTTTACAATATGTGGTTCACCAGAAACAAATGAGAGATGGGTTTGTGCGTTTAGAAATCAAGTGAAGAAGTAGACATCTGCAAATCATAAATTTTCTTTTGCCCTCCAAAAAGGTTTTAAAATAATTTGACATTCAAGCATCGTGATTGGTTTCCGCATTTGGCGGGAAGTCCCCAGTCTCGTTCAAGGTGGTCAACAAAAGAATTTAACTCATTATTATCTCAATAGATGGCGCCATCGTCACACCTCCTAATGACCATTGACCTCAAATTTATGGTATAAAGCGATATATTTCCTTATACATGTTGACAAAACTTAGTCACTTTAACACCAAATAGTTATAAATGTTTAATTTTAACTTTGATTTACTTATAAACATACCTTATGGGTAAATATTATGAAATTACAATCACTTTAAAACACCCATTACTCCAATCTGTAAAACCTTCTATATCTCTTTTTTTAGATAAATAATAAGAAAAAACCTCTTAGAGAACTTTCTAATTGCACTTTAAGCTTTAAATTCATCACGAAAAAGTGTTGCTTTATCTTCATTTTCAGTGAGAAATGTGCAACAGAAGCTGCTTGTAACACAATTTTCTACACTCATCATTTCTGCCATTCAAACTCGATTTTCTCAAAATTTTACATAGAAACTGAAATAAAAAACCTCATAGTATTGTTGTTAGCAATAACAAAATGTATCAAATCATGTGAATATGGGGGCTATATGTGTAATTGATGTCGAGATGAACCACATCACCACATTTCTGTGTTGAGCACAATACTCGTTCTCTTTAAGTGATAGGTTTTTTTTTTTTTTTTGTTTTTGTAAAGAACGAGTAAAAAAATAGGAACAGATTAAGTAACACACACTCATTTGGCCAAGGGTGCATTTATACAAGGGTGCAAGTTAAGAACATTATTTTTAAAAAGACCCACTTACCAACAAAACTTTTTCAGGTCTATCAGGAGGGATTGTAACGTTACTTAAGCTGCTAAGTAAAGAAATTATTTCAGCCCTCTTCTTAAGAACACACTGCAATAGGAAAACAGAGCCATGAGTGAGAAAAAAAAACAGAATCTTTTCGAGCTTATAAAAACGCATTTTAAGCTTTCAAAAGTATCTCAACAGAGAACCAATTTCTCAATTAAAAGCAACTACTGCCTTACATGCGTCTTTAGTTTCCGATGCAAATCCCGGAAGATTGCAGCGTCTTCTTTATTAGCTGCGGAGAGTTTCCTCTTGATGATTTCAACACAACAAACTCATTCACAGAGGCATCAGATACAGGTTTGTGTTTGTCCAGTGATTTGCTTGCAATGTCGAACAGATGAGTTGGATTGACACCTAAAATCAAATAACCACATTCAAAAATCAAGAAGATTGAAAATCAATGAACTTCACAACAAAAATTAACGAAATTATGTTGATAGTTAACAAAGTTAATTTATTTTAAAAACGAAGACTTTTCTCCTTGCCTTATGGCAAAATAAACATAATAGAACAGACACCCATAACCTCTGAAATTAAAGGCGTAGTACAGTACTCAGTTGATCGAATACATGAAGACACGTCCATTAAAAGTTCAAATGGTACTACCAACAACAAGAAGTAGTCGAATTAATAAACGTAGATTTATTTTTGGTCATCTGCTGAAGAGTTTTCATCTAACCTTAACACAGCACATCTACTACTGTGGGTGACAGCAAGTTTAACGAACCTTTCTCATTCTTACTCAGACGTAAACAAAGCTCATATAGAAGGTCAGACTTCAAGTATTCTTCGGGGTGATCGCGATTCATTATGACATTCACATTTTTGCAAAAGTTAAAGGATTGACAGTTCAATTTTCATTCAATTCGATTCGGATTCGATCGCGGCTGCGGGAGTTTGCGCGGGAGTTGCATATGTATGAGAAATTGCACATGTGGTGATTAAGTCCCTTTAGGGCCCTAGGCCTTAGTCTTAGTCGTTTCGTGTAGAGGCGGCAGCCGTTTCGTGAAGCAAGAAACTAGGGCTCTAGGCTCTAACTGAAACTAGAAACCCCAGAAACTGAAGCTTGCAGCTCAGCAGCCAGCAAAAGTTTTGCTGACTGTCTCAACTCGGAATAATAGCGTACAAAGGAAAAAATATTTAAAAAATGAAGTTGCATTGTTCTTTATTAAAAAATGAAATACTTTCTGCATTCCTAAACAATTTTATTTTACAAAACTAAATTTAACAAAGCTTAAAGTACGGACAAATACAAAAACTATAATTAGACATATTGCAGCTGTTATCAATAAGAAACACCACCACAAAAATATGGTTGTCTAAGTATTTTCAGCTTCGACCTCAGTTTTCATTTCAGCTTTCTCTTGAACATCATTTTGAGGTGAAGGCTGTAGTTTGGGGTGAGCTTGACTATCAGATGCACTGGTGCTTATTGCACTGGACTTGGTTGATATTCTTGCAGACTTTTTTGGCTTTCCTACAGGGTTTCTGAACTAGGGCAAGGAACATTGATATTAGATGCACTTGACTTTGCTGATCTTCTTGTAGATTTTGTTGGGGTGACTTCAGGGATTTCTGGACTAGAGCAAGAATCATTGATATTAAGTGCACATGACTTTGCTGATCTTCTTGTAGATTTTGTTGGGCTGACTTCAGGGGTTTCTGAAGTAGAGCAAGATTCAGTGATATCAAGTGCACTTTTACTCCTCCTTGTAGATTTTTTACCCTTGTTTCCAGGGACCTCTACTTTAAGGCAAGACTTTTTTGGCGACATAGTAGAGGTCAGATCATTTTTGACTTGAGCTTTCTTTCCTCCTCTCTTTTTGGTTTGAGGGGGCGTAGAGATGTCATCAACAGAAGAGTGAGAGTTCTTCACTGTGCTGCTAGATTCAGCTTTATTATTAATCAGATCTTTTTCGGTACTCAATTTTTCAATGCCTTTGTTTTTTATTTTAACTGGAGTAGAAATGGCAGACAGAGACGGCAAGGTGCCTGCAACTGTGCTGCATTCATCACCTTTATCAGACGGTTGGACAGTCACAGAACTATTTTGTTTTCCCTTTCTTCTGCCTTTAACAGATGTAGGAGACTTAAATTTTGCTATTTCAGCACTCTCCGGCATTCCTGGTGGAGGTGCAACATCATCAAGTTTTATAGTTAAAACCGACTCCGCACTTTGGCAGGAATCAATTTCTTTCACGACTTCAGAGGAAGAGACTGTTGATCTGCGGTGGTATTTAGTTTTCATCCCTGTAACTTCCTCATAGGCAAAGTCATAACTGCGGGGCCCTTTCCTTTTGTGGCCGGTTGATGGAAGTTTTTCTTGGTCTTGTGATTTCCCTTGACTTAATGTCCTTGACTTTAGCTTCTTACTATTTCTCAAAGAAGGTGGATGCAAAATATGTTCAAGATCAAAACCCTCAGAGTCTGACTCAAGTTCTACATTCAAATCTGTGGAGTTGGCAGTTTTTTCAGAATTAGCTTGTGATGTTGAGGGTTCAGATGCGTCTAGAGTGTCAAGAAGAGTACGATGAGAACCCCTTTGTTTACTCTTAAGACTAAATGCCTTGTTGATAATACTTCTTCGTCCACCTCCTGAAATTAGGACAGTAACTGTTTAATAGTCTTGAACTTCCCTTAACATGGTTCTAGGTCTCAAAATTTTAATTCATATACCCACCAAGATCTGAAAACTTTTTGGCTTCACCAAGGTCTTGACTGAAACCATCTGTTGTGCACAAAATGTTATCTACCATTACCTGTTCTAACTCCTTTTCTGTTCCATTCAGACTTTGAAATTTTGTGTCTTGTTTATCTGGAAAAAGTAAGAGCTATATGAAACTTCTAAAATTCAAATTCTACAAGGGTGAATTGTTTTTGGCTTACCTGCAAGTATTTTTTTAATATTGTTGTATTTGGTGCGGAGTTTATCTGCAGCTGATTTTAAACTCCCTCTGTAAACTCGACCCATTAAATTTTCTAGAGAAAATGTTACACCTGGTTCTAGCTCCTTATCACGAGCTTGCCAAGTTGTCAGGTACTTCCGATAATTTCTTTCTAAACCATACTGAAAAAAAATGAAAGTAGACATTTGGTAAGACAATATTTAAATAATAAATTTCAACCACCGACTGGCCATTACCTCTCTTGTAAAAGCTACCGTCATGAAGGCTCCATCCAAACACATTTTATGAAATATGTAGTTTGCATCAATGAATCCATGAGCCTTTAGACTTTCTACAAACTTTAAAATGACACTCCATTCTTGGGGTGTTACTCGGAACTTAGCAATATCTTGATAGGGCTGTTGTGTATACAATCCATACATCAAATACAAGGCACCTATTCTTTTTATCTGACTGTGTGGAGGTAATATGAAGGACTTCGCAATAGTTAACGCTTCCTCAGAGAACTCCAACAACTCAGAATACGAATCTCTGCCACTGAAACATAAAGTTTAAAAAATGAATAATGGAGAAAACTGTTAGCTTATCCATGTGGCTACCAATTTCCTAAATTTGAAAGCAGACCTGTATATTAACGAAAATTTCTTTTCTTGCCATATAGTAGCAAAGTCCTCAAATGTACTTGTTTGCTTGGCAAGAAACTGCTTTAATATATTCTCACAGTCTGTGTACACTCCTTCTGCGATGTAAACGTCACTTTTGTGTCGAAACTGGGAAAAGCAGAAGAATAAACACACTCAGAATTAATAAAATTAAAAGAATTAAAAATTACCCTGACATTGTGACAGACAGTCACTCACTGCCTCCACAACTTACTCTAGCGTCTTGTTTTGATGTATGGCACGTCTTTTCACTATCGTGCCCGTGAGTGGAGTCATCCGGTGAGTCTACAGCAGCTTCGTCTTCCGATTCCATCACTATTTAGAAATAATTGCTGTATTTGTTTGGTTTGATCTACGACGACTTAACCTCACCTCCCTTCCCGTCGGCACGACTATGACAAATTCTTCAGTCACATAAGCGGAAGCAGCGGAAGCGGAACTTGAGCTTCTGCTTGAACGTTCAAACGGTTTAAACCATTTTTTGAGAAGATCTTTTAGTGAGAGTCATCTACCGATACTTCATTTTTCGGTGTTTCTTAAGAGTATTTTGTATTTTGTAAAGGCTTTAAAAAGGCAACTATAGTCAAGTTCTAAACTTAATTTATTTAACCTTTTTAAAAAATAGAACATTTGTCTACACTCTTCAATCTCAAATCATAATTAGTAAAACAAGACACAGCAGTAACCAAGCCATCAACAACATGAAATGAGGCAAACAAAACAAATGTGACACTGCAGTGTTCCAATTACAACAAACACTAATGGACTGACTACCAGAATACCACTCTGGTAAAACATTGGTAACCTCACACAGGTGCCAGTCAAGACACAAACTCCAACCAGTGATTATTGGAGAGTGATAAATTTATATTTGAAAACAAACAAAAAAGAAGAATCAAATCTCAAATGAGCAATAGTTGAAACTGTACACAGTATCAGAAGAAAAAAGTAAAAAAAAAAAAATAATTGTACAACAAAATTGATTAAAGTTCACTCTTCAAGAGAAAAATATGCTCAACACAAGTAACAAACAGGTGGATTCACTATTTTGAGACAGTGAAAGGTAATTCTCTAGGCTCTTCACTTTTTAACGGGTGGTGGTGGTGGTAGTTGATGTGGTTGCGCAAATTGTTGAAACAAAGTGGCTGACACAGGGACAGTGGGCAACACTGGGAACAGAAAAATAACAGAAATCACAAAACAAGTTCATCTCCTAAAAAAATGAAAGTTTAGCGCTTTGGGGAGAAAATATATTATACCAGAAAAAGCAGGGGGTGCATAAACATATCCTGAAGTCCCCGAAGCATATCCTGGATAAGTTCCTGGAGGATAGGCTGAAGGGGGAGGTGAGCCAGGGGGAGGAGGTGGAGGTGAACTGTCGTCATCATCATCATCGTCATCCTCAAGAGGCAGCGTCCGAACAACCTGAACCTAGAGCAAAACCGGATTAATGTAGCATACATAGCTGTTGATGACCAAGAAATAAAATTTCTAAATATTGTCAAAACACATACCTTAATCTTCCTTTTCACTCTCTTTTTCTTCACCACCTTCTTCTTTTGAATCCTTTCAAGTGGGAGAGGAGATGAGATTTCTTCTCCTGCAGATGGGGAAGTACCATCTCCCGGCTTGACTCCATCAGCAAATTTGACTTCTTTTGGAGCTGGTGGTCCGCCAGAGCTGTCTTCACGGCTTTAAAACAAAATGTTAAATTCAATGGAGACCCAGCAAAAAAAATGGTTAACTACCACAGAGAAATGTTCTATTTTAAGCATACCTAAAAGCCGGAGAAATGAGTATACCCTTTCCTGCAGGAGGAAGAGGCACAGGCTTCAGACGTTTGCGAACAGCGCTATCCCCAGCTCCCACTTCTGTATCATTATCTTCAGTGCCATCAGCCAACTCAGAATTCAACATTGCTTCCTGTAAAACAAAAAGAAAAGTACAATAAAACAATAGTACACAAAAATTTCAAAAATAGTTGTTAAGATTTTCTTGGTACCTCTATAAGTCTCATTTCTTCTATTTCAAATTCTGAGCGTAGAAGTTGACCTTCTTGCAGAAGTGCCTTAGACTTCTTATTTTTCTGTAAACATTACAATTATTAAAATTTCATAAGAACCCAACAGGAGACAAAACTGAAACTGTTAATAGAACTCACTTTGTACAGTTCAGCAGCTTTTTTAATCTTCTGCTGCCGTCGAAGTTCCTTTTGCTTGCGCCTCTCTTCACGCTGCTGTCTTCGCAACTCTCTTTCTTTGCGCTTACGTATCCTCTCTTCCTCCATAGCAGTCACCAAGTCAGGTGGTAGGAATGGCAATTCAGTTATAGATTTGCTCGGCTGAGGAACAGGGACTACGGTGTCATCTGCAAAGAAGCAACAAGCAGGTCAAAAATAGTAAGAGACCATCAAGCAAAGATGACAGAAGGCAATGATAGCCAATGCAGGTACCTTTGGCAGATTCATCCGGCGAGTTGGCAGCGATAGCGGCAGCCACGGCGGCGGCCGCTGCGGCGAGACTAGACTGGGGGGCAGTGCTGGGGGCGGCGGGGGTGGCCGCGGGGGTGCGAGTGGGGGCGGGGGCGGGGACGGGGACTGGTGCAGGGACAAGCGCCGGGGCTGCGAGGGCCGCAGGCGCCACGGGGACGGGGGCGGGCACAGGCAGAGGCGCTGGCGGCGGCGGCGAAGCGACCGCCCTCTTGACGGGCGAGAGCGAGGCCTCGTTGGCGGCGGGGCCAAGGCCGAGGCCGAGGCCGGGGACAGGACCAGGGACCGTGGATCCAGGGACAGCTTGCGGCTGGGTGGAGCACGCCACCGGTACCACCTGGATCATGTTACCCACTTGTTTAATGTGCGAAGATGAAGAGGATGACAGAGAGAGGGGGTCACTAGGAACCGCCTGGAATGAAACGTATGGTGTGTTGAAAACACACGAGTATTAATAACTGAGAAACGCACTTACTAACAGCTTCTTTACTTTCTCCAAATTTGGATAAAACAAAACCATTTAGCATGTTTATTTGAATGCAATGCATAGAGGAACATTACCTTTCTCGATGACCCCACAGGCACATGGTTTTGCTGTAGGGGAATGTGAGGGTGGATGGAGTGCAGCACAGGTGCTGCAGCCAGCGGCGCGACAGGAGGTGTGTCCACAGGGACAACTTGCAGCATGTTGCCAACCTGTAATGACACTCAATTCTAGTACCACTGGCTTGTACATGGCAAGGAGTATTGTTTATCAACTCAAGCTGATGCCTCACCTGCAGGACTCTCGATGCAGCTGAGGGAACTGCTGGACCTACATAATTGAAAAATCAGAATTGTGGGTAAAATCAATCATAAATTTGATTTTCCTATTTATATATTTTTTGCTTTATCTTTTGTTGAAACACTGACCTGCAGCAGGGTAGCCAGGGAAAGTGTAGCCAGGATAAGAGGGGTATAAATACTGAGGAGGAATAGCAGTCGAAGGCACTGGAGGAGCAGGGGGTGGGTTTCGCCCCATTCCCATCTGTCGGCCCAGCTCCAGTTCAATCCTGTCGTCCAGAGATATCCTCTTGGGTGATGGAGAGGACACCTCCTCTTCTCCTAAAAAGCAGAAAAAATAAATGGTCAGGTTAAGTCATTAAGTTTAGTTTGATTGCAGCAAAAAAAAAAAAAATTGACAGTCATGTGCTAACCGTCTTCTTCCTCATCTTCAAACTGACTGGCTGATCTTTGCATTGCTTTGGCTTCGTCATAGTCCCTACTCCTCCCACTTCGTTGCTGGCTCTGAGACAAGTGGCCTGCTGCCTGCCTGTCCCGTTTACCCTGTGAAAACAAATGAACAATAAAAGATAAAAATAATTTAAAATTTTCACCATGCCTTGCTTAGGTCTTTTTTTTTTTTTTTTAAATAGAAGCTTGCTTACCAAGTCAGCATCGATGGTGGTTGAGTCGGCCAAGCTGCGTCGGTACCCCATGACGGGCGAGTTGCTGCTGCTGGCGGTGCACGCCATGCTGGTGGAGGTCGCCGCCATGGGCTCCGCGCCCAGCCCGGCCAGGCCGGCCGCCTCGTGGTGCGCGACGGGATGCACGCCATGGTGCACGCCGTGGAGTAGGCCGTGGTGCGCCCCGTGGAGCGCGTCGTGGTGCGCATCGTGGTGCACGTCCTGATGCAATCCGTGCTGCACGCCGTGCTGGACGCCGTGTTCAAGTTCCTGTTCCACGCCGTGCTGAACGGCGTGCTCCATGCCCATGGACGAGAACGACATGGCGGCGTAGGCCGCTTCCTTCTCATGGTCTCTGATACGCAGTTCGTCCACGACGTCCTTGTCCCGCAAGTCAGGGGGCGGAATCTTCCTCCTGAGCTCCTCGCTGTCCGACCTGGAGACGGAAGAGCTCCGCCGCCGATGGTCCCGCCGGCGCTCTCTGCGTTTGTCCGGACTCTCCCTGCCAGTCTCCCTGCCGCCCCGGCGGTCGTCGTCGCGTTTGCGGCGACGGTCCCGGTCGCGTTCCCGGTCCCGATCCCGGTCGCGCTCCCGCTCTCGCTCAGGAGTGCGATCTCGGCGGCCGCCTCGGCCTCGGTCCTTGTCGCGGTCTCGATCTCGGTTCCGGTCGTGCTCTCGACTCCGGTCGGACCGGCGTTCCACACTTCGACTGCGGGTCCGCCGCTTTCGACCGTCATCCCTGCGGTCCCGGTCCCGGCGGCCCCGATCTTGATCCCGATCTCGGTCTCGCTCGCGCTCTCTGTCACGCTCCCGATCCCGCTTGGGGCGGTCTCGTTCACGCTCCCGGTCGCGCTCGCGCCTCTTCTCGGTCTCCGGCTCGGCCAGGTCCAGGTTGTCGTAGTCAGTCTTGTCCAGGCCTATGCCCATGGCATCGCCTATCGCCATGCCCATGGCACTGCTCAGTCCCACGCCCATGTCGTGGCCCAGCCCCATACCCATGGCATCGCCCATCCCCATGCTTTCGTCCAGGCCCAGGCCCATGGCCTCATCCATGGCCCTGATGACCGCCAGGTCCGGGGCGGGGATGCTGATGGGCGGCTCCAAAGTGGGATCCTGCCAGCTGGGGTCCTGGAAGGCGTCCTGGAAGCTGTCCCGCCAACCAGGGGCCTCGTCGAAAGGCACTTCTGACCAGCCGCGCGGTGGCGCCACTGACTCCAGCCTTGCTTCTGCCTCCAGGCGAGCTTCGGCTTCACTGAGTTCCCTGGCCGCGTCGGGCTGCCGCGCCTCCTGGGGCACTGCCTCGCGCACTGCCTCGTGCGCTGCATCGTGCGGCGCGGGCTCTGCGGGCGGCTTCTCGCCCCACCGCGACTTCCGCTTGGAGCGCTGCTCCTCGGTGGCGCGCTTGGCCGACCCCACCATGATGACGACGCCCTTGGCGCTCTTGGGCGTCGCCGGAGACACCTTGGCGTTGTCAACGGCCTCCATGTGCTCCACGGGGTCCTCGACCTCCGCGGGGGGTTCCACCACCTCGCTTCCGATAGACCTCCACCTGGAGTTGCTGGCCAGCGGGACCTCTGCCTTGGGCGGCTCCTCGATGGGCGGAGACTCCAGCGGGGGTGCTGGAGCCGGGGCTGGCGCGGGCGCGGGGGCTGGCGTGGTGGCTGGAGCAGGAGCAGGGCCCAAGTCGAAGGCGAACGGCCGCGGCCGCTGCACCACCTCCGCGTCCTCCTCGAAGGCGGCCAGGGGCACGACGGTGCGCGCGCGCGGCGCCAGGCTCAGCGACTTGCTACTGGACAGCTTGACCGTGATGGGAGCACGAGCCTTGGTCGGCGTCACCACGTCGCCGTCCTCCACGCCGGGGGGCAGCGGCTCCTCCCAGCCGTCGTCGGCGTCCTCCATGCCCCGCACCATCGACGGGGGCGGCACGGAGAACATGGAAGGCACCGGGGCGGGGACCGGCAGCGGGATGTCGATCATCACGGCGTCCTCGCGGGCCGGGCTGCCGCTGCTAGCGATGGACATGCTGTCCGAGCTGTACTTGTCCTCTGCGGCCCAAGAGTCCGGCACGGAGGGCGAGGGCGCGCTGGGGGCCGCGGAGAAGGCGGGCAAGGCTGGCAATGAGGGCGCGGCCTCGGCCAGGTTCTCTCCACACGTGTCGGGGGTGTCCGGCCTCCGGTCCGCCTGCCGGTCGGCCTTCCGGTCCACGTTCCGGTCCACTTCCGTGTCCCAAATGGTCCGGTCCGCCTCGCAGTCCCAAATGGTCCGGTCCGCCTCGCGGTCGCGCTTCCGGTCGCCTTCCTTCTTCTGCTGGGAGGCTTCGCTGGCTTCGCTCGCGGAGGCGCGGCGGCCGTCGCGGTGTTCGCGGTCCTTGCGGCGCCGGGGCTGCTGCAACTTGAGGTTGTTGGTGGGGAAGTCCTGCATTTCGTCGTCCAAGCTGTCCCACGTTGACGCTGCTCGCTTGGCCCCGGCGTCCTTGGACTTGGCCTCGGAATCCTTTGGCTGTGAGTCCTTGGCTTGGGAGTCCTGCGACTGAGAGCCCTTGGCTTGGGAGTCCTGGGTCTGAGAGTCCTTGGCTTGGTAATCCTGGGACTGAGAGTCCTTGGTTTGGGAGCCTTGGAGCTGAGCGTTCTTTGATTGGAGGTCATTAGAGTGAGAATCCTTGGACTTGAGCCTGGGCTGGTCCTTGTCGGACGCGGTGCTCTCGGATGTCGTGTTCTCCTTCTTGTCCCGCTCCGTGTGCCGGTGCCGCCCCTTCTCTAATTCCTTCGATTTCTCTTTCAACTTTCTTCGATCGTCTTCACTATGGGTGCGGCTCTTCTTTTCCTCTCGCGACTTCTTAGGAGGCTGAGCTGCTTCAATATCAAATGAGTCCGCATCAGCATTTAAATCGTATTTCCGTTTCAGATTACCCTCAGTCTGAGCACTGGAGTCCGGTGGTTGAGTCTCAGTTGGAGGGTCCTTAGCATCGCTGGGTGCAATTTCTTCCTCCCAGCTTTTCAAAACATCTTCACCATCGGTTTGCTGCTGAGATTTTTTATCGCCTTTGTTCTTTTTCCCTTTGCTCTTCACCTTTGAAGTCTCTTTGCTTGTTTCTTCAGACTTCTTCTTTTTCTGTTTTTGTTTCGACTTTTTCTTAGACTCGTCTGATGAAGAGCTGTCATCAGAGTCACTATCACTGCTAGTCGAATCATCACTGCTTGAGCTGGAACTTGAGCTCGTGTCCTGCTTTCTTCTCTTCTTTTTGCGATCCTTTTTCTTTTTGTGTTTTTTGGACTTTTTGTCAGAATCACTAGATGAGGTGTCTGGTTCACTGTCACTACTAGAACTGCTGGAAGCCTTCACTTTTACTTTCTTCTTTTTCCTTTTGAGTTCTTTATCTCTTTTCTTTGACTTGTCTCTGTCCTTTTTAGTGCCAAGTGATTCACCATCATCAGTCTTTGATCTTTTCCCTTTCTTTGTTTTAGAATCAGTGTCTTTGGCAGCTTCTTTGTCCTTCTTGGAATGCTTATCAACTTTCAAGTCAGAGCGATCTTTAGTTTTTCTGTTTTTTCGTCTCTTTTTCTTTTTGTCCTCACTCCCACTTCCATCATCACTGTCTGAATCACTTGAAGTACTAGAGGATTTTGATCGCCTTTGTTTCTTTTTCTTGTTGTCAACAGATTTCCTCTTTTTCTTTCTTTTTACCTTAGTCTCTTCTTCACTCTCTGAAGAGCTCTCATCATCAGATGATGAGGATTTTCCAGATGTCTTTTTGACCTTTTTAGACTTTTTCTTCTTGGTGGATTTATTTCTGATCTTTTCCTTCAGGCGGTTAAGTTCTTTGTCAACTAGACTGATAATATCTTGAGATCGTTTACCCTTATCAACCATAAGTCGTTCCAAGTCTGAGGTGGAGAGACCAGCTTTGGTCAGTAGTAATTCTTGAGCATTAAATTCTGAGATAGATGAGTCTCGAGAGCCATGGTTAGAGCTCTTCGCACCACTTCTTCTGGTTTCTTTGTCATCATCTTCTTCCCACTGCTTTTCTCGACTTGAATCAGACTTAGGCTTTTTACACTCATCAGGGTTGGTGGGAGACGATGCTTCCCAGTCTCCATCTACAGTAGCTGGCTTCTTCACTTCCCCAGGATTGTCAGCTGGTTTCGCTTGAGAAACATCATTGTCATCACCAACTTCAACGAATTTCATAAACTCCTCATATTCAGAAGCAAGTGGGTTTGTTAGTATGGGTTCCTCTGAAGGGTTTTGATGTGAAGAAAGTCCCAAATTTTTAACAGTTTGGGTGCTGTTGTCCATTTCTTCATCATTATCCCAAACATTTTCTTTGATTGTTTTGTCACCTTCAAAATCATTTGTTTTCTGCTTTGATCTGTCTTTTTTCTCCTTCTTGTTACTCACAGGCCCATCAACAAGCTCAGTTTTAGCAGAACTTCTTTTTTTGGTAGGAGAATTTCCATTTCTCCCACTTGAATCATTTGGAAAGTCATCCCACATATCCTTCTTATCTGCTTCTGGTTTTGATTTACCTTCCTTGTTGACACTGTCATGATGTTTCCTTTTGCCTTCAGTTTTCTTTTGGGGTGACTTTTCTGAACAGGGCTGAGTAGACTTAACTTTATCCGCATCCTCATCTTCCCAATCACTTACTTTGACACTTCCTGGACCATCTAAGGTACTCAATGGTTTCTCATGTAAGTTGGTGAGTTTAGATGACTTTGAATCCTTATGTTTGACACTTTCTTTTCCATCTTTAGAATCTGCATGCTTAGAATTGCTATCAACTTGTTCCACATTCTCCAGTGCCCTACTGTCACGTCTCTTCTTCTTCTTTTTACTTTTTTTCTCAGAAGTTTTAGTAGTCAGACTTTCAGTTACTAACTTTTCATTTACCTTGTCCCAACTAGACAATTTATCATCCTGGGAGTTTTCAGGTACATCTTCATGAACATTTCCAAGTTCTTCAACTGTATTGTCAGTCTTTGAGAGGGGAAATTCTTCCTCTCCTTCTTCAAAATCACTATCCCACTTTGAACGCACAGTTGAACGGTCAGTTACAAGTGCTAATTCATCATCATCAGCAGCATTCTGAGGGCTGGGTGCTTCACCAATGGTGATCCCTTTGTCAGCTTCATCTTTGATGTCACTTGTCTCTGTTTGAATAGGCTTTTCCCTTAAAGTTTTGTCACCATCTAAGATAATGTAGTCGTCATCATCATTTAATTCATTCAAGCGTGAAATGAGATAATCATGCTGTGGGTACCACTCCTGGACATTTCCCTTCTCATCCTCTGCAGTTTGATCTTCATAGGACTCTTGCAAAGCAGCTAAGCCTGCCATAGTAGGGAGATCAACACTTTGCTTCTTTTGCATCCTGCAAAGGAAGTGAAAAAAAATTAATTATAAACAATAACAATGATAATACTTAGCAAATAAGAAATTTTGAATTACAAGCTGATAATTTCAGATAGTTTAGCAGAACCGCCTAGAACATACCTTCGTCTCCCTTCAAAAAAGAAGTTTAAGGTATCAAGAATATCATCAGGAGCTCTTTCAATAATTACTGCACGGCTGTCAAACTGAGGTATCAGATTTGGGTTACCACAAAATACAATTGCTGGTTTTGTTTTGGTGTATTTAAGCTGTACAAAAATTAAATCAGAAATGTTACTTAAATGGAATGTGTTAGCAGAGAGCAATAATTCTAAAAAATAATTGAAACAAACCATAGCTTCTGGAAAAATCTTGGTAGTAGTCACAATAGAATTCAAATTCCGCCGAGGAAGGTCGAAAATGGAAACCTTAGCCCCTTGTGTGCCTTTTTCATGTACACTGTCACTTTTAGACCCATTTTCATCTTTATTACTGTCACGATCTTTACTCCTTTTACTGGATTGGTCACGACTTCTGAGGAGAGTATTCCAAAGTAAAATAAGACACACAAAAGCAACAGGTGTTTAAATAAAAATATACAAAGACCTGCAAAATAACTAACCTATTTCTTGGTGTTTCTTTGTGATCACTTTTAGAACTTTTTCTCTCCAATTCTTTTATTCTATCTCTCAATGTTTCTAAATCTTCAAAAGTAGTGTATCCCATACTAAAACATTCTGACCATGATTGAGGAATGGCATGATCTTTTTTATCGTCTTTCTTATCATTCTTTTTGTCATCTTTTTTATCTTTCTTTTTTTCCTGAGGAGATGACTTATTTTAAGTCATAAGGTAATGGTGGAAAATACATCAACAGTTACTGCATTAATTTTGTTGACACTTACCTCCTCTTCCTCAGGCCGATTTTTATCCCTTGATCTGTCCTTGTCAAAATCCTTTTCCTTCTCTTTTTCTTTATCCTTCTCTTTTTCTTTATCCTTCCCTTTATCCTTTGACTTTCCCCTGTCCTTGCGTTTATCTCTCTCCTGATCCTTGCTTCTGTGTTTATCCTTGTGTTTCCGATCACGGCTATGGCTACGGCTTCTTCTCCTAGAAAAAGTAAAAATAATGAAAAAACTGCCAAATAAATGTGAAGATGAGAGTAAAAAGACCTATAAAGTTTATCAACGTGCCTGTGGCGCCGTCGATCTCGATCTTCTTTATGGGTGCTGCCTTTATCATCCTTGGATCCTGTCTTGCCTTTTTCTTTATCTTCAGGAAGGCTAAACAGACCTAAATAGGAAAAATTATTCCATGGTAATTATCTCCAAATAAAATTAAGAATGAACTCATGAATCTCAAATTCTTTTTCCACAAACAAAACCTTTGGGAAAGGTTGAGTAAGAGGAGAAAAAGGAATGAAAAAAACAGTTCTGGCATCCTGCTTGGAGAATTTAATCTCACCTGCAAGCAAAGGATTCGAAGAACTGTCAAGAAGAGGCGCCAGAGGTGAAAAGTCAACATTACGTGCTGAGCGATGAGAATGAGCCTTCATCATATCCAGTTCTTGTCTCTTCAATGCTTCAATCGAGGCAACGGTGGCTCGTAACTGATCCTCTCTGGATCCTGCTAGGATGCAATTGAAAATAAGAATTTAATATATAAAAATGCAAAAATTTTCAACTACAGCAAATTTAAATTTTTTAAAAAGGGGCAAAAAGAGGGGCTAAACTGCACCTTTGGTTTTCTTTTTCTTCAGTTCATCTGATGGAGCAGTAGAAGATGTAGTAGAAGGACTGTCATCATCTAGAGCAATCTCTGCAATAGAATCGTTAAGACGTGCAGAGCTCTTAGATGTACCAGCAGACAAGTTTGCCTGCTTGGATAGCTGGAACGCCCTGAGGCGTTTCTTAGCAAGTTCCTTTCCAATTACTGGAACAAGTGACTTAGTAGGTGTCGGTTGAGATGTGGATGATTCATCCTCTGCTGCAGACTGACTTGGAGAGTAACTAATGGATAAAACAATCTGTTAAACAAATTCACAACAATGTGCTCACACAGGGCAAATTCCAAATGCGTTACTTACAAACTTGAGTTGAGTTCATCAGTGCAAGAACTTTCATCCCTGCTCTCATTCAAACGATCAGCATCTGACTTGATTCTGCCATCTGAAGGGGGTAGGGGCGGGATACATAAGGGGAAAGGAATGTCAGGGAGTGGAATAGCACTGGGAGGGGGTGGGTTGCTGCAGCTAGGAAGAGGGGGCTCGCTCGGGGGAGGGGGTGGATTGCTACCAGGTGGGGGGGGATTAGAATGGCTTAGATTTTGATAGGGTTCATAGGTCTCTTGAGAATAAGGTGCTGGGCATTCTGGCAAAGCTACAGGCTGGGCACCCGAGAAGTCACTGAATGCTTCGTCCTGTTGATACTCTGACCCATTATCATAACTACCAGGGTAACCATAGGAATACATGTCATAATCATAGTTCCATCCTTCATAGCCACCAGGTGGGTAAGCTGGTCCGCCTCTGAAACCTCTACTCCTGCCACGTCCACGTCGTGGACCATGAAATTCCTCTGGAGGTGCTAACGGCTCACGTGGTGGATTTGACCCATAAAACCCTCTACCTCTCCACTGGTTTGACTTGAAAGGTGAGTGTGAATTAAGCTGAGCATGGGGTTCACTTTCAAGTTCTGTCCAAGGTGCATCATCTGTAGTAAAATCCACATCATCATCAAAATTAACAACAGGAACACGCTTTTCCATCAGAGGATGATGCCCATGAGGAGAAGAGAAAGGATTGCTGGACTGCTCACGAGAGGGCCAGAGCTTCCTACTCGGATTAGTCCCTGGTGGGCTAACATCCGGCTCTGATACAAAATATGAAACATCACTGCCATTATTACCATCATTGGTCTGGGAGGGGTTCCTGCCAATCTGAGGGGATTGTGCTAGCAGAGAGGGGGTTGTGCTTTCTTCTATAGGGTTGTCTTGGACTCCTGGTGGGAAAAGGTCCTCTGACCCCACATCATCTTCATCCATCATTAGGCTTATAGTGCAGGTGCCCTGAAATTTACAGACATACTGGTAAATACATAGCATATTTAATTATTCAATAAATAAGGTTCTTCATTTTCAGAGTTGCAGTGTAATCAATATTTAATTAAAAATTCTATTAGTAAATATAGATGGTTTAATAATAATTAATGTGGATGTTAAAGTTGACATGCAAAATAAACAGATACAACCAGGAGATATTCGAATGATTTTTCTCCTTTTTTCAAGAGCTTAGAGAAATGGCGAGAAGTTAAATGTGCCCAAATGAAATACAACGTCTAGAATCGGGGACTGGCATAAAGGATAAAAGGAAAACATGGGAGAAAATAAGGAATCTTGGATCCTTCGCGAGGTTAGGATCAATGTAATACATGTTTAAACGACGCATAACTGAGGCCTTTTCACCGCTTTGAGCAGGTCAGTCAAAGGAAAAAGAATTACAATTGCGCACTGGCCTTACCTTTACCGGCTTTCACAGAGAAACCCAACCATGGCAACGATAAACCGATGTGAAATAGTTGGTGTTCGCAGCTGATGGACTTGCTCCGGGGGAGGGTGCATGGTAGGCCTACGGTCAGGACGCTGTTTTGCGGCCACCGTCCATCACAGTCGAGCCGTCAGTCAAAGTTTGAATGCACGGTCCGCGACTTGCAGTTTTATTTACACTCTGGACCACTATTATGCAAAAAATAACAATTGTTTTCAAGAGGGGAAATTGGTAAACAGGCGTTTTATCACATTTTCCCACCGCCTTCAGCAACACGATCCGGCGTCCGCGTTTACGCCCCCTACAAACCGGTGCCGGGCGGGGATGAGGTCACTCCGGAAGCGAAGGATGACAATCTCGTCGAGCGGGAGCGGAAGGAGGGGAGGAGCTCCGGTGGCGATACCCCTTGCCTCCAGTGCCTCCCGTGCTTTCAACAACCCGTGGCGTGAAACCCGTAGTAGGAAAAGAAGAGGGATAGCGAGAGGTGGATTAAGAATGTCCATTAAATTCAAAAATAAAAATTTATTCATACATTAAATTTTTAGTTATTTACAAAATTATGGAACTAGTTCTAAAAATAAGTAGTAAGGTTCTTTTTATGGCGCTTTATCATTAAGTTATTACAGTCCGCCTCCGTTGCGTAGGTTTCGATAGACGATCCTCCAGAAGTTCATGTGATGGCCGCCCAGCGGTTCCACCTTCAGTTGGAGCTTCTCACTAATGTCTAGGAAGACTTGATTTGGCAAAGTGTCTGACTCGGTCGGAGGCCACTTTTCGGGGAGCAGGTCGCTCGGCTCCGGCACTGGTGATCTGCAGATGAAACAACCATACTTTAGCAAAGCCAATGACGATTCTGCGAGGCGTTGTGAGCCCCGAACAACTTACGCAGTCTTGACGAAGTTTGTCCACATCGTGGTGAGCCTCCTGAGGGTGAGCGCCGCCAGGGAGTCGGCGGTCACGTTCTGGCCGAGGCCCTCAACGCGCCACAGGTAGCCCATCTCGTCCGTGTGCACGGCACCTACACAAGCCATTCATTGTTTCAGTTGTTTTCATCGCACCAGTAATCACACATTTAGGCCGTGAATGTAAGGTCGTCAACCTGGCCTGTCCAGCCTCCGGCGCGCTCTGCCCAGGTTGTACTCGTCCTCCACGTTGAAGCGGTACAGGTAGGTCGGCTGAGCCGCGGCCTGCACCCTCCGGATGGCCAGCCTCTGGATGTCGGCGTTGAAGGACACGTCGTTCAAGAGCTGGGGGAAAGATATGTTTGCGAGTCACTGATCACCCCCACGGTCTTAACCCATTCAAAATCAAGTCACGTCGCGACGCCGTACCTCCACGACTTGCTGGCTGCTGTTGGTGATGTTGGCCCCGCCGAAGTACTCCTCCCGCACCTGGTCGGCGATGTCGCGCAGCTCCGACGGGTAGTTCGGCGGCGGCGCGTCCTCGGCGTTGGCGCTGGTCAGGTTGTGCACAGGCGGCACGCTGAACAGGGCCGCCGTGTCGTCGCTGGGCCACAGGTTGAGCGGCAGCAGGTGCTGCAGCTCCGTGTTGTAGATCTCCATCCTCTCCGGGAATAGGTCCCATTCTGTACACAGTCCACGATACCCCTTCATCAGCGCCAACAACAGAGCCGCGAGTGCGCAATAGGTTCGCTTCTCCCGAATGATGGCTGCGCGGCGCATGAGAGCTCGCGGTACTCACTGAGGTTGCAGAAGCGCAGCAGGGCCTCCTGTGAGGTGATCCCCATGAGCACGGGCACCGAAGGCACCGCCCGGTTCACCACCAGGTACTCCGGATCGTGGGGCAGGAACACCTCCTCGTCGTCGTCCTGGCCCTGGCCCTGGACCCGACGCTCCGGCGACGGCGTGAAGGGCAGGAAGTTGACGCGGTGATCGCGCGAGGGCGCCGCCACTCGCACCTCCTCGTAGGCCCGCATAAGCTGGTCCACCGTGGCGGCGCGCAGCACCGCCTCCACGTCTTGCGTGTCGTTGAGGCCCACGCCGTCTGCGGCACAGGAACACAGGGGTGCACTATCCCGCCTGGAACGAGGCGCGCCACAGCGAACACGGGCAAGCACCAGCAAGCACTCACCTGGGTCGATCCTGGCGGCCAGCTCGGTGGCGTACCGCACGTGGTCCTGCGTGAAGGCCCACTGGTTGAGCGCGCTGCCGCTCTGCAGGATGGCGGCGTGGGCCAGCCCCTTGGCGGCCGGCACCAGGGTGAGGTAGTGTGCCAGGGCGGCGCCCGCGCCGTGCCCCGCCACCGTCACCCTGGTGGGGTCGGCGCCGAAGAGCGCGGCGTGACGGCGCACCCAGCGCAACGCGGCCAGGACGTCCTTGAGGGCTGCGTTGCCCGGCACGCCCGTCGTGTCCAGGCTGGCGAAGCCCAGCGGGCCCAGGCGGTAGCTCGGCGTCACCACCACCACGCCGTGCTGCAGCAGCAGTTCGGGGCCGAGGTCCATGGCCCCCGCCGAGCCCTGCAGCAACAAGTAGTGCTCGCCGATCAAGCGCCCGGCTTTGTCAAGAAATGGAAATGAAATTCTTTTGCTTCGCGCTTACCTTGTGGAACCACCCCCCGACTCCATGCAGAAAGAAGATGACGGGCAGCAGGGCGCGCGGGGCTCGGGGCGTCGTGGTCCTGGTCTCGTTGAAGGCGGTGTCCTCTCTGGACGCTGTCACCGTCGGCGGCACCGTCGATGTCGTCAGGTCCTCGGGGGACTCGGTGGTGTCACCAGCCTCGTCCACCAGGGCCTCCCGCGGCGAGTACACGTTGAGGTAGAGGCAGTCCTCGCGGCCGGAGACTCCCTCGGGGCTGTCCGGGTGGCCCTGGGGGCACAGGGGGCCCTCCGCCACCGCGTCGCGGACGCCGGACCAGGCGGGTGCGGGCCGCGGCCCCTGCAGGGAAGGCGGAAGGCGCGGGTCAGTCACCGTTTCGAAACGGGAACGAGAACGCGGGGACGGTTTGCGGCATTACCGCGCCCGCGTTAAGTGCGTCGACGTGCTCGCTGCTCGCGGCGGCATGGCCGCATGGCGACGAGGCGGTCCCGAAGTCCCAAACGCAAATACTACCGCGCACCGGCCTGTAATTTGGACCATATCGCGAAGCACGCTCGTGCCGGGCCGCAACAGGCAGGCCATCATCGTCGACGTGAAACGGTGGCAGTGTGCATGTAGTGCGGCACGGTGCGGCGCGACGCGACGCGCACCACGGTGCAGCCGACACGTCACGATTCCCCGTGATTGCAGTTCAGCGAGTACAGGACGTACAGGACGGCACTGAATGGTCATGCTCGCCGTGCCATGGCGCCATGGCACGGATCCGCCGGCGTGACTCACCCAGACTCACTGTGGACCGGACTCGCGGCCGAATCGCCTCCACCTGCCCCACCCGCCCCTCTCCATCCCCGGCCCCCCGGCCCGGCCCAACGGCAGCCAACCCGACCGCCAGCCACTCGGTGCGCGGGCAATGAGAGCCTCCGGCCTTCCGGCTTCAAGTTCCGCGCCGCGGGTAGGCCACCCTGCACGACGGCCGCGCGCGCCGGGCCCGAAGCTGCACGCGCTGCACGCGCTACACTGCGCGAAGTACTCGGTGGCCATGTTGGGCCACGGTGCCACGCTCCGGCTGGCGGGCTGAGTGGCTGAGCGCGGATTTGTGAGAACGCCGCCTGGATCGCATGTCGTTCCCCCTTCCGCCCGGCGTGGCCGCCGCTGGCTCCGCTGGCCGCAGGACCCACACCACTGGCCGCGTTGGCCGCGCGGGCCTGGCCTCGCCAGCCGACGGCCAGCCGACGGCCAGCCGACCACATGACACACGCGAGTACGTTCGAGGCTCGCGACCGCTGCGTTCCGTCTTTGTCGATCGGCCTGGTCGAGGGCCTGGCGGACAAGGAGAGCGATAGGTCGGGCAGGCCCGGCCCGGCGAGGCCCCGGTGCCAACGGCGAGGTGTTTCATGACCGCGGCAAATACGCGCCGCGGTGGCATGGAGCAGGCAACACGCCGAAGCGTCCCATGTCCGGCTGGCGGGGGTGCCATGGCAGTGCCCTGGTCGGGTTGGCGTCTTCTCTGTAGTCCTGCCAATACCGCGAATCGGGTGTGCAAATGTTGACCAAGACGCGGTGGCCGCACTCTGCCGCACTGCACGCGTTTGGTTTCCATCTCTATGCCTCGGGAATGTGCTGCGAGGGCAATCTACTTCCACGGCGCGTCGGTGTGTGAAGGGCCGTCAGACATGCTGACACGTTACGCCCTTTCATCCCCAACGCGAAGTGGCGATGGATCGCTTGTGCTCCGGGGCGTAGTGCTTGGTGTGACGGCGCGACAGTGTCTGCAGTGTGGGAGGATGGTGACGGTCGCGATGCAGTCACTGCCGGCGCGGGCACAGCGCGCAGGGCCCGTCGGAGTGTCGGACGATGGCCGAGATGATCGTGGCCCTGGTCGACCTGTGGCGCTGACGCTGGCGCTGACCTTGAAGCGCAGGGGGCCGACGGGCGGCGCGGCGTAGGGGATCCCCCGGAAGGCGGCGAACTTGACGTCGGTGCCGGCCGCGCCGAGCACCCACACGCCGCGGAGGGTGCCCTGCTCGACGCGCACCTCGGGGCCGTCCTCGCCCTTCCTGCGGGACAAAGAGCAGACAGAAAGCACGCGGCCGTGGTTAGGGATCTCCTCCGACTTTCACCTCCCCAGAGCCAGGCCGAGCCAGGCCGAGCCGAGCCAGGCAAATAGGGAATGCAAAAGTTTGAACCAGAACAGAGCAGAGCCGTTGGGGTCGGGCGGAACCGGCAGGGCACAGCCAGGCCCAGCCACACAGGCCGAGTTGTGCACCCAGTTGGCTTAACAGTGTAGCCCCGCCGGGCCCAGCTCAGCCATTCCACAATGGTGCACACAATGCGTATAACCGTTTAAACGACCCCGCACCGCACCCGCCTCACCCCGCCCACCTCACCCCACCCCGCCTCACCCCGCCCGCGGGACAAAGCGGTGCCTTAATGGAACGTAACCCAATTATGCCAAACCACCCTCGCTGCAAGTGTATTGCCCTCCTGGTCCATTCAGTCCATGGTAGCCAATGGTAGCCAATGGGGGCCGCGACGTCGCTCTTTCGGACAATGACGGCTCCACCGTCGGCTCGAACCGAGCCGAGGCGGTTAAGCCCAACGCACTCACACAGGCATACCCTGTCTCACACACACTGACCCCAGCGCGCAAGCATACCACCAGGTACTGCTCGACAATTTGAACGGGGTGCGCTAATGGATCCGGCCATCAACCACTGCTCTGAACGTAGACGAGGCGGAGAACGTACAGGTCGTGGGCGTGGACGTGCAGGATGTCCGCGCCGTGGGCCTCCAGCACCAGCAGCAGCGGCAGCAGTAGCAGCGCCGGACTGGGGCGCCTGGGCCTCGCGCCCCACATGCTGCCAGACGAGCCAGACATCGAGTAGTGCGTCCTCGGAGCAGCCGAAGCTGACCCGGGCGAGGCCTCGTCGGCCTGGTCTCGGCGGCGGGCAGGTCCGGCGGAAGTTCCCGGGGAGCGACTACGTGCGGCTCGCCGTCGCGCTGCGCGTCCTCATCGGCCTGGCCCGACCTCGCGCACCTCGCGATTCGGAATGGCGACCCGCGACCCGCGATGCGCGATGCGCTGTCGGCGGACGGCGCCTCTGGACTGGACGCCGCCGCGCGGTGGCGGCGTGGCGGCGTGGCGGCGCAGTGCGTCGCTGAGCGTCGACGTCGGGTCGGGCGTCGGGCTGCGTCCGAGGGCGGCGTGTCGCACCGCGTCTGGTGCGAGGCGACGCCGCGCCGCACCGCACCGCGTCGCACCTGGCCGATGACGTCATTTCGCTGGCCGTACTGGCCGCGCCGGCCGCGCCGCTAATGCCGTCTGGAGAGGCGCCGCGAAGCCGCGAGGCGTCGGATGAGCCGCCCAAGTGTACCACTTCGGCGGCACCTTGTTCCCCGAACGCGACAAAAAAGGCGCCAACGCGTGTCAAGAAGACCGCGGGCCGCGACGTCAGCAGCCAACCAGCAGCCCGGCCGTCTTCGTCTTCCTGCTGCCTCGAGCGCCCCGAGCGAGCGCCGCTGGCCGCGGTCCTCAACTGCCCGGAAAATCGCATTCGCGCCGTACAGTCACGCAAATGGGCGACGAATTTCACGGCTAGGCGGTCATTCCCGCTTGCCGCCACCTTGCCGCCGCCTTGGCGCCGAGAAGGCAGGGAAGTCGCGGCTCGTTTCCGGATGGTGTGTGTGTGTGTGAGTGTGTGTGCACGCGCGGCGGCGGCGAGTCGTGGGAATCCGCCGCGAGGCTGCTAGAAGCCGCCGGAGGCTGCACACCGATCACGCCGCGTCGCTTTATCGAATTCGCGGCAAAGCTGTTGTTGTTGACGCGCACCGCGCGCACCCAGGCAGCCAGGCAGGCGAGGGAGGGGTGGCCGAGTCCTCCGCTGCATCGGCCTGGCGTCGGCCTGCCCTGCCTGGCCTGCACTGGACCATGAATAGGCCAATGGGAGGTGATGGGAGGGGGCGCACCGTTCTGCCGCAGCCAGCCCCGCCATCGCGCTGGATGCCGTGCGATTCACACCAGAGTGACTGTTTAGGCCATGGCAGACATGCCCAGGCATTGCTAGGCATGGCCATCGCCATGGACTGGGATAGCTGGCCGGCGGCGTGGCAGACACGCGGCCCTGTACTCGCACCTAGTTCTCGCCGCGGCTCGTCTCACTCGCCTCGTGAGCCTGCTGCTGCTCATGCTGCCATACTGCTCATGCTGCTCATGCTACTGCAGCCTCGGCCGCAGCGCATCCCGAAACGGCATACGATCAATTGTGGTGTAGTCCGTAATGGTAATGGTAATGCAGGGGCGCGGGCAGGCTTCCCGGTGGCAGCCCTGGCTGTGGGGTTGCCTACCCTTGGGTTTGCAGGCGCTTTTCAGGTGGGTCTCTCTAGCGGCCACCTTGGGGCAAGCCGCCAACGACCCAACGACGTAGACCCTGGGCTGGGCCCACCAGGCTAACGTGAACCAACACCATCTCGACCGTTAGGTGCGGCAGGGAAGGGACTCGTGCTTTGTAAGAACACAACTAAATGTTCTCAATTCTATCGAATTTTTCAGTGGGAACGTTGACATTTCCACCTCGGCAGATTAGGAAGCTAGGTCCTTTACCTTTTGCTAAAACCCGAATATTAAAGCGTTTCCCGGAAATAAAGGATACAAGAAGAGGCAAAAAAGTGCTGTCACAGAGCAGCGCAGCGCGGCGCGTGCAGGGAAGGACAGTGTGAAGGGAAACCCTGGGGAAACCCTTCCGCAAAGTTCTATTTCTTCTCATCAGTCATTTGTTGTAGGCCATATGTTTTTCGAAAGGAAAACAGAACGTGCGCAAAGACCTGTAGAGAGGAACCCAGCGACCTAGAACTAGCCAGATTCAACTCCGTACTCCCGACCTCTCAAATAGGACTCTATCGCAACGCAAATATTTTGTGACGTTTAATTTCTCATGAAAGAAGTTTGTCATACAAATCCGCGGTGCGCGTGCGCATGCGAATATGAATCTGTGTTGTTTGATGAATTCATGGTTCTCTAAGCAGTCACTTTCTTTCTCGCGTTGAATATTTTGAACGTCTAATTTCCATGTTTGCCTCCCGCAAGTATGGACGTAGCTACAAGAAAGTGAATTCCAGCCGATTAAGGTAGTGTGTCCAGTTTCAAGCAGTGACATGCCTCTCGAATCAGCGATGTATTGGCCACCTGCTGACAGCCCGATTGTCTTGCAGACGGCCGGTTCTCATCTGAAATGAATGAAAAGAAACATTGTGTAATCAGAATGTTTCTCTTCGTAAACATACAGTAGGACCTTGCCCTCCTGATGTCGATGCCCAGTCTAATTCGGACCGTGTCCCCTCGCGCGTGGCTGTCATGTCCGCGGTACTAACCTTACGATATAAACAAACCTACTCTGAGGGTCCCTGACGCTTAGGCTTATGGGGGTGTTTGTGGCTTGTTCCCGCATCAGGGAAGACGAAGACGCCTAGTCTAGTTGTTATTGTACCTTTCGATAAGACTGGATCTGTTGGACTTCGCTCTGTGCTTTCATGATCCGGCGATTTTGTTGTTGTTATTGTGTACATGACATTTTTGTCTGTGTACTTGGCCAAAGTTTTATCAGTACCTTTGTAGTCAGAGTCATGGGTACAATATCTTTTCTTCCGTCCCCACTCTGTCCTGGCTCTTTGATGCAGGAAGTTAAATGCTAATGTGTGCAGAAGTTGCTAAGCTTCATGTTGCTTCGTTCATGATGTAATTCTTGGAAAATCCAATGTTGCTCTCTTATTTACTTAAGAAAAAATACTGTAATTTAATTTTTACACTTCTAGGTCGTAATGGAGGATAGTCTAAGTGTCAAATCAAATGATTCTGCCACAACAAGTGATGAGTATGAGTTTGTGAACGGAACTGCAAGTGGCAAAAGTTCTGAAAATACTTCCATTCTTGCTGTTGCGGAAGAAGATTTACTCCAATCCAGACATCAGCATCCACTCCTGGACATTTCCAGCGGAAACCTTGATGATCTGAAAAAGTGTTTGGGTGAAGTTCTAAGTGAGGAAAATCGGCCTGAGCTCCGAGGCAAAGATTTACCTAAAATGGAAGAAACTCCAGAGTAATTAAAAATAAAATACTTGTGTTACAATGTGTCGATTATTTAGAATGCTGAAAGCATGACCTGTTTGAATTTTCCAGACCAGTGGCGGAATCTCTACAAGTGCAAGAACCGGGAAGGACTTTGTCTCCAAGTCATTATATTTCTGACAATACTTCAGCTGTAAAAAATCTACCTGTCACAGCCACTGTAAAGAAAGTTGGGCAAAGTCAATTTTATTCATCTGTTCCAGCAAGAACTTCTTTATCAAATTCACCAAGTGATGAAGAAGAGGCTGGTAAGTGCAGCTTCATCAGGAATCAATACTCAAGCTGTTTACCCAGGGAATTTTTGCGTACAATACCCCTTCAGTTCCAGATGTACAGCAGAATGGAACTACCTTCTCTGGTGTTGTCTCCCTCGGCAAAGCCAATATCAATGCACCACGTTCAGAAGCTGAAATTCTTCGGAACATGTCAATTTTGAACAATGCACAGGGATTAGAAATGATTAAAGTCTCTTTGTCAGTACCCAACACCTCTGATGGATTTGTCCAGTGAGTTTATTTTCATTTATGTTTCTTCTTTTGCAACATTTACCTAGCAATACTCTAATGTCTTGAAATTGCAGATTGCATGATTCGGCTGGGAAATTTATTGCTCAGTATGAAGTTACATCTATACTTTATTTTGCGAAAGGTGGGATAGGGACTCCTGAAGAAGCATGTTTTGCTTTCACTTGTCCTCTTGGCCATGCAGAAAATCAAGAATCAACCATTTTTCAGTGCCATGTGTTTCGATGTGACATCCTTGAAGCTGTATGTAATGGCATTTATTTCATTAAAAAAGACAAATTTATGCAATTGGTGACACCTAATAACATTTTAAACTTGACAGGTTGGCCAAGTGTCTAAAGGCTTTGCCAAGGCATTTAATAGAGTTCCACGGTCTATGACAAGCTCCGTCACAGGGGCTTTGGAATCAAACACTCCTGAGCGCAACAGCAATGTTTACGTTTTTGAAGTTAGTCTTGAAATTAAAGAAGAAGACAATCGTGTAAGTATTTCCTTCCCAGTATCGAAATCTGATGTCTTATCTTGTTGCTTTAACCTTTGTCTGCCTTCTCCCATCAGGGTGGGTACAGCACAGTCCCTAAAGACCGCACTTGTTTCAAGCTACGCACAAATCTCTCAAAGCAATTGTGCCTCAGTGTGCAGCAAGTATCTGATAATGAAGTGGACTTACGAATTGAAAAATGCTTTGGTGTGTTGGTCAGTCCTGGTCGTCGAGTTAAACATAGTGACATGCAGTTGTTAGAGATGGTAAGAGTAGTGCATGCTAACCTTGATGTGCTTTTTATGTTAAATAGGTGTTCTGAAGAATTGTTTCATATTTCTCTCTTAGCAGGTATCAATGGGAGCAGGCACTGGCGATCGACAATGCTGTTACATCTCTGGTCAGTTAGATCCAGCTGATCCTGCATTTGAACTTCTGAACCATGAGACTCCAAGAGATCAGAATTGTACTTACATGACAGTAGCGGTTGACCTGGTCATCAATGGCATTCAAGAACCTGTCCGTTTTCTCATTGAAACTCCCATCAAAGTTTTTCCTCAAACTGAGAGATTTTGGCAGTTTACTCGTAGGCCTCTTTTGCAGCAATTTTCCCTCACTTTGAAGGAGGTAATTTTCTGGTTACAGAGTTAAGAAAATTATTGGTAAAGTGTAAATATCTAAATGTATTAATTCTTTTGGGACTTCAAAAATATAATATACAGGTTCCTAGGGGTGATTCCAATGAAGTTGATTTTGAACTGGTTTCAATAAAAACAACAGGTGAACTTGAGCGAAACCGCAGAAACTTAACGTTAAATTTAGCTAACATGATTCGGGCTCCAGATGTGGATTTGGACTCTTTAACTCCCAAAGAAGACAATTTATCTGGTCAGTGCCTCTAGTTTTGGTTTCATTGTAATAACTTTTATCACCGGCATTCGTTGTCTTCTTCATTTCTTTGTTTCTTTACATTTTTACAGATGGAGATGAGCCTCTTCTTAGTGGAACAGGAGATGTGTCAAAGGATTGTTCTGCTGATGTCCTAGAATCCTGGTCTGAAGTGCTGCATCAATGGCAGAATACACAGAAACGTCCGAAACAACTTTCTACTTTAGTGAAGCAAAGCATTCCAGAAGCCTTGCGTGGAGAAGTTTGGCAGAGACTTGCTGGTTGTGAAAATGATAATGCCATGATGGATAATTATCGATTGTATATAACTCAGGTTAGGATCTTTAGGGCCTTGCTTCAAACTTGGAATTAAAAATATCTCTATAGTTTCTCAATTTAAATTTACAGGATTGTAGCTGTGAGAATGTAATTATGAGGGATATCAATCGAACCTTCCCAGCCCATGACTTTTTCAAAGAGGCAGGGGGTCTTGGTCAGGATTCTCTGTACCGAATCTCAAAAGCTTATGCTGTTTACGACAAGGAAGTTGGGTACTGTCAAGGACTAAGTTTTCTGGCTGCAAGTTTATTACTTCATGTAAGTCCTGAATACCTTTCTTTTAACCACCCACTGAACATTCCTGCTTCAAAATATTAATTGTCTCCTTCCTGCCCCTACAGATGCCAGAAGAGCAAGCCTTTTGTGTTTTAGTCAAACTTATGTATGACTATGGTTTGCGTGACATGTATAAGGATGGTTTTGAAAACCTTTACATGCGGCTTTATCAGCTGAATAAGCTGATGGAGGTATGGTTTCATAGTAAAAAGAAAAATGGTGACTGTTTTGTCCAAAATGGAATGTTTAATTATTTTTTTTATTTTTCTGCAAATTCACGTTTTTTAGGAACATCTTCCTCAACTATGGCAACATTTCTCTGACATGAGTGTTGAGTCCCACATGTTTGCATCCCAGTGGTTTCTGACTCTCTTCACTGCTCGTTTTCCATTATACTTTGTTTTCCATATTTTGGACGTCTTCCTTCTTCAGGGAACCGAAACACTTTTCCAAGTTGCCATTGCACTTTTGAAGGTAAGGGATTATTTGTTGGCTCAGACACTCTTACAGTACAGTGAGGGCATACTTAATCCTTACACTTGATTTCTTATTCCTACCAGGTGTGCAAGAAAGATTTGTTGCAGCTTGATTTTGAAAGCATTATGAGATATTTCCGAGTTCAAATGCCTAAGCGCTGCCGAACAAAAGAAGTGTCTCTTCAAATAATGAACTTGGCTTGTCGCATCAAAGTCAAAAAGCTAAAAAAATATGAGCAAGATTTTGTAGCACTCAAAGGTAAGATTGTGATATGTTTTAGTTAGAAGTAAGTTGCGGATGAAAAGTTCAAGGTAAGAAAAGGGCATCCTTATGGAGCTGATATCTGGACTTTGAGCCATCCCTGACTAGCTATTTCAACTCAACATTAAAATCTGACTGTGAAATCCAAATTACCCCTATTGAGAGTTGAGACCCTTTTTTCACATGCTTCCGTGTTTCAACCATCAGAGGAACAGGACAATGCAGACCAATACGATAAGGAACTGGAGCGATTGAATTTAGCTCTAAACCGTAATGAAGAAGAGAAGAAGCAGCTACTACAAGAATCAATTAAAGTTAAGGAAATGTTGAAACGAGAACTGGCAAAAGCTGAAAGTGAGAGCACTAGAAGTGCTACCATAATTTCAGAGTATAAACAGGTAATCCTTTGAAGATTGCTTTCTCCTTTATTGATCTCTGTAATTGTGTGTTATGCTACATCCTCTTGTCTCTTGCAGATCTGTCAGAGAATGGACTTGGAACAGGCAGCAGCTAAAGCAGCCCTCAGTAAATTAAGAGTAAGTTTTCCATCAAAGTCACTCTAATATATTATTCATTTGTTATCTATACTAAATCCCATATTTTACTTTGTTTATTGGATATGTGCAGAGCCAAGTCGCTGAGTGTGAACGCTGCTCAGCTTTGACTGCTGCAGTGTGTGCTGATATTGGACTTCCCAACTCTGCTGAAGATTTAGATGATGCTGGAAACTCATCAGGAAATGAAAATTTTGGCAGAGCCCAAGAACGCATTCGCGAACTAGAACTGGAGCTAGCTAAGACTAAGCTTGCTCATGTGGAAGCAGAATGCACTAATCAGGTGATGCTTGTGCACCATGTGCAATGTAATCTGACTTGTGAGTCATTCAGAACTGAAAATACTGACTTCTTTTTTGTTTTTGTTTTTTGTTCATGAAACAGGATCTGACACACCAGTTGCATGCTGCATTGATAGAACTGCAGAGGACTCAGAACTCATGGCCACCATGGCTGTCCAAAACTCTAACATCTATCAAGGAGGCAGCCTCTGGACTCCCCTCTGGTGGAACGTCAATGACTCTCCCTCGTCGTGAGTCAGCCCCCTCCTCCCGCTCTCGACCAAACAGCAAACTGCGAACAAGTTCCAGCGTAGAGTGGTTTGTCGAACCATTAACACCTTCCCTAACATCTCCTCCGAGCTCACTTAGCAGCTCCATCTCGTCATCAGCTGTTGTTGCTGATATCCCAGTAAACAACCCTGTTGATTCCACGGAGTAGAAAGAGCATTTTATGACGTGACAGTAATTAATCCAAAGCTAATTGTAATTACTAAGTATGGAAAAACATATTTAAAGAAATCTCTAACTTTTGGTATGGTAGGTCCATCTTGGACTGTGTTGTTATTTGGATGTGATGAAATTACTGCTGGGTATTGTTGCTGTTTGCAGATGACAAAATTATACTTTAAATTGGTTTATATTCCTTGTTGTAAAAATTTGCAATTGACTGTTTTTAAATGCTACCTTCTACATCCGTCCAGTTCCTCACCTACCTGCTTTTCTTTATCAGTAAAGTGTGTCTGTGAAAAGAAGATGCTATAGAATAGTATGAGAGGGATTGATCTTAACTTTGTGCTTTGTAAAATTAAATATCAGTCTGTCTTTGAATGTTCTGTACAACTTTACTGTACTCTACTTACCAATGCTAGTATTATGAGAGATATTTTGGAACAGCTTCTCCTTAATTGTGATACTTAGTTTCTCTGGGAATGCAATATATTTCCTGTTTCCAGTCATATCATTAGATTTGCCAAAAAGCTATGCTGAAATATCAAACCTGTTGTTTGATAATATCATTTGCTGTGCATCTCTGCTACCTATGTGTTGGCTCTATCATTAGCTAGAGGGAAAGAAAAGAACATTCATACTCACTACTGTTAAAGAGGTTCCAGAGTTGACTTGTTTTGCAGAGTTTTGTGATATGAAATCTGTTACAAACACAGTGATACACCTGTCTCTTTTTGACACTTGGTTTTCTGTAATGGAAGCGTGATTTGCTTATTCTTCAGTGCCTAATATTTAGTTGGCTTTATTTAGAATATGTAATGCTGTTGCTCTAGTTTTAATCTGTTTTTGGATTCTACTTGGTTTATTTCCTTTTTAGGAAGATTTTGGTAACATATTTTATTGTATGTGTGTTTATTGTACAGTACTTTGCTGAATTGGAAACACCTACTTTTAAACCCACAATTTTAATTGTTTGGTTTTCAGTCTGGATTCTGTGTTACTACTGTAGTTGCCATCTATGTATATCATTCTAATAAATAGTGCTTGAACATGTGTAAAGCAAATTTGAGAATGTATTTGTGATACATCTAGTTTACATGGTGTTTGAAGTTCCACTTACATGTGGTTATAGGTCGTTCCATGTTTGAAACTGTTTTCTGACCATCTGTAGATTAAAAATGAAGAAGTTTCAACCAGTTGTTTATTGCACATCTAGATTATTCACCTGCCTTAGAAGATATCACTCTAGTAGGTGGTGATGTCCTACATGTGCATGCGAATTTCCTTGATTTTGGATACCCAACATTCATAATGTTCAGTAATAGTCTTATGGCATCTCAGTAACCCATCAGTTTCTCTCAGACCATTCTGATCTCACTTTAGGTTTTACCCTGAATTTTGTTTGCAAGCAATAGTGTTATGCATTTATTGATCCTACCTATTTATTTCTGTTGTCAAGGGCTTTCATATGTATTGTTGTGTGGAACACGTATATGTATGTATGCCCCAATTCAATCATTTTATGTTTGTATATGGATCTGTGGAAGTATTTTAACTAGTAGGGTGTGGGGTAGAATTTGTATTAAAGTTGACAATATTAACCTTCTCAGGAAAAAATGATCCACTCCAGGTTTGGTCATTTGACTATCATATGTCTTCTGAGTTTCTGTAATTTTTTTTTCTTGTAACTAACTGTTTTGAGTGTTTAGTCATTCCACCTATTTTTTATGTAGATTAATTTTTCATCAAAGTACACTTACCCAACAATTTCCTTTCGTTGTTAGTTGTATTACTTTAACTGTTACCTTTAAGAATACATTTTGTATCTATTCTTGTGGAAAGTTTCATCCTGCAACTATTCCAACTTCTTGATAGTTTTGAGACCAAACTAATTCAGTTAAGTTTCTATTTTTATTTGTTTTGATCAGAGCACACATTGTTTTGTTTTAAAAAGAAAGTAAAAAAAAAAATTATTGTGCCATCAAAGTTTTTGCCTAGGAAGGAATTATACTCTATCATCTGAGGAATGGTATACTCTGTATCTTATCCTTTCCTAAATTGAGTTTCCCATTGTTTTCTTCAAAGGCTGTTTAAAATATACCTGCACACTGAATTATTTTACATCCTGAAAGATGATAAATTGCTAGTCAGAATAGCTTTTAGTTTTGGCACGATCTAGTGTTTATTTCTATTTTACGTAGATTTGTATGGAATGTTTATAAGTCTACCTAAAACCCTTGTTCCCTTACAATGCCACTCATCCCATGTCAATGACATGATGTCATCCCACCTGACTGGTGTCCTTTCTCACCGAACTATATCGTAATACTAATTATTATATCCAACTAAGCAGTAGGACTAACAATGGTAAGATTCATTTTGTATGTCACTATGAAAAAGGTTCAGCAAGGATAAATAAATTTTGTGGCTGACGAGTCTATGATGCGTGTTATTGGTGTTATTTCCTATTCTGTTTACACACCATGGCGTGCTTCGGCCCTCCAGTCGCCCCTTCTCCCCCCCCTCCTCCCGCCCCTTTCCAGCCCCCACCTGTCCCGTGAGACGCTTTCGGCACTGCCATTAAGGCCCCGATTGCGATACCTTATCAGAGACCTCTGGTGAGGTCAGCGCGCACGTTACAAACGATCACCAGTGCACGTGCCACTCACGTACACACGCACACCAACACACTCTCTCACTCATTGAACGGGCCATTAACGGTGCCGGGGCCGTCGGGGCGGCCGGGGCGTGGCGTGCGAGGCCGTCGCGTGTCTGGGCGGCGCAGTCGCGATGGCGACCCGCGATCCGCACCCGCCGAAGTAGCGAAGCCACCAGTCGGTTCGACGGTGGCCTCGATCCTCGATCCTCAATGACGCTGCCGGGGCGCGGGGGCGCGGCGCTCCCGCTCACTGAGGCGCGCATCTCGCGCTGCCAATGACGGCGGCGGCCGCCCAGAGCCCCAAAGGGTAGGAAAGAAAGGCACCCGGCCGACATGGAGGCGCCGTGGGTCATCTCCAAGAACTACGACGCGTGGGGCCCCGGCACCGGGCTGCCGCCGGGGGACGCCTCACGCAAGCGGCTCCAGAGCATGGGCCTCGGGGGCCTCGGGGGCCTCGGCTACGGGGCGGCGCCCAGAGCGATCCAGCCGCTGCCACCGCCCGGCTACAACAAGGGCGGCGGCCCCAGGAAGAAGGCCCTCGTCAAGGACGACGCCAAGGACGCCCCCGGGGACACCTCGTCCTTCGTGGACGCCGCCATGCCGCTCATCCTGCTCATGCAGATCGGCATCTCCATGCCGGTGCAGCGGCGCAAAGACGGTGCGTGCCGCCAGTGTGCCGCCCGGCCCGTCATCCATTTAGCGGCACTCTAGCGCAAGATACATCTACTTCTCTCCACCCGCAGGTACGCTCGTGTCAAGGGTGTGCTCCCCGATCATGGTGTACTCGCTGGTCGTGTACGCCCTGTTGTCGGTGCCCGTGTACTACGCGGCCAGCGCCGCGGTGCGCCAGCTGGCCGACAAGAAGAGCACGTTCCACGACCAGATCTACAACCTGACGCCTCTGCTGCTGCTCAACGCACACCCACTGCTCCCCTTCCTGCACTGGCCAGAGGCTCGGTCCGCCGCCGGCTACTTCAACTCGTGGATCAAGTTCGAGGTAGGGGTACCGGTCTCAGGGCGTGCCGAGGGTTGGCCTGCGCGCGGCGCGCGGCAGGGCGCCGCCTGGCGGGCAGGCAGGGACCGGCCCGCCGGACGCACCTGCCGCGCGTGGTGGCCTACCCTCCCGATGACAGGGGCCCTGGCTCCACCCGTTGCCACGGTGTTACCGTTCCGCTCCGCAGGGGACTTTCCAGCGCGTCTGCGGACGGCCACTACACCTGCAGCTGCGCGGATGGGTGGCGCGCTGGACGACGATGTGCTTCCTGTTCGCCGCCTTCCTGGCCGCCACCATGCCGCTGTACATGGGGCTGACGTGGCTGCAGGCCCTGGCCTACCTGCACCTGTACCTGGCCAGCGCCTGCCTCGTCACCGTCTGGCTGCTGAGCTCCGTGGCGCTGTGCCGCGCGGGCGAGGCGCTGCGCGACTCCCTGCACGAGGTGGTGGTGGCGGGCGCGTGCACGGCCGACCTGATGGCGGACTACCGGCAGGCCTGGCTGGAGCTGTCCGAGCTGGCGCAGGAGTCCGGCCGCGCCTGGACCTACTCGTGCGGCCACCTGCTGCTGTACATGTTCCTGCTCATGACGGTCACGTCCTTCGGGGTGCTGGCCGGCATGGCCCGCCACACGCTCGAGGCCCGCACCATGGCCTACGGCGCCATGGCCGCGGCCTCGGCGCTCACGCTCTTCGTCGTCTGCAGCGCCGCCGAGACCGCGGCGGACCGGGTAGGGGCGCAGGCGAGGGCGCAGGGCGCGGCAGTAGAGCCTAGATCCTGACCTTGAGGCTCGCGTTGAGCGCTGTGAGTGGCGGGTGACGACTACGTCTCGACTGCGTCTCCCGGCAGGTGGCGCAGGTGCTGCGGGAGGACCTGCTGATGGTGCAGCTGAGCGACGACACCCAGCACTTCAAGAACGAGGTCCAGATGTTCATGACGGCGCTCGCCATGGACCCGCCCATCGTCAACCTGAGCGGCTACGCCACCGTCAACAGGGCACTGTTCGCGTCGGTGAGTGTCCCCGTCCTTCACCATGCCATGCTGAGTCCCTGAGCGCGTGTCAACGCGGAGCCTCTGTTGCAGCTCCTGGAGACGATGGTGACCTACCTGGTGGTGCTGGTGCAGTTCGCCTACTCGCTCGACACTCCCGCGGCCAACGCGACCACCACCACGACGGCACCCTCCACCATGGTGACGCGACCCGTCATCACCACGCCGGTGCCGTGAGGCCGCCGACTGCGGTGTGTCGCACACGTTTTCCCTACCAGTTTACATGAGATCCTAGGGGACTACGCAGTGGTGCCCTACCCTAAACGGCACCACTGCTTATACGTACCCCATTTTCCGTGCATTTTCAGAAACAATAACGGTGTTTTGTAGTGCACTCGTCTTTGATTGGCGTGAAGTTTATGTATGAAATAAATGTGGAAGGAGTTGCTCTCAAGTAGTGCTGTTGAAATAAAGAACATGTTGGCGTACTGTTTCTTTCATTCGAGCTTTTATTTCATCCCAAACAGTGTTAGAATAGCACGAAAATCCCGGACTTTCTTACGACAAGACGAGGTCCTTCTTCCTTCAATCCCTTTAATAATCGTCCAGCAGGAAGGGGTCCTCGCTGAAGTTGGATTCTGTGTTTTCCACGGAGATGGCGAACTGGGACACCACGAAAATGTACGTGTTCGCCAGGGTAAAGAACTGCAGCAGAAACAGGTGAAAGTAAAGCGGAATGTTCGCCTTTCCTCTTGACGCGCACAGGAGCAAAACCCTGGCATAATTGCGGCGGCTTACCGAGATAATGCTCGTGCGAGAGAGGATAGCCAGTCCCGTGATTGTCACTTTGGGGGATGAAATATTTATGTCATACAAAAATCGCCAAATCTGCAAAAAGAAGGTAACAAGGGCCATCGCTTACAGGGCGATAAAACACGGACAGCAGCTGTTCGAAATGGACCCCTCACCTCCGTCAACGTAGCCTTGTCCCTGTGGGTCAGCGACAGCTGCAGCAGCTGCTTCATGGTGGGCCTGCGCATCTGCAGTGGAAAGCCATTTCAGATTAGCGGCTGGAAATCGGCGCCTTGTGAAAGAGAGTTCCAACCCCACGCGCGCTGTCCAGGTGCGGATCCAGAGTGGGTGGAAGTGGGCGATGGTAGGCAACAAGTCGCACTTTGCCCCTGTAGGGAGGCCACTTTTTCGACATCCCCCCTCCCCTGAACCCGTCTCTGGATCCGCCCTTGTCCCCGAGTAGCTATGCGGCGTGCCGCGTACCGCGTCCGTGGCGATGTGCGCCGAGTTGCAGACGCTGGCGGTGATGCTGAAGCAGTAGCACACGACGGCCATGAGCCAGAAGAAGCGGCGGTCGAAGTCCTTCTCCACCAGCAGGCAGATGAGCAAGAAGCAGACGGACACGAAGGACACGAAGGACATCAGCAAGAGCATGGAGTGGACGCGGCCCCAGCAGCAGCTCAGCAGGTCCAGCACCCGGACCATGCCCAGCCAGACCGAGCGGTGGTTGTGCAGAGCCTGGACCCCCAGCCGCTGGAAACGACACGTTGTCATCAAGCATGGCAGGAAAGCCCAGGCGCGGTTTAAGGGGGGGGGGGATCGCCCCCCCTGTCGCTCCCCTGTGAGATTCCAAAAACGCCTGATAGTAGGATACCAGCACCACGTGCCCCTGTAGATAGGCGAAATATACAGTACACAATCGCCCTCCCTGTCGGGGGCTCCTTAAACCGCGCCTGGGAAAACCACGTGCAGCCAGCCGGAGGCCGGAGGACCCACCTGGAAGTCCTCCACCAGGAAGGAGGCCTGCTGCCTCGCCACGGCGGCCAGGCCTCGGCAGCTGAGGTTCCAGAAGCAGGCTGCGAGCATGCTGTACCCGAACAGGTGGATCGTGATGGGCGCCATCCAGGGCTCGTCTGACGCGTACTTCTGGTTTAGCGTCAGCAGGAACATGCTCACGGGCATGGAGATGGACAGGAAGGAGTAGAACCAGACGCGGCGACGCAGCCCCGGGACGGGCATGCTGCCCCGCAGCACGGACACCAGGTCCTGGCGGCGCGCGGACGCGGGCCGGACGGGGGCAGGCAAGTTCACAGTGACGAGGTTCCTTTCAATATGCAGGGGCACACGGCAAAAACGGTTCCTGGTGTTCCCAGGGACACCCATGCGACCTGGGAGCCTGGAACCGCTGTTGCCGTGACACTCCTGAAAGGAACCTGCCTCGACGCGCTGCCACTGGTCGAGCATGGAGATGGCCTTGCTCGTGGCCGCCCAGGAGGTATAGGGCAGGCAGAAGATGTAGCACGTGTTGAAGGCGCCGCAGTACTGCGGCACCAAATCCCACACGTGGAAGTGCTTGTTGTCGCCGCGGATGGGGTCCAGGTGGACGTGGACGGAGAAGACGCCCAGCACGGCAATCACCAGCCACGCCAGGAAGGTGACCGCCACGGGCAGGGACCACCAGCGGAATCGGATTTTCCCTGCAGGGCCATTCGTCCGAGTGAAGCGTTCCACACGGCCCTCCCTCGACCCAGAGCCCTTCGGCTTACCGTCCTCCGCGATGGAGATGGGGAGCATGAGCATGAAGCGCAGCAGCCACAGCATGGGCATGAGCTCCCAAATGAGCCCTTGCTTGAGCGCGCACGTGGTCTTGGGGCCGGCCTGGGCGGCGGGGACGCCGTCCTCGGCGCCGTCCTCGCTCCGCCAGTGCCAGGACTTGGTGGACTCGTTCCACTCGAGGACGGGGCCCTCGCCTGCGCCGCCTGCGCACTGCACAGCATGACGGCGACGGGCAACGCGTCGCGACTTCACGACTCTCTCGATTTCAGTTTAGAGATCCACATCTCCGAGCCTCATAACTCGAAAACAGCAACAGAAACAATCGTAAAAGAGTCAAAAATTCGATTTAATGTGTGAGATGCTGACTCCTAAAATCGTCGTTCGTAAATTCGCGAACTTTGATGTTAAGGACACTTATGACAGACACCCCTCTTTTCCCAGACCTGTCCGAAACTGAACTCGGCGCCGCCGCTGGCGTGGCGCTTTTCCCGTGCCGAGAACGGCCAGCCCCTGTCCTGTCCGCCGGTCGGCATGGCGTCTCACGCGTTGCAGCCAGGCGTGGGCCTCGACGGCGTCCTCGACGGCGTCCTCGACGGCGTCCTCGACGGCGGCCTGCTCCAGCACCCCATGCAGGGCGCGGACGACGCGCGCGGCCCTTCCGCGTGCCCCGGATGGCCCCAGACTAATTCGCCATGACACGATGACACGTTCGGTGGCGGTGCGAGGCGCGGTCGCGCGTGTTTAGCGCGGACGTTTGATGCTTGTTGTTCGTGGTGCCGTTGTAATGGGAGATGCGTGGCGCCGCCGCCGAGGGCCGCGGGGCCGCGGGGCTGCGGGCCGTGGGGAGCGCAGCCCCGATCGGAGATTCGCTATCGGCCACCTCGGCCGCACTCTGGGGCGCCACAGCCCCGCACAGCCCTGCAATGTGGCGCGAAGGTCATCGCACCCCAGGCGATCCGAGGGAAGTCCCTCGGGCTGCCTCGCTGGCCCGGGCGCACCTTTTGGTTTGCGTGTCGAGAACAGGGCAGGCGCTAGCCTTTCGCTCCCTCCCGCGCGGGATCCTCGCTCGGTCTTTGACCGACGCGCTGCCCCCTCCACCACGTCCGTGCGCGAGGGGGGCAGGGGGTGGGGTGGAGATGCTGGAGTCGGCCGCCGAGCGGTGCGGCGGATAGTGGATGCAGCTGGACCCTTCAGCCTCCATGGAACCCGGTGGTATAGGGGTAGCGCAGTGGGTCCTCACGCTGCTGGTGCGGGTTCAAAACACCTCTCCGAAATTTTTTTGGTCACGTTAGGCCGTAACTATCACGTGCCAATGGGTCTGTCAACCACCCTACGATCTGCCGCGAGTAGAGAAAGATCTGTCGCGAGTAGAGTAAGATCTGTCGCGAGTACAGAAAGATCTGTCGCGAGTAGCGTAAGATCTCATGGCGGTTCGCGGAGTCCTTGGGGACCCTCCCGCCCTCCCTTCCTGACCGCGGGCAGTGTTCGCCGCGTTCGGGAGCGCGCCTCCCATCTCTCATCCTTTGGCCATCAGTGTATCAGTGCGGCAAGGACAGAGCTTTGGACTGCCGCCCCACCCCGCCCCGCCCCACCCCGCCTGCAGTCACGACTATTACGAAGGGTAATTTGGAGTCCCTAGGGAGCAGACATTTGTAGTCGGTAACGAGGCTCGCACTTTAATGCAAGTTCCAAGGTCGCAGGGCGCACGGGGCGCACGGGTGGGTCACTCTCCGGGCGTGGCCTGCATGCCGGGGTCCTCCGTAAAGTTGGTCTCGGCCATTTCCACGGAGATTGTGAACTGGGAGAGCACCACGATGTAGGTATTGGCCAGGGCGAACAGCTGGATGAGAAGAAGAAGAAGAAGCGTCTCAGTGAGCGGTCTTTCTTTGTGACCAGCGAAGCCTTTTTTCTTTGAACCACCCACCGACAAGATGCTGGACCGCGACAGCACCGTCAGGCGGCACATGGACACCCTGGGCCGCTCGATCTCAATATCTCGCAGGAAGTGCAGAATCTACGCCGTTACACGGTCAGGGATCAGGGGGTGGTTTCATGCACGTGAAAAAGAAGGGCGCTTCTTGAAAAATAAAATACACATCGCTTGCTTGAGAGAAAATGGAAACTGGCTGCGTACTTCGATCTTCGTCTTGTCATCTTTCGCGGAATAGGACATCGTCAGGAGCTGTTTCGTGGCAGGGCGCCTCAGCTACATCAAATAACAAACGACGTGTTGTAAACAACTCGCAAGGTAGGCTGCCCCGTTCCGCCCCGTGGCGATGCAGCCCTGCACCCTGGACTGCCCGAGGGACTGCCTCAATGCCCGGGCAGTTCCGGCTGCAGGACGGCATTCGTCACGGTGCGCATGGAGTCCACTCCATCTCAACGAGTCAATCTTTGTAAAAAATAAAAAATAAACCAAAAGGAAACGAGATCCGTGCAGTTGTTACAGAGTCAGTGGCGTGCTGCGCCGAGTTGCAGATGCTGTAGATGCTCCAGACGGTCAGGACGTAGCTGATGATGAACCACCAGATGGAGGAGAGCATGTCTCTGGTGAGGACGATGTGCAGCAGCAGGAAGCTGAGCGAGGCGAAGGAGACGAAGAGCAGCCCCAGCACGAGCGTGTGCGTGCGCCCCCACGTCTCGCTCAGCAGCGACAGCACCTTGCTCAGGCCCAGCCACACGCGGCGGTGCGCGCGCAGCCCCCGCACTCCCAGCCTCTGAGGCAGACGGAGAGAGGGTACTGAGTGGCCGCTCGGCGGAGTCCTCGCCCTTGGAAGGCTCTCCGAGAAGGGAACCTCGAATACCTCCAAGTCCTGAGCCATGGCCTCGGCCATCTGGCGCGCAGTGAACGCGATGGCGTGGCAGCTCAAGTTCCAGAACAAGGTGGCCAGCATGTAGTAGGAGAAGCTGTGCGCCAAGACGGGCAGCATCCAAAGGCTCCACGACGTGGGGGAGAAGACGCTGCCGCCCACCCCGAAGACGACGGGCACGGCGAAGCACACGACGCTCAGCGCCGTGGCCCAGGCGCGCAGGCGCACCACCGCCGCGCCCTCCCGCAGCGTGGCCACCTGGACCTGCAACAGTGCAACGTCACGAAGGCCCCGCTGCACTCCGCGTTCCCCGGGACTGCCCGCCGGTAGACGGTGCTGGTTGATCCCTCGCGACGCCCCGTGAGTGCGAGAGTGACAGACCGACGGCAGAGGCTCTCACTGCTCGAGCCCCCCAGAACAGGCACCTCGACGCGCCGCCACTGCCCGAAGAGGTCGACCGCCCTGCCGGCGGTGGCCCACGACGTGTACGGCAGGAAGGCGACGTAGGAGAAGCTGATGGCCGCGCCGTACTGCAGCACCAGGTCCCACACGTGGAAGTGCTTGCGGTCGTCGCTGACGGGGTCCAGGTGGAAGCGCACCTGGTAGTACGCCAGCACGGCCAGCAGCAGCCACACGGCCAGCGTCAGCGCCGTGGGCAGCGACACCCACTTGAACCGCAGGCTGCCTGCAGTGCAGCCACGACCCACGTCCGCGACGCGTCAGTGACAAAGCCAAAGCCACCTGCCGAATGGCACTGCCGAATGGCACTGCCGAATGGCACTGCCGAATGGCACTGCCGAATGGCACTGCCGAATGGCACTGCCGAATGGCACTGCCGAATGGCACTGCCGAATGGCACTGCCGAATGGCACTGCCGAATGGCACTGCCGAATGGCAGCATGAGCCGAATGGCACTGCGAATGGCACTGCCGAATGGCACTGCCGAATGGCACTGCCGAATGGCACTGCCGAATGGCACTGCCGAATGGCACTGCCGAATGGCACTGCCGAATGGCACTGCCGAATGGCACTGCCGAATGGCACTGGCGAGGCCAGAAGGCACTCACCTTGCGCGTTGATGGACACGGGCAGCATGAGCAGAAAGCGCAGCGTCCACAGCAAGGGCATCATCTCGTACACCACGCTCGGTTTCCGGCGGCTGCGCGGTCGCAGCACCCTCTTGCTTTCGGGCCAGCGGAGCCTCCGGTGCTGACTGTAGCCCTCCATGGCCGCATCCTAGGTTCACCTACCTGCTGCCACGCGCAAGATTAAGTCTAACCAAGTCGATTTACGGCATCTCAAAGTTGTTCCGGTTGTTTTGCAGTTCCCCGGTTGAAGACCAGTGAAAATCAATGCAGCCGCTTGACAGAAACAAGGAGGAACGGCCATGAAAGAAACGACAAATAAAGGACCATTCGACAGCAGCGATTTGCAAGAGGCGACGGCCATCCTTGCGGGCACCTGCCACACCCACGCACTAACCCACTCGCCGCGGTGGCGGGTCTTGCCTGGTCTTGCCGCCCTGCTGACAGACACCCCGACACCAAGGGCGGTGGCGCCACTCGGACTATGCCAATGCCGCCCCTCCAGAAGTGTCATCCTCGCGTGCCTCGCGTGCCGCGCGGTAGTGCAGAATACAGTGTGCACAGCAGTAATGCTGTAATGAGCGCGTTAGGTGGCAAGGGCGCAATCCCTGGGCGGGGTATGGGGCGAGGTGGGGCGGGCCCCAGGGTCAGTCGAACTTCTCTGGGCTACGCGCACAACACCATATCTTCGCGAGGTTCGCACGTGAAATACGCTGTTTGTTCGGGCTGGTGGCGCACCCACTTGTCCGGGCACATCTGTCACTCCCTCGCCTAACGAACAGGCCGCATTTCCGAGATCTGCTTCTGATTGTTCTGACCGTTATCGGCGTCCCATGAGTCAGTTTACCTTTCTGTAGCGTATGTTCAATTGTTCAAGTTTCACGGGTTGTTGCGAGTGAAAGACGATTCGTAATTGGAAAAATATTTATTCCAAAGTTCAACTTTGTTTGAGTCTGCCAGGGTCCACATCGAAATTGGTTGTCGAGGTCTCGATGGAGAGGGTGAACTGGGAGAGCACCACAATGTAGGTGTTGGCCAACGCAAATATCTAAAGATAACAAAGTTCGAAAAAGAGATTCAAACTTTGACATGAAGGTACACATGCGAAATTAAAGGAATCGTTCAACTTACGTATACAATACTCGCTTTACTGAGGACACCCAACCTACAGACGGACACCTTTGGGTGCTCCAGGTACATTTCCTCAAGGAATTGTACAATCTAAAAACATGACAGAAGATGCATTTGTAAATTCAAAACAGGCAAGATTTTTGTTCTATACCTTTTACACCCGTAGTTGGTGATGTGACAAGGGCAGTCCAAAGTTATCCAAGATGTGTTGTATGTGCCTGGGCTTTCTGCTAACCTGATTTCAGTGCCACAACTGGTCGACAAAGATCTTGGAGTGGTCTTTAGAAAGGGAGAAGCTATGATCAGAACCCTGAATCAAGAGCTGCTACTGAGTGCCAAAAGAAGAAATCAATCCAGCAAAGGAGGTCTTTTCATCGTTGAGTGTGATCCTGTGGAGTGGGCTAATTTAGCCTCAGTGACTCGAATGCCAGTGGCTGCTGGTAAACCTATTCAGGACACTTCGGATTTATGGCATCGTAGAATGGGCCACCTTCACCATCAAGGTCTTTCTCAGGTTACTAGGCTTGTAACTGGAACTGGTCACATTACTGGAACACTGGTAGAACTCAAGCGTAGTTTTACGCCTTTCGTCAAGCGTAGTAGAACTACGCTTGGCTTCAAGCATAGTTCTCCATTTTGCCCCTCTCACGCCTATCTAAATGCATGGGAGAATTTCCTCTCTACGCTTGACGTCAAGCGTAAAGTCTTCAAGCGTAGTTGTATGCTTGAATCAAGCATACAACTACGCTTCAGTTTTACCGGTGAAATGCTGCAACGTATCCCTGCCAGTCTATTTTATTTCGTCTCGCCTTTTGCCTCTGACTGAGTGAGCAAGTAACGTGCAAACGTATCTGAGATTGAGGTGTGAACTCTGTGACACCCGTTTCACCAAGCGCTTCCCCACCTCCGTTGTGGTCTCCTCGTCCCTCACTAGAAATGACAACAGGAGAAGCTGCATCTTGGCGGGAACTCGAACCTGAAAATAAAACGTGGAAACGTGTGAATGCAAAATTTAGCGCACTGGGTGCGCCCTCTGTCCGCACTGCCCCCTACCCCCTTCCCCTTCCCTCCCGACTCTCTCCCTCGGTGCGCACCCTCCCTCTGGGCCTCTGCCCGCACAGTCCCTCTCTCTCCCTCGCCCCCCCCCTTTTGCCCCTCACTCTCCCCATCTGTCCGCACTGCCCCTCACTCTCCCTCTCGGTCCGCACTGTCCCTCTCTCTCTCTCGGTCCCCCTGCCCCTCACTCTCCCTCTCTGTCCGCACTGCCCCTCTCTCCCTCGTCCCCTGCCCCTCACTCTCCTCTCGGTCCCGCACTGCCCTCACTCTCCTCTCTCTGTCCGCACTGCCCCTCCCTCCCTCTCGGTCCGCACTGCCCCTCCTCTCCCCTGCTCACTCTCCCCTCGTCCGCACTGCCCTCCTCCTTCTCCCCTCCCTCACTCTCCCTCTCTGTCCGCACTGCCCCTCATCTCTCCCTCGGCCCCCTGCCCCTCTCTCTCCCTCGGTCCCCCTGCCCCTCACTCTCTCTCTTCTGTCCGCACTGCCCCTAACTCTCCCGCTCGGTCCGCCCCACTCACCGCGTCCGTCATGGTCTGCGCTGCGGAGCAGGTGCTGATGGTGGCCAAGAAGACGAGCACGACGGTGAAGAAGAGCCAGAGCCCAGCCTTGTTCAGGCTGTTGGTGAACACCATGTGCGTCAGCAGGAAGCTGATGGACACGATGGTCACGAAGAAGGCGCCCAGCAGCACCGCCTGCGTGCGGCCCCAGGACTCGCTCAGCCCGTACACCACCTTGACCAACCCCAGCCAGATGCGGCGGTGCTGGCGCAGCCCCGCCACGCCCAGGCGCTGCACAAAACACGCACCGTCAGGAGAGCACTGGTGTTGGTGCACCTCTAATGAATGGGAGATGTGCAAACGCGTCGACCTGACACGGCACGCCACGACCACTTGCACCCCGACCCGGCAGCCACCGGCCGCGCCACTGGCCGCCACGCGACGCGCACCTGGCAGTCGTCGACCATGTCGGCGGCCACGTTGTGCGCCAGGATGGAGACCGTGCGGCAGGCGATGTACCAGAAGGACGTGCCCAGCGTCACGTAGGCAGCGCTGTGCAGCAGGACGGGCGTCATCCACACGGCCTGGTCGGGCAGCGCGCTGAAGGCGGTGGCCTGCATCAGCACGGGCACCCCGACGGACACCGCGCACGCCGCCCACGCCAACGCCCGCACCCTGGGCAGGCGCGTGGCGCCGTGCAGGGCGGCGATCATCACCTGCCACGGAAGGACATCGTCAAGGACGCCGTCAAGGACACTCATGTGGTGCACTCTAAGCGCTACTTACCTGGACGCGCTTCAAGTCTTCGATCATGTCGATGGCGCGGCTCGTGAGGGCCCAGTTCGTGTAGGGCATGAAGACGATGTAGCACAAGGAGAAGGACGAGGCGTACTTGGGCACCAGGTCCCACACGTGGAAGTGCTTGCCGTCCACGCTCACGGGGTCCAGACGGAAGCGCACCGTGTAGTAGGTGATGACGACCAGCACCAGCCACGTCGCGAACGAGAGCGCCACCGGTACCGACAGCCACCGGAACCGGAAGTTGCCTGCTCAAGTTCCAATAAGAAGTGAAGAGCCGACTCAGGACGAGACTCCTCTCCTGAGAGGTTTACACACAGTGTGCTCTTTTCTGGGGGTGCAGGTGGAGGCAGTTTTCACAGCTAGTGCCGCAGGGTATGCTTACCGTTGGGCAGGACGGTCAGGGGCAGCATGAGCATGAGGCGGAGCATCCACACCATGGGCATGATCTCGTAGACCATGTCCCGCGGAGGGTCCCCGTCGACGAGCTGCTCCGAGGAGTTCGCGGACGGCCTCGGTGACGGCCTCGGTGGACGGCCTCGGTGACGGCCTCGGGGACGCGCGGTCGTGTCCTGTGCGCCGCCAGAATCACGTTTTCCATCGAAAATCAACAAGCTGGGAATGTGTGTCGGCGGCTACTGACCCGACACGAGCACCCCGGCGAACTGCGCTTCCGCGGCGTAGGCCTTCTTGTGGTGCATGAGGTGCTTGGCGGGGAGGCTGCTCTCGCCGTGTCGCTTGCTGGCCTTGCTGCTGGCCCAGTCGCTGCTCGGCGGAGGGCTGAAGGGCCACCGCCTGGCGTGCTTCCTGGCCTCCATGCTCGCGTCACGCCGCCACTCGGCCGCGGCACCTTCAGGACCCACAGGAACCACAGGACCTCCAGGACGCCGACGGCGGCGTCTCCGCGCTGTCCTCCGGGGCCGGGGCTCTCGGACGCCGGTGCTGACCGCGGCGGTCGGGGCGCGCCATCCTCGACCACGTCGTCGACGTCGCGTTCACGCGCCGCGGCACCCCGCGAGAGGTGCGCGTCGTGCGGCCGTGCCGCGTCCGCGACCTGGACTCGCGGTGGGGTGGCACGCAGCACGATGGCCACGGCATCCCGCGGGTGTCGCATGCCAGGCGCCAAGGCAATTAGTTCTCAACTAGCGTGGGCGACGCGACAGGGCGCATGTTTCACTTGTGTTGTTTTTGTTTTTGTTAATGGTGACTTCAGGCCGCCCCCCGGGGGCGTGTTGCTTTGGGACGCCGTCTCCGTGGCCCTTGTGCCCGATTACCGATCTGCGAGCTCTGCGGAGAGTGATGAAGGTGGCGCCGGCTGGTCTTCCGAGAAGTCTGGGAGAGCGTGGTCGAGGGGGCTGGGGAGGGTGAGGGAGGATTATCGCGCCCTTTGGGCGTGTTGTTTGTCAGCATTGTCGGCGGTGGTGGCTTTGTGTATGCGAGACGGTAACACTGACGCTACAGGGACTACAGGCCCCCTAGAGAGCTGGCCACTGAATCATGGGAAAGGCCCTGCCCTGCGATGAGCAGGGAGGTGGACTGACCTCTCTCACCTCCCTCTCCCCTTCCCTCCAACAAAAAACGGGGGAAGAAAAGAATTTAGCACGGCGCGAGCACCTGGAGCCAAACTGAAACAAAATAACTTACCATTTGTTTTATTCGGTAATCCTTTATCGTAGTCGTTCACAGTACCTGGTATCAGTTAGAGTCCTATAGGACTCTGGTATCAGTCTGCAATGAAGTTAGCTCGCAGGGCCTCCGCGGAGATGCTGAACTGGGAGAGCACCACGATGTAGGTGTTTGCCAACCCAAATGCCTGAAACACCAAAATTACTTTTATAGAGACGGAGCATCAAGAAGACGCTTGTGGATATTACTTCTCAAATGTGAGGTAAACATACGAGTTGAAAGGAACCCTTTTAACTTACGTATACAATACTTGCTTTGCTGAGGTCACCCAGCCCACACACGGACACCCTCGGTCTCTCAAGGTACATTTCTTCAAGGAATTGAACAATCTAGAAACATGACAGAATTGGTCACATCAAAACAGACACGATTTTTGTTTTATGCATAGAAACAACCCGTTGCCCCACCTCCGTCGTGGTCTCCTCGTCCTTTACCAGGAACGACAGCAGCAGAAGCTGCATCTTGGCGGGAACTCGAATCTTCAAACAAAGGATTAGAAACAGGCGTAATGTAAAAGTGTCGCAGTCTCGCCTTCGGTGCGCACTCACCGCGTCGATCATGACCTGCGCAGAGTGGCAGATGCTGACGAAGGCCAGGATGACGAGCAGGAGAGCGGGACCGATCCAGAGGGCTGACTTGTCCAGGCTTTTGGATAGCACCATGTGCGTCAGCACGAAGCAGATGGACACTGCAGTCACGAAGAAGATCCCCAGCAGCACCGCCTGCGTGCGGCCCCAGGCCTCGCTCAGCTTGTACACCACCTTGACCAACGCCACCCAGATGCGGCGGTGCTGGCGCAGGCCCGCCACGCCCAGGCGCTGCCAAGCACGTCCACAAACACGTAATGTCAGGGTCGGTCAGGCCAGGGCCCCGGAGGGCCAGCCCAGAGAGGAGGGCTTTACGCGTGACAATGATCCCTTGAGGGGCATTCCAGAGCCGATTGACAGTGGTCCAAGTTCACCTAAGACGATTTTGCTCAATTTTGGCTCAAGTGTTACCTACCCATAGGTGAACACCCCCACAAAATTTCAGCCCTCAAGGTCAGTTAGTATGGGAACTGTGAGCAATCAAAGTTTTAGGCAATTTTGCTTTAGTCGTTTATGACCAAATTGCACTTTTTTAGTGCAGTTGTCAAAGTTGCGAGCACTGCAGCGCCCAAACCATACCCGTACCCTCGGTAACTCGAGCCGCTTGTTTTTAGGTGGTCGTCTGAGGAATAATTTCCCGCCTGGACCCGTTGTCCAGCTTGGATTCCGGGATGGGGAGAAAATTGAAGGTTGTAAAACACTTAAAAAAGTTATTTTTTGGCTTTGAGTGCGTTTTTATTAACCTTGGACTGCTTTGGGATCGATTCTGCGTGCAGATTAGGCTTCCCCACTCAATTTTGCATTCGGGTACCAATTTTCATACCTCAGGACCGAAAAGAAAAGAATTCCGGAGCATGTCACTAAAAAAGTGCAATTTGGTCAAAAACGACTAAAGCAAAATAGCCTAAAACTTTGATTGCTCACAGTTCCCATACTAACTGACCTAGAGGCCTGTGGGGGTTTCACCTACGGGTAGGTAACATTTGAGCAAAAAATGAGCAAAATCGTCATAGGTCAACTTCGACCACTGTCAGTCGGCTCTGGAATGCCCCTTGGATTGGGACCGTCCGGCAGCCACCTGCCGCCAAGCGATGCGCACCTGGAAGTCGTCGATCATGGTGGCGGCCAGGTTGTGCGCCACGATAGCGAGCACGAGGCAGGCCATGTTCCAGAAGGAGGTGCCCAGCACGACGAAGCACACGCAGTGCGTCAGTGCGGGCAACATCCAGAGGGTATGGTCGGGCAGCAGGAAGGTGGCAGTGGACTGCATCACCACGGCTATCCCGACGCTCATCACGCACACCCCCACGCGTACGGCCGCACCCTGGGCAGGTTTGGGGCGCCACGCAGAGCGGCGATCATCGCCTGCCAGTTAAGAGCACAGTTAGGGACGCCGTCAAGGACGCCGTCAAGGACGCCGTCAAGGACGCCGTCAAGGACGCCGTCAAGGACGCCGTCAAGGACGCCGTCAAGGACGCCGTCAAGGACGCCGTCAAGGCGACGCCGTCAAGGACGCCGTCAAGGCGACGCCGTCAAGGACGCCGTCAAGGCGACGCCGTCAAGGACGCCGTCAAGGGACGCCGTCAAGGACGCCGTCAAGACGCCGTCAAGGACGCCGTCAAGGCGCCCGTCAAGGACGCCGTCAAGGGACGCCGTCAAGGACGCCGTCAAGGACGCCGTCAAGGACGACGCCCTCAAGGACGCCGTCAAGGACGCCGTCAAGGACGCCGTCAAAGCTCAAGGACGCCAGCGGTCAAGGACGCCGTCAAGGACGCCGCCAGGACAGCCATCCAGGACACGCAACGCCGCGACGTACTCTGTATGCAGTTCAAGGAGGAATAGTGGATTCCGCTTGCCTGGACTCTCTTCCAGCGTTCGATCATTTCGATGGTGCTGCCCGTGAGGGCCCAGTTCGTGTAGGGCATGAAGACGATGTAGATTAAGGTGAAGGACGACGCGTACTTGGGCACCAGGTCCCACACGTGAAAGTGCTTGCCGTCCACGCTCACGGGGTCCAGACGGAAGCGCACCGTGTAGTAGGAGATGACGACCAGCACCAGCCACGTCGCGAACGAGAGCGCCACCGGTACCGACAGCCACCGGAACCGGAAGTTGCCTGTTCAAGTTCCAATGAGAAGTGGAGAGCTAACTCGCGACAAGACAACTTCTGTGTGTGTGTGTGTGTGTGTGTGTGTGTGTGTGTGTGTGCGAGCGTGTGTGTGCGTCTGTGGGGAGGAGTGGCGGGGGGAATTACAGGCGGATTCAGTGCTCCAGGGTACGCACCATTGGACAAGACGGTGACGGGCAGCATGAGCATGAGGCGGAGCATCCACACAATGGGCATGATCTCGTAGACCATGTCACGCGGAGGGTCACCGTCGACGCGCTGCTTCGGGGAGTCTGGTGACGGCCTCGGCGACGGCCCCGGCCTCGCTGACGGCCTCGCTGACGGCCTCGCTGACGGCCTCGCTGACGGCCTCACTGAGGGCCTCAGCGACGGCCTTGGAGGCGCGCGGTCGCGTCCTGTGCGCCGCCAGAATCACGTTTTCCATCGAACACCAACAAACCGCAAAGCCGGGCATGTGTGCCGGTGGCCACTGACCCGACACGAGCACCCCGGCGAACAGCGCTTCCGCGGCGTAGGCCTTCTTGTGGTGCATGAGGTGCTTGGCGGGGAGGCCGCTCTCGCCGTGTCGCTTGCTGGCCTTGCTGCTGGCCCAGTCGCTGCTCGGCGGAGGGCTGAAGGGCCACCGCCTGGCGTGCTTCCTGCCGCCGGCCTCCATGCTCGCGTCACGCCGCCACTCCGCCCCTCCAGGACCTCCAGGACCTCCAGGACGCCACCCTGCCCCCCGAGGCCGGGACTCTCGGATGCCGGTGCTGACCGCGCCGGTCGAGGCGCGCCATCCTCGTTCACGCGCCGCGGCACCCCGCGTGAGGTGCGCGTCGTGCGGCCGTGCCGCGTCCGCGGCGTGGACTCGCGGCGTGGACTCGCGGCGTGGACTCGCGGCGTGGACTCGCGGCGTGGACTCGCGGCGGGGACGGAGCGGCTTCAGCCGCCCCGCGGGTGTCGCATGTCAGTCACTAAGTCAATTGGTCCGTCGACTAGTGAGGGTGACAGGGAGCGTGTTAGTATTGAAATTGGTGGTTGCATCACCCCTCGGCCTTCCCCGTTGGTTTGGGACACCCCAGCCATGCCCCGGTGGCCGAGGGCTGATAGCGATCAACGAGCCCTGGAGTGGAGCCCTTCCCATGCCGAGTTACGACCGGCCGCGCTCGAACCTCGAACCGCGGCCGCGGTGGTGGTGGTATGCGCGCCGGACGGCAACTTTGACGCCGACAATAACCCCCAGGGGAGTCGGCCCGGCCGCCTACACGAGACTTGATCGGGACGTGTCAGGTCGGGGCCCTGCCAAGGGGTGTAGGGAGGGACGCAGGCACCCCATCGCGCGTGCCTCCCGCGCCCTGCACGTTGACGACCCCGCGGGCCACCATGCGTATCACGCACTGGGCCAAAGGTCGAAACACCACTCACCGACCATGTTACCGACAAGTCACCGACACGCTACCAGCGTGTCAACACTCGGCGCGCGCACACGATCGCTCAGCAGGAATCAATTAATCTACGGGCTCCTCGTCGAGTGAATTGAATCGTTTCGTAGTGCGACTGTGGCAGTTGGACGACTTCGACAGCAGGCACCACCTCAACAAACTCACGTGTCGACATAGTACACTCCACCTAGAGTCAACATAGCATGTACACTCCACCTGGAGTCAACCTTGCATGTGCTCTCCAGGCTGAAGCATGCTTGCCAAGTACACGCCAGGTGGCGTTTACCTGCAAGTACACTGTTGCTCTGCTTTACGTGCAAAGGGTAGGGGACTTCCGCAACAGTGTACATGCCAGGTTGACTCCAGCGTGGAGTGTACATGCTAGGTTGACTCCAGGTGGAGTGTACTATGTCGACACTTGAGTTTGCAGAGCACATGCCTGGGGCGGAGACGACCGTGAACGCGCCGAATCCAAACACCTAGATAGAGCAGCTGTTCGAGTACTACCCGTTCTTTCGTGTTTTGCGCGCGCTCCCAGTTGTGAATCAAGCTTGGTGACATAGGCACCGACCTATGCCTTTTTATTTGGCATGTTTTCGAAAGCCAAAGACAGGGCGACGGAGCACTGCGGGCACAAAGCGCAAAGCGCGTCCAAAACAATTAAGCCGCTGAAACCACACACGCGCAGCGCGCAGCGAGCAGGAAGAAGGTCCCGGCGGTCTCGGCGACTCTCATTGTCGGCGAGGCGAGGCGAGCGGCAATCAGGGAATCTTCGTGAGGAGGAGGATCCCCCAGGCGCCATGCCGCCTTGCCGCCACACCGCGAAATGCCGAGCTGCCGAACCACGTGCTCGCGGACCGCGGTGAGGCGGTATAAAAGCACGTCGCCAACGCGGCAGTTGTTTCTTCGACGCCATGGAGTGCACCAGGTCCTTGTTCGTGTGCTGGGCCGTGGCGGTCGTCTGCTGGGCCGCGGCGGCCGCGCAGCCTCAGGTCGGTGGAAGCGGCGAGGAGGAGCGTCTGTCGATTTGTCACGGCAACGACGAGTCCCTTTCTATACTCTGACCAGAAAACGAAGATCCCTGGGTTCTCGCGGTCGAGGGCTACCTGCAATGCTAGCCAAGGCGGCAGATGCCATAAACCGCGAGAACTCAGGGCACTTCGTTTTCTGGTCAGAGTATAGCTGACGCCCACGTGAAATAGTTATTGAGAGCCGAACTCTGAACGCCGCATGCCCGCGCATGCCCCTTTTTCGCAGGGCCAGTCTTTGGAGTCGGCGGTTCTGTCAGCGCCGTCCGGCAGCCCGGCCAGCCCAGCCAGCGCCCTGCCGCAGTCGCCACAGCCGCAGCAAGCCTCGCTACCGCCATCGCCACAGCCCATGCAGCCGCAGCCCCTGCAGCCGCAACTGTACCCGCAGTCGCCGCCGCAGCTGGCGCTGCCACTGCCGTTGTCACCGCAGAACACGGTACTGCTCCAGTGCCGGCAGACGGTTCCCTCCACGGATTGTAAGAAAGACCAAAACTCTATTTTGTCATAACTTTCCGCGCGGAGGAAAAGCCGGGCGTGAACTGCCTTATTGTTTCCCTGCTGCTTGTTTTCAGTAGACATTGCGGAGATCCAAAGGCAGATTCTACCGGTGTCTCTCGCCGGGCAGGTTGGTGCAATTTTGTTAAGCGGAAATCAGAAAATACAAACATAATTTTTGCTAAAATTTTGTGTTTTTCTTTTTTTGCAGTGTCTTCTAGCTTGCGCGGCGCAGCGGCTCGGCTACGTGAGTCTAAAAATATTTCAGTTTCGGGTCTGGTGCCGCCGGTGACTATCAAATTGGATTCTACTCGCTATCTGCGCCTTGCCTCTGCCTCCCATTATCCTCCTCACTTAGCCCCCAGTCTGTCTATCTGTCTGTCTGTCCGTCCGCCTGTCTGCTGCCTGTCCGCTCGCCCGGCCCAGCAGGCCCAGCAGGCCCCGCCCCCGGTGTGCCATTAGCACGCGGCGAACGCGCAGTCCAAGTCCCGGAGGTTTGTGCACGGAGGCGCTGCGCGCTGCGCGTTACCGCACGCTGGCATGACTGATTCCTGTACGCACGCCCACCCACACCCCGCCCGGACAGGCCGCTCGCAGCCAACAGGCCAGCCTTTGCCGCGGGATCAATGCTAGAACAAAAAAACCCACGCGTACACTACAAAATCCACTGTGTACTTAGTATACATCTATAGGAGTAGGAGTGTACTCGGACCGCCTATCCGCTATTCACAAGTATACTCCTATAGATGTGTACTTGCCAAGTACACTCCTATAGATGTATACTAAGTACACAGTGGATTTTGTAGAGTACCAACCAGCCACCAATCAAAGCAGCAACGTGGCAACGGGTTCCCAAATTATGTCCCTCCAATAACGCTGACACAAGAATATGCCTCTCGACAGATGCAGCCCAACTTCCCGCTGCAGATGCAGGGCGCGGGCGCCCTCATGAACACGCTCTACCCGTCGCGCGGATTCGACCCGACTTTCCAGAACTCGCTCATGAGCACCGTCAACCAGTGCCTCGTGCAGGCCGGTCAGTGAAACTCACTCAAAAAAAAAGGAAACAAGACCCGACCCGTCACAAAAATTGATTTCCATTTAATCTTCTTGCAGATCCGTTGGCCCAGCTGGCCTATTCTGGCAGACTGCAGTGAACCTGTTCAACACAGCGAGACAGTTCAATCCCATCCCCGGCCTGCTGGGCTGAACACGCTGTGCTTTTTTGATGGGACTGTATTGAAAGGGAATAAAGTTTTGGTTAGTCTTTTGATAGATCCGTTTCGTCTTATCCTCCCCCTCCCCTCCCCAGCCGGGTAACTTTTCCAATGCCAACTCAAGCACTTCGTCAGAACGAAGAAAAGAAGGAAGCTCTGGGGAAACGACGTCTAGCGAATGAACCCAGCCGTCACCAAACTCAAGCTTGCTTCACCTCACACACACGGGCGACTGCGGTGCGTCTCCAGTCTCCAAAGCCACAAGGCCACGGCCTCCGATCTCTATCTGACCGCGAGATGGCCCAGACCGCACAGCAGTCAGCAGACCACCGCGGGGTGGGGCTGGCCCTCGGGCTTGCCACCCCTGGGCGAGCCGATCTGCGTGCAGCCCCACGGGCCGCAGTCTCCCGCGACCCCCAAGACGGCCACGACGTGCACCGCACCGCCTCCGCCACCATGAGGGCCGTCCTAGCCTTCGCGACCATCCTGGCCGCCGCCGCCGCCTCGCCGGCACTGCAACGTGAGTACGCTGGCCAGGATCACGATGCGCTCGAGCGAGAGGCACTCTGCGAGTGGCGTGGGGGCATCCTCAGCGGATCCCTCAGCTCGTGGGGCAATGCTGGTCGCTGGATCCGAGCGCGTACCGGACCGCGAGGCACCCAGCTGCTCTACAAACTGAAGTGTGTACTCAGTATGCATCTACAGACTTGCAAGTACACACCTACAGATGCATACTTAGCTGAGTACACATCTACAGGCATACTCAGCTGAGTACACATCTGCGGATGCATACTTAGGTATGCATCTGTAGGTGTGCACTCAGCCAAGCATGCATCTGTAGATGTGTACTCAGCCAAGTACGCATCTGTAGATGTGTACTCAGCCAAGTACGCATCTGTAGATGTGTACTCAGCTAAGTATGCATCTGTGTGTACTTGCAAGTATGCATCTGTAGATGCATACTGAGTATACACTCCAGTTTGTAGAGTGTTCGCCGTGTATTTGACAATCACCGACGCCCCCTAACTGGGACTTGTTTGCACCCCAGCGGAGCCGCCCGTCCACGCCCGGACGTGCAGCCGCAGCAACAAGGACAACACCCTCAACAACTGCATCCGGCACAACATCCAGGCCTTCATCCCGCACGTCAAGAACGGTGAGCGCGGTCTCTCTTTCAAAGAGGACTAAGGGGGTAGAACGCGCGAGTCACTCATGGTGCTTCTGTTTGAAGGCGGCAAGTTCGGGCTGCCGAGCCTGGAGCCCTTCCACGTGCCCGAGACGTCCTTCGACCTGCGGACCGGCCTCATCGACTTCCACGCCGTCATGAGGAACCTGACGGTCTACGGCTTGGGCGACGCGGTGGTGCGCGACGCGATGTGAGCCAGGGCTTTACTTCGTTTGACTGGGGCGGGGCTCCGGGTTGCCCGCTGACGCACCGCTCTGCTTCTTCCAGGGCTGACCTCGGCGACGACGCCATGCTCATGGACGTGGGCCTCCTCCTGCCGAAGGTGTCCTTCCGCGGCATGCTGGAGCTCTCCGGCGGCCAGATCCTCGAGCTGCCCTTCAAGGGCCGTGGAATCTTCGACTTCACCTTCAGTAAGTGCCTTGCACCTGGGGAAGCGCCTGCGATGGAGAGGATAGGCCGCCACGCAGGACTCGCCTGCGTTGCGGCACGGCCTACCCTCCGTCTCGCGGGCGCTCCGCCGCGCTCCGCCGCGCTCCGCAGGCTGGCTTGCCCGGATGTGACCGAGTGTGGTCTCTGGGACGCAGTAACCAGCCAGCTGCCTCGCTGCTTTGCTCGCAGGCGACATCAACGCCACCTGGCGCGTGGTGGGCAAGAGGCAGGCCGGCGAGGAGCACCTGGAGGTGCAGAGCGTCACCCCCACGTACACGGTGGGCGGCATGACCACGGACATCAAGCTGCCGGACCAGGGCATCCCGAACCTCGGTGAGTGTGCTGTGCAGTGCACTGCCATCTGCCGCCTCGGTCGCCCACGACTTGTTTTAAAGGACGGTGTCGTTTGTGTTCCCGCAGACCGAGTCATCAACGCTGTCATGAACCACTACTGGACCATCATGGTGGACATGGGCAAGGCGTACGTGCAGAAGCCCATCTCGCACCAGCTTCGGTCGGTGATTAACACCCTCTTCCAGAACGTTCCGTACGACCAGATGTTTCCCGCCAAAGGACGCGCCCCCCCCGGGGCCCCGCTGACTATCGGAACCAATCCGATCGGGTCGTGCTAGTGTGCCTCGCATCTCAGTGCAAACTCTGTTTGTGTCCGAGAACTCTCATCTTAAAAAAATTGTTGCCCTCAAATTTAATACAATTTTTTAAATAGCTAGGTTTTTGTTGAAAATAAAGTGTGGTGTGCGGCCGTGATAAGATATGATGTCACCCGATTCTGTATCACATTTTTATTCCAACAATTTTATACATCACTAGGCAATATGGTGCAAAATTTAATACATATCAAAATGACAGGCACTACTATTTTACACTTTAAGATCCAGGCTTGCAGTTCATTAAATTTGCTGGAGGTAAAATGAATCACACATTGTGGATGGATCCTTACAGTCAATTCTTTTATCACTACAAGGTCCACCATGAGACTTCAATTTCAATGTGAATTGACTATGTGATAAAAACAAAAGTTACATTTAAGCAGCACTAGCATTGTTAAAATGTGTAAAAAGGGAAAAAAAACAAAACAAAATAACAGGCTTTGGCTGGATAGCTATAAAAAGATTGACAACGTGACAAGTCATTGTAACCACACTAATCATAATGCAATAGTTCTCATAAACATTGCAGGTTACAGTACTTTAAAAACCTATCTAAAGAATAAGTGCAAAATAGCTCAAATGTGTATACTTTTAATTCAAAAATTCAGCAGTTAAAGACCGTATTACTTGTCTTCAAAACAGGTAAGAGACACATCGGATCTCCAAAAAGAGGGAAAAGTTTTAATGGGATCATTACTTTCTATGGCATGGTAGTGACATACATAATACAGTATCTAACATGGTCTTTCAGAGGAAATGTCAGACACAGATAGGGAAAGAGGGGAAAAAGGGAAAGAGAGAAAGAGAGAAAGAGAAGAGAGTGAGAGATGATGAAAATATCACAGAAATATGACATGGAATTTAACAACTGCCCTTTCTCAAAGAAAATTTCACAAAAACCCAAAAGTTTAAGATAAAACAAAAATTTAAAACGGACTGCTATGTATTTTCAATAAATGTGTAAAACGAAAACAAAAGTAAGCTGCCCAAAAAAATTCTGTAGAACAACAGCACCTACTTGTATCACAGTTAACTGACCAAACAGTACAGAATTACCCACAAAATTAAAAAAAAAAGACAAAGAGTGATAACAGAAACAACACTCATTCAGCCAATAACATATTGGTGTTTTTATACAGGATGTGTTCCCACACACACTCACAACTAATATGTGCTGGTGCAACAACATTGTACGCAAATCAAAGAGCAAACCAAATTAGCATTGAGGAAAAGTAGATAATAATGGCAAGTAAAACAAATTCAAGCCCCTAAGAGCAAGAGTCTCAAGATCACAGACCATATACAACATCTAAAGCACCAACATCAATTGATAATAGTTGGGAATGTAAAAGACTAATACTGATCTAGGAATGATACCAGGATAGATACTATTTAGGTCTGGTACATTGAAGACTGTATCAGTAAACAGGAAAACTGGCAATCATATTACATGCACAGCAGGGCGTTTTGGTGTGTATCGGTCGGGTGTTTTTTGGATGAAGCTTTCTATTTTGTCGGCAAGGTCGCAGGATGCTCTCGCCAGGACACAGGTCGCATGAAGAAGGGGCGGGGCGAAGCCACCTTTCTCAATACATCAAGATTTGGCCCAAGAGGACCCCGTTGATCCCCGAGATAAGGGACGAAGCAGGCGGGCCTGGACCCGGTAGTACTCAAAGCGACTTTTCGGGGCGGGGCCTGCAATCCCCCCGGGGGGGTGTTACCTCCTCCCTGACGGGTCATACTGCGAGGGGGAGCTTCGACCCGTTTGAGGTTCGTCTCCGCCGGTATAAAGTGTCACCCTAGTAAGGACGGCCACGTCTCGTTTTGCAGTGCAGGCGAGCTTGTGTCGGGCCCGAAACGGCATAAGATCATGTGTGGTCTAGCCCGTAATGGTAATGGTAATGAGAGGATAGGCCGCCACGCAGGACTCGGCCGTGTTGCGGCACGGCCTCCCTCCGTCTCGCGGGCGCTCCGCCGTGCTCGGCCGCGCTCCGCAGGCTGGCTAGCCCGGATGTGACCGAGTGTGGTCTCTGAGACGGAGTAACCAGCCAGCTGGCTCGCTGCTTTGCTCGCAGGCGACATCAACGCCACCTGGCGCGTGGTGGGCAAGAGGCAGGCGGGCGAGGAGCACCTGGAGGTGCAGAGCGTCACCCCCACGTACACGGTGGGCGGCATGACCACGGACATCAAGCTGCCGGACCAGGGCATCCCGAACCTCGGTGAGTGTGCTGTGCAGTGCACTGCCATCTGCCGCCTCGGTCGCCCACGACTTGTTTTAAAGGACGGTATCGTTTGTGTTCCCGCAGACCGAGTCATCAACGCTGTCATGAACCACTACTGGACCATCATGGTGGACATGGGCAAGGCGTACGTGCAGAAGCCCATCTCGCACCAGCTTCGGTCGGTGATTAACACCCTCTTCCAGAACGTTCCGTACGACCAGATGTTTCCCGCCTAAGACGCGCCCCCTCCGGGCCCCGCTGACTATCGGAACCAATCCGATCGGGTCGTGCTAGTGTGCCTCGCATCTCAGTGCAAACTCTGTTTGTGTCCGAGAACTCTCATCTTAAAATAATTGTTGCCCTCAAATTTAATACAATTTTTTAAATAGCTAGGTTTTTGTTGAAAATAAAGTGTGGTGTGCGGCCGTGATAAGATATGATGTCACCCGATTCTGTATCACATTTTTATTCCAACAATTTTATACATCACTAGGCAATATGGTGCAAAATTTAATACATATCAAAATGACAGGCACTACTATTTTACACTTTAAGATCCAGGCTTGCAGTTCATTAAATTTGCTGGAGGTAAAATGAATCACACATTGTGGATGGATCCTTACAGTCAATTCTTTTATCACTACAAGGTCCACCATGAGACTTCAATTTCAATGTGAATTGACTATGTGATAAAAACAAAAGTTACATTTAAGCAGCACTAGCATTGTTAAAATGTGTAAAAGGAAACAAAACAAAACAAAATAACAGGCTTTGGCTGGATAGCTATAAAAAGATTGACAACGTGACAAGTCATTGTAACCACACTAATCATAATGCAATAGTTCTCATAAACATTGCAGGTTACAGTACTTTAAAAACCTATCTAAAGAATAAGTGCAAAATAGCTCAAATGTGTATACTTTTAATTCAAAAATTCAGCAGTTAAAGACCGTATTACTTGTCTTCAAAACAGATAAGAGACACATCGGATCTCCAAAAAGAGGGAAAAGTTTTAATGGGATCATTACTTTCTATGGCATGGTAGTGACATACATAATACAGTATCTAACATGGTCTTTCAGAGGAAATGTCAGACACAGATAGGGAAAGAGGGAAAGAGGGAAAGAGAGAAAGAGAGAAAGAGAGAAGAGAGTGAGAGATGATGAAAATATCACAGAAATATGACATGGAATTTAACAACTGCCCTTTCTCAAAGAAAATTTCACGAAACCAAATGTTTAAGATAAAACAAAATTAATACGGACTGCTATGTATTTTCAATAAATGTGTAAAACGAAAACAAAAGTAAGCTGCCCAATAAAATTCTGTAGAACAACAGCACCTACTTGTATCACAGTTAACTGACCAAACAGTACAGAATTACCCACAAATTAAAAACAAAAGACAAAGAGTGATAACAGAAACAACACTCATTCAGCCAATAACATATTGGTGTTTTTATACAGGATGTGTTCCCACACACACTCACAACTAATATGTGCTGGTGCAACAACATTGTACGCAAATCAAAGAGCAAACCAAATTAGCATTGAGGAAAAGTAGATAATAATGGCAAGTAAAACAAATTCAAGCCTCTAAGAGCAAGAGTCTCAAGATCACAGACCATATACAACATCTAAAGCACCAACATCAATTGATAATAGTTGGGAATGTAAAAGACTAATACTGATCTAGGAATGATACCAGGATAGATACTATTTAGGTCTGGTACATTGAAGACTGTATCAGTAAACAGGAAAACTGGCAATCATATTAAATGGAATCAGACATATCAGCATTATGACAACAGGGGCCACCAAACTTCCAACATACTAAATAATTACCTCAGTATGCTATTACAATAGCAGATAAGGAGATTGGAGCAATACTTATAAAGCACCTTTAGGTACTAAGCACCAGTTAATCCTCAAAATAATCACAAAGAAAGAATAAACAACACACACATACAAAAAAATCAACAAAAAAACAGAAACACATCAGACTAAGGTTTTTTTGACACATTTAAAACATATCTATGCAGGATACACTAACCACACCTCAAAGCGTATTTCCAAATTGGCATCACTATTCAATTGGCAAGCACAGATGAACAAAATCCACAATGTTCTGACAGATGGACAAAACCTTCAAAGCTGAAGTAAAAATATCAAATGTGAATTATTTACATTCATTCGTAGTAATTGACATTCCTAAGATGCGGAGGCAGCCAGGCACATATTTAATTAACAAAATCTAGTCTTATTTCAAAATGTCAAAGATAACAAAGTTGTTGTTTTTTACTTTACAAAAGAATTGTTATGCTTTTCCAAAAGGGGAAAAGCATAATGGCAATCAAAAGCACCACAAAAGCCTTTCAATTTAACACTGCATTTATCACATACATTTCACTCATGACAATTTCATACACAGTACTTCCTTCTCTTGAGAGGGTGACATGAAGAAAATGAGGGATTTCACCATTCTCAAAGGGTGGGATTCAAAAAGGAAAGTAATCAATGAAGAAAAATCGAGAAAAATCTCTTGAAAAATAACTTAAAGTTACCAAGTTGTGAGAAACCAGTCTACCATTTCCCACATTTCAAAAATAATAATTATTAATAATACAGGCAATGCCACCATGTTTCAACATCTTCATACCGGCTGGCAGCTTTTCACTTCAAGTTTTCAGAAGAGCCAGGTGCAGTTACTCCACTTTGATTAGATGCTTGTTTCTGGAACAAATGTAAAAGTTACATTATTCTACAACAGGTAGTGGATGACAGGAACAATCATAACTTGTCTGATATGATAGTCAAGATCTTTTCAAATGTGTGTGGAGACACATGGGTGCTCTTCAAATGGACTGAAACTGTGAGTTACATTTCTACAGGATGGGAATAGCATGTATGTACTTCAGAATACACAAAGAGAACACATTTAATGAAATGGGACTCCCCCTTTACAATAATTCACTTTTCGAGAAGTTGTTAAAGAAGAGTTGAACGGGAACAAGCACCAACAAAGGCATTGCTTGCAGTATAAAAGTAAAAATACAGGTGTTAACATTGTTCCAGTGAGCCTTGGCAACACAGAGCCTCAGGTGGACTGTGAAAGGAGATATCCAGAGCTGTTTGAAGGAAAGGTGCAATTTCATTATAGAAGTGATAAAACAAACACATGAACAAATTCAACTCGGACAAAGCTGGAGAAATGGGATGGGCAGGGCAAGGTTGAAAACACTCTTTTGATGTAAAATGTAAAAAAAAATTATGGTTGGTGACAATAATAACAAGCCAAGAAGAAACCCATTTACTGCAACAGGGTGGTCAAGTTTGCTTGGTGTGACATGCACTGCAGAAAAGCTATGGCGATAATGAACTCAAGGTTCACAATGATGGGGGGTGAATACACAATACAGCTACTCTGCACACACTTCATACCACCAACCCATGAAAATAGAAGGTGACAGCAAAGACCACTTTACAAGAGTTGTTTTCGCAAGGACATGCGACGCTTCTTCAAGTGAAAATTCCATTTCCAGGGACGCAGAGGAGAGTTCTGTAAATACAAATGCCCTCTACCTAGTGAACACATATGGAAGGTTTGATGTTTGCTTCAGAAAATAGTGCATATTTCTGTTTCATTGGTCAGAATAGGTTATATCTCATCATGGTATAAACAAATGAATAAACATCCCTGGAGAGAATAAGGGCTCTTTTCATTACCTGCAACTGTTCCTCTTGATCTTGAGTGTGTTGGAGACCAGCACAGAAATGGAGCATCAAAATTGCCAAAGCTTGAACCTTCTCATCACATTTTCCAATGAGGAAAGCAAGCCGAGTTTTTTCTGCAGTATCTTGACAATCACCTTCTTCTCGTGCTAACTGCATCCGTAGTGTGGACTCACTGTCCATTGAAGTTTTAAGTTTTGTGATCTAGAAGAAAAAATTCCTGAACCAATCAAGAAACAAAATACGTATTTACATTACGAGAACGAATACCAACCATTTTGTTGATACGCTCTATGCGCTGTGTAGGTGGTAGGCCTGAGTACAGCTCTTTCCCTGTTGCTTTTGCTACAGCCATCAAATCTTCAGAACCGTCATCTCCCGCACCAGCGGCCCCACCGGAACCAGTAGGACGTCGTAGCTGGAGAAGTTGTTCCAGTGCAACAGAAACATCCTCATCGGCACTAGCATCCTCATCAGAGCCACTGTCAAGCTCACTAAACTGGAAAACTGTCTCATGTAGTGAAGTCTGCAACAGATCGTTTTACAAGAACCTTCAGATTTATTGAAAAAAAAAAAAAAAAAAGCGCATGCAGAAAACAACAGACAGGGACCTACCTTTCGAGATGGAGCTGGAGAGTGTTGAGGTGAAGGAGGTAAACTGCGGGACAAATGGCCAGCACCTTGAGAACCATCAGAGCCAGGAGGAGCCAGATTATGTGCTGATCCAACACGCTTCAGCCCTCGTGCTTGGGTTGCCATGGAAGCAAGTAAGTTGGTGATACGTTTCCTGTGGCTAGGGCCCTGACAAATGCAAAAACATTTTTTAAAACAACGAAACACGGCTTCAAGAACAGGAATAGAAACATTTTGGTACCTGGATGGGTATGTTTGCTGCCTCCTCAGCAGATGTCATGACTATTTCTGGATGTATACTGGCCCGGCGAGGCTGGCTAGCACTGTCACCATCACCTAAGTTGTGGGAGGACCCTGCTGCCAAGTTTCTCTGGTCTGTGAATGCTCCTGCCACATCCGCTTCGCCCAAAGAATGACGATGAGCTTTCCTCGACGCTGGACTGTTGCCTGCACTTGGTTTGCTCGGTACGGTGATACCTGATTGAGGAGGTGCACCGCCACATGATGAGCCCGCCATGCACTTATTAATACACTTCTTGTGGCACGACATTCCGCAAGTTCGACACTGAACAGCATCCTTAAGCCAAATCTAAATAATAGAGAAAAGATTTTCATTAAGTTTTGGTTCTGTAAGTTCTTTAAGTGAATCTTTATGTTAAGGAAACATAGCAAAGTGAAAAAACATACCTTTTTCATGCAAAAACCACACTGGATAGCACGATGAAATTGAGTTCTAATGAAGTCATGGCTTCTAAATACTCCAGCGTCTTGACTGGTTACTGAGCTAACTGTGGGTTCAGTTGACTGATGTGACGGGCTTCCAGAAGGAAATGGAGGAGAGGGAGACTGAGTTCCATTGGGTGTCATGTACATGAAAGATAACAAAACATCTCCATAGCAAAGACATGGCTCAAAGCCAGAATGGTTTGACAATTTATGACTTTGGCTGGAACAAATGACAATAAACATAATTGAGTAAAGAAATATTCAAATTAAAACTAGACAGGCCATGTGTATAGTAGTTTAGAGTTAAAAGTACCTGTTGGCAAGATGAAGGTCTGGTGGCAAGAAGGAGTAGGAACTGATAAAATGGCCAAGACGTGAACGACTGCATTGATCGGCCACAGCAGCAAGAAGAACACTCACATGACCCAGCAGCTGGTCTCTTCCTCCAGGACCAGTTCGAGCGCTCCAAACACTGATGTTGAGATAACGGTGGTGAGGTCCAACAGCAAACTTCAGAGTTTCATTGAAATCAAGCACCTGATCCAGAGGTATTTCTTTTGTGTTAAGCATCTGAAGGTTTCCTTGGTCACCAGGCGCCTGTTGTTTGTTACGATGGTCTGGACTTGGGGATATTGACCCTCCAGCTGACCCTGGGGTAGATCCAGGAGTTGAAGAAGAGTTGCTCGGGCCAGGAAACATTGCGGCTGGTTTCTTTGCTGGGGAGCCTGAATAACAAGAATTATAAAAACATTATATCAAAATTAAATCTGAGAAAAAAGAATAAAAATCGTTAAGAGGTATTTTTACTTTGTGTGGAGTTGGCTGGGCTTGAAGTGCTGCTATCACTATCGACATAGTCACTTTGTTCTACTGAAACTCTTCTTTTACGTAAACCTGTACGATCTAATGTTGGTGAATCTTTGGTGACAGATACAGTTACATTTGAAGGTCGTATCACAGTTGAATCAGTCTCTGAGGTCTGAAATTTAAAAAAAAAAAAAAAAAGAAAGAAAGAAAGTAAAGATGAACATGCAGAACAATATCATTCTAATAATTTTAGGAGACCCAAAAATAAAAATTTCAGAGCACAGAACATATTATTACTGAGGTTGGTGATGAGGTGTTGAAGGCAACTTTTCTTTCAAGTCTCAAAGTATATTTATCACCCGCTCCTTTCATACATTTTGCAGCTTGTGCTATGGTAGATATCCTTTTCCCATCCACAGCTGTTAAGAGGTCTCCAGGTTGTACATCTGAGTTGCTAGCGGGTGATCCTGGCAGCACAGTATCAACAATGACACAGGCCTGATAGCGGTCTGCTACAAATTCTTGGCGAAAAACAATTCCTAGCTGCTGCTGTGGAGATTTGACAATACTGACATCAAGTGTCATGTAAGTGGATGTATCAGAATGGACCATTTCAACCCATGCAGTCCGATCTGGAAGAAAAATTGTGGTCACAGTGACAGAAGATTGCATGGAAATTGCCATAATTTAAGAAAATAACTACCAACCTATTGCTAGAGAGCAGTATATATTTTCAGTGCCATTCCCTAGAGAGGCCAGTCTAGTGACCTCAACAACAGTAACTTCTAAGGAACCAGATTGGACAGAGTGCTGACCCCACTCTGCTTCTTCATCACCGGGTTCAGATTTTGCAAAAAATGGTTTGTAACGCAACTTGAAGTTTGGCAAGGTATGCTTCCGTTTCAAAGACTTTCGTATCTGTTGAGGGTAAAAAAAAAGGGGGCGAAGGAGTTTGTGTTTAAGAAATTCTATGACCATTGACAATTTTTTAGAAACCATTCATCCACCAACCTGATTGACGATTATGTTTGTGATTTGAGGTAGTGGACGGCCCTGAAATTGGCTTTCAACCTCCAATTGCAGAACAGGTTCAGAATAGAAGCTTATAGACCAATGCGTGTAAGGCAACCGTGTAAACTGGAGGCGAGCCATACCAACTAGCTCATGTACTGGAAATTTGTTTTGAAAAAAAAATAAGTACCATTGAACACCTAATAGTAAAAAATAATAATGATAATAATAATGCATACCTGTGACAGATAAATATGCAGCACGTCCCAAGACTAAATTAGCATCCAGAGAAAGCTGGAATGACCCACTATAGTGTATATCAAGACATAATTCAAGAGTGTCAATGCGGTGGTGAACAGGATCCTGAGAAACTTGACGAACCTCAACACTTCTAATGGTTGGAAAATGGGAACCCAAGTTTAAATCTCGTACCTGTAAAGATGATGGAGATAAAAAATAAAAATTTCAGCTTAAGAAAGTTTGATTTAGCAAAAACAGTATTGATATGGCAATCTTACAGCTATGAAATCAAAAAGTTTCCCAGTAGTCGTCCTGGTTAGAAGTTCCTCAAATTCAAGGGATAGTTTTCGGTGGAACCAGTTGCGCACTCTTTCAGTGTGACGAAGCTCTTGGAAAAGAAACTGCAGAAGCAAGCTGATACCCAAACACGATTCTTGCTTAGAGAGATTTCTATTTTGAAGAGCGTCTAAGATGTGCTAAAAATTTAATTTAAAAAAATAATTAAAAGTTCAGGGGCAGCCATGGTTTGATTTAGAGGTAAAAGTAGAACATAGTTGACAATACCTTTGGCAAACAGAAAGGGGCAGAGACTGCAAAAGGCTGTTTGGGTGGTTCTACTTCGGGCTGGCTCAAAAGAAATCTCTGGAAGATGTACCACTCAGCAGCAAGCACTGCCACAGCTCCAACCAGCATACACAAAAGCATCAATATCAAATCCATAGCAAGGTGTTATTTGTCTGGAAAATAAATAAAGCCTCTTGTAGAAACAAGTTTTCAGATGGACAGATGGTGGGAGGTAGTCTGCATTTTAATTTCAAGAATAAAATAAAAAAATATTTAGCAAGTAAAGAATAATTAAATAGGCTCCATTCAACCAAATAGATATTACGAAGAGTGAACAACAATATAGTGCCCCAAATCATGTCAAAACAAAAGGTTAGAACCGACTCCAGAAGGGAAGGAACATTTGACATAAAATGTATTCTTACATACTATCAGCATCAAAAGACAAACATGGAGATGAAGGAGATTTTTTTCTCACTCTCCTCAGGATGAACCAAGTCCCTGCGACCATTTAAAACGCATTTTAACGTATTTTCAACAATGTTATGACATTAGAAAGAGTTTTTTTTTCCTGCTAACCAGCAGAAGCTTTACCTGGTGGTGATGACAAATTGTGCTGAACCCAACAAAAGCATGGACATATGAGAAATTCTACTTTTACCATCACCGCAAAGAAGGCCTTTATGCAAGCATAGGTGAAATTTTCAGCTCTTTAATAATGAAAAATTGTAATTTATGCTAATTGGTGTACCGAAAGCTTCTTGAACTCTTCGTTATCTGTCAATCCACCAGTAGCAAACAATAGCAATTGCAATTGCAGTTCGCCATAAGTTCAATAAACTGCAGTTGCAGCGGCAGCAGTAGCAGTGGCAAGCATAAGCATTTTGCTGTCTGCCAATGTTTGTACTGGTTAGTACGGTGTCTGACTCGATACTTCTGTGAAATCGTCGGTAAGATCTAGAAAGATGCTGCTTTCCTTTATTTGACCATCAAAGATCATTTTCTTTGCGTTTCATTGCGTTTTAATTGATCGCACCTTTCCTTGGTGGCAGAGCCTATCTCAACTTGGGCATAACCTCTTTGGTGTGAATTCCCTTTTCTCCCATTTTAGTGCCCTGAGATTCACTTGTGTTCTCTTTGATAGGTTTCAGATTCTGAGAGCATTTCTCATCATGAGTGCTGGTCGTGCCGGCGGCCCTCCTGGCCCCCTGCTGTTGCCACCCTGGCACGGTGGGAAAAGGCGTCGAATGTTTGTTGATGAGGACAATGATAACGAAGAAGAAAGGGATGAAGAAAGGATCAAAAATCCCGAGAGTGATGAATCAGTTCCTGTAGTTGAGGTATGTCTAACACATGTTAGGTAAATTTTGATTATATGTTCAGTAGCGTCACTGTTTGCTGATTTTCTTTTTGTCATTTCAGGATGTAGCAACAATCAATGATCTCCCAGATGAAATCCTCCTCATGATGTTTCAATATCTGGATCCTTATACTTTGGCAAATGATGCCAGTAAGGTGTGTCAACGATGGCAACAGTTAGCTTGGGATGAAGCTCCATGGCGCAACATGCATTTGCAGCTTGACGGACCAGAAGCTAAAGAGGTTTTACTGAAGGCACCTGCTCTTCGTCGACTAAGTGTTCACTCATATGGTGGCTATGAACCACTTTTAGAATGCACCACACGCATTTTTGAGCTAGTGATTACCTACAGGCGTCTGTTTGATGAACCGGAACCTGTTCCACCTTTGGAGGAAAGTCGCTTTGCATTTGCAAACGTTCTTCCACGATTCTCTGAAAATTTGGAACGACTGTCTGTAGAGGTTGATATGACTGAAGAAGAGTTCAAGGCCATAGATGATAATCTTGACCTCAAAGAGCTGCGTATTGTGTCCAATAATCTGCAAAAATTCAATGTTTGTAATCGTCCTCGAAGCAGGTTTTTAGAGTATGCTCACTTTGAAAAGGATGGTGTTCTTTGCCATCTTCCCTTGTCCCTGTTAGCCACCCATGGACCACATCTTCGTACATTAGTTGGCAGGGTGGACGAGGTGGCAGCACAGGTGCTCTCTAAATGCGAGTCCTTAGAAGCAGCAGATCTAGATTTACCATCCATTGCAAGCTTGCAGAATATGGATTGTCTACAAAATCTGCACACTCTGCGGATAAGCTTCAGAGCTGAGATGGAGACAGAAGACAGGGTAGATTATAGGACAGAGGATCGCATCAACCCTATCTTGCCTCATTTCTCACAGCGCCTGCTGCGCCTCTCTATCTACCAGTTGCCAACAGCCTTTGTGCTTCCTGAATCCTTTTTAGACATTCTCAATCGTTACAAAGATCACTTGGAAAGTCTGGAAATTGGCAAAGTCCATTTTAGACACCAAACCCATGGTATTAAGGTAAAGTGTTTAAAATCTCTAAGACAACTTTGACTAAAAGAATTGACTATTATAGTTTGCAATATTTAACCAAAATAATCTAAAGCAGTGTCTTTTTTTTTTCTAGGTCATGAGAGCTATTGATGGAATGCCTAATCTAAGATTACTTGGCATGGGACTGGCTGCCTGGCCAGCATATCCTCTTTCACTTCCCTGTTTAGAAGTACTCAAGGCTGACATGTTTAGCGAATGGGTGTCGTCAGTGTTAGAATCTAGCAGGAAGACTTTGAAGAAAGTAATGGTAGATGAAATCCCTGAAATCGTTGCGGAACAGTTCCTTTCCAACTGTGAGAATTTGGATGAGTGCATCATAACATTTTCGTCACTTCAGCACTTAAATAATATGGAGCGTCTTCACAACCTCACACTTCAGATACCAGAATCAGTTGACGAAGATTTGTTTGACACCTGCTCTCCGATTTTGTCAAGAGTTACTTATCTACAAGCAGAAGGCAAAGGGGGTGAAAAAGATCATGAATTATTGGTGCTGCTTGGAGACCGTTGCACAGCACTCAAGAGATTGACACTTCGAGGCTGGGGCAGAGAAGCTGGAAAGGGCTTATGGATGAGAAGCTTCAGAAATGTTGAGTGGTTGACACTGGACTTTACATTTCAGTTTCGCCGTTCCCTTGTACTCAGATTGGTCATGGGACACATGCCCAAGCTAAGAGTTCTGTGTTTTGAAGATCAAGAGGTAAGGGTCTTTGAAATTGATTTCTTTTGTTTTGATTGTTTGTTTTTGGTACCCTGTTTGCTTTTATAACTTGACTTTTTTTTTTGCCTAGGGAGAACATGGTACAATTTCAGATTTGGAAAAACTTCAGGCCATGCGTCCAGAACTTCGTATTGAAGGCAGCTGGAAAGAAAGTGTGCCACTAGATTACAATAATCTACAATTATGGCCACAACAATGAATAAACTCCATCAAACCAACTGGCAGAACTGAAGATTGTGATAATAGTTTTATAATTTATTGATATGTTACTATCAAATTATATACGTACTTGTATGATTTGACTTGATTTTAAGAATTTAAGAATGTTATGAGTTTTCATTTCATCATTTTAGAAGAAAAAACTTTGTTTCCAAACTTACAACTGTGTAAATTTTGTGTGTGCTTCAAAGGAGAATCAATGCCATAACACAGAGGCTGCAGACATCATTGATTTTTAATGTGTGCCATTCTGGCAAAATCAACCTCTGTTCTAAAGGAATGGCAGAACAGACAGGAATGCTGCAGGTTTTCCCTGTAAGCGCCAAGACCATTGAACTCATGTAATGTATGTTTAAAAATTGACATTGATGTTTCGTAGCTGGTATAAGTAGTATTTAACCACCAGTATTGAAATAATTTCATGTGCTTTATGTATTGTATGTTCTTTTCAATGAGACGTAGAAAGAATTACATGTTAACATTACCACATATCAATTATGGCTAAATATGAATATTGTTGTTGATTTCTTGGGTTACATATTCTATTGGATTTTTGCAAAAATGCTTACTGCACTAGAAAAAATATTCATTGATTTTGTTGACAAACATCTATATTACAGTATATCTGTTGTTTGCCTTTCCTTCGTAGATTGTAAATTGCCATTTTTACTTTGAAAGTCATGCTGTAATGGCTACTTTTTATTTGTCAAAGATCTGATTTGTAAAAGTTTGTCTTAAATCCTCTTCTTGATGTGTAGATTACATTGATATTCTATCATTAGACACCTGTTACCATTCGAAGTAGGTTCTTTGTGTATAATTGTTTCTGTAGATGTGTATTGTAGATCTGTTTCTGTGTGCCCATAAAATCTTGTGAATCATGCTGTGACTTTGTGATGGCATCCTAACAAAAGAACATTAAGTGAGAAATTCTTAAATCTGGCTAGGCAATGCTGCTTTGCTTAGTATGTAAACTTCACAGGATTCTTTTTGTTCTAAAATGTTGGCATGTTATTACGTCTTGATTGTTTTGTATCTCTGTTACCTGAGCTTGGGACAATTTCTCTCTTCCAACTTACCAATTGCTTTTGAAATAAAATTATCATGGAACTGAATTAATGGAAAATGTATAACTTATTTCCGATAATAGATAAATTTTACCCCCTAAAAAACATGGAAGGAATTCAAAAAAGACTAACATGAAAGGGACAGAAATAAAATGTGGACCAGTTTATTGGAAGTTATAGTATTTCCACAACTTTGATTTATGAACAGAACTGTTACAACATCAATAGTCATTCAAGTACTAGTAATACTTAACACACTTTATTTACACAAGAGACACAAATTCATTTCTAAGCTGAGGGCTCCGTCTTTTCATACATTCAATTTGCAATGCTCACAATAAAATCCGTTAAAGCTATAATTTTTTTCTGTAATGGAAACAGGCAGTTCCTGGAGAGAAAATCATGAAAGAAATTGACCTTCCAAATTTTGGTATTTGAACTTATTGTGAGTCTTAAGTGCAGTAGACAAGATCACCCAAGTCGAAAACAAATTTAAGGTTTTAATTTCCATTAACAACTTGCCTTGCGGCCTTCTCAAAACACTACTCGATTAATTATAAACGTACAGTAGGAAAGGGAAAGGTCGAGGTAGGTAACAAATAAAGAAATATCAAAGCACACATTCACGCTCCCTTACATATCTACAAAAGCGACAAAGTATTGCTACATTACACGAGATTCGCCGTAGGAAATCCTGCTACGACACTCAAAATTATAAAAATAACAGCGTTTTTTTTTTAAAGACCTCGCACAGAAACACTAGTAATACCACCCAGCCACCCATTGAAAGAAAAACCAAGGTTCGAACAAGCGAAAGAAACCCGCCCCGTCCGAGTAGGTTGGGTTGCCTACACCAGGGGTTCCCAGGCCGAAAAGCCAAAATATATCTTCGCGGGTATCTACGGGTCAGTTCTTTTTCAAATGATTGGTGTAATCACTTCGAAAAAGCACTACAACAAAATAAAATGAGTGTCAATGTTAAAGACTACAGAGAAATAGGCTAAAACCCTGTCTCAGAGAAACTTGACTGCCTCGTTTACTATGTAAGAAAGAAGGCCCGACTCAGAGCAGTATTACTGAAATTACAACGTAAATAAGAGAAGATGTCAGTGAGATACTGGTTTTGATTTGAAAATGCATCGATTTCCAACTTTGTGCGCCCAGCGCCACATTATATATGATGATGATGATCAGACTTACAAATTTAAAAATATTAATATTGTGCAGTATGTACATCCGTGAGGAATTTCAAACATGAGAGGATTCCGGAAGACAGAAAATTTCGTACGTCAGAGAAAGTTTCCCACGATTTTGTGAGGAGAGAGAGAGAGAGGAGGGCTAGACGAGAGGGGGGAGGAGGAGAGAGGGGAGGGACCCTCTTCCTCACCATTAGACCTGAATTTCGCGCGTTACGTGCTGTTAGAACAAGACATTCAAATGTTTCAAAAATAAAATTAAAAAATAATCTACACGACTAACATTGGGAAGAGTAGAAACACACGTTGAAACAAGTAAACAGGTAAAATGGTGGCAAGTATTGCCAACACATTCGACTTCGACTGCGCTGAACCGGCTGCCTGCGGCTCGGCGTATCCACGTTGTCCACGACTCCTGATGTGTGACTTCATGGCCCCGAGCACCACAAGGTAGGCAAACCTTGGCTCCAAGAGTTTCTTAAGATTGGCAACTTGACGCCTCGAGGGCCCCAAGGCAGGCAACCCTCGACCTTGGACTGGACGCCCCGAGTGCCTCAAGGTAGGCAACCCTAGGCGCCGCGAGCGCCACAACGTAGGCAACCCTTGGCGTACAGTTCGCCCAGCGCAGTCGGAGTGGCTCATCAGGCATCTCTATCGAGATCTCTACACACTAGCACAGCACACTGAACGAGTCCCCCACTCTAGAGCCCCTGGAGCCGCTAGGCCACCAGGGCCGTCCCCAGTTGAGGTCCTCCACTACGAGATCAGGTTGGTTGGTGACTCTGAACAACTGGAACTTACACAATTTTAGGAATCGACTAAACACTTATTACAAGAAAGGCGTCCGGGGGGACGCCCAGGGAAAGAGATGCTGTCGGTTCGCGCGGATGGCGGGGTGAACACTGAACACGCGGCCGACGCACCGCGCACCTCGCCGAACGGCTGCCGCCAGACTTGCCTCGCTTCGATTGTCATTCGTGAATTTGTCTCGCTGACGCAGCGCCTCATCGAAGGATGGTGCCAAGTGGTCGAAAACCCCGGGCACTGAGCAGGCCGAACTCCTGATGTACAGCAATCTACGAATTTGAGAGGAGGGGCTCCGGGTTAAGGCGCAGGGATGCTAGCGCACGTCGGTTTTGGACCACCTGGCCTCGACATCGTTCTCGCGCGGCTCGCTCGACCCCTCATTTTGACAATTTTGACGATGGAATCCTAGCTTTTATTGCTTTCGAGCCTCAAGTCTGACTCTGAAGACTGATTGTCAATATTATTACCGTCTTCGTTATGTATTAAACAACGGATGAATACTACTACTTTAGTCTTGTCACGATAAAGCGACCGATTCCACATCAGGGAATTAAGTCGACAAGCGTATTAAACATCAGTACAACCCAGACACACCACATGAACTTTAAAAATTGTAATTTCTCCAGTTGGCCTGGTAATGCGTCTCTGCACTTCTCGTCCTTCACGGCTTCCGCAAGCGGAGACGGCTTGTCTCGAGATCGGAAGCAGTCACTGAAGGCGAGGCGAAGAACAACCCCCGTCCCAACGGTCCCTGCACAGCTTAGAGTCTCTCCGCGCACTCCGCGGAGTCTCGGCGTCAGGCGAGCTCCGTCCGCGTGCTGCCCGACTTGTCCAGCTGCACCATGGAGTTGGCGAGGTGCTGGTCGGGGTGTCTGCCCGAGCCGAGGCCTTGGCCGAGGCCGGCCGCCGAGCTGTGGCCGTACCTCTGGCCGAGGCCTTGGTAGGCGTACGCCTGCTGCGAGTAGTACGGGTCGTGGCCGAGGCCCTGCTCGGGGCCCTGGCCGGCGCCCTGCCCGGAGTGCCCGGAGCCATGGCCGTGGTACAGCAGCGCGTCGTCGTAGTCCACCCTGGCGGCGCCGCTGCCGACCTCGGACCACTGGCCGGACTGGCCGGGCTGGCCGGCGTCGGACTGCTGCCGGTACGGCCGGAAGCCCACCGGTGTCGCCGTCGGCGCGGTGGAGGCCGTGTACCACGTGCCCACGGTGTCGTAGCCCTGGTACGAGTTGTGCGTCCACGCCGAGACCGCGCGCCCGGGGTAGCTGCAGAGGAAGGAACAGAGGAGAGTGTCAGTGCGGTGGCGATGATGGCGAAGGCGGCAAGGCGGCGATACCCCGCGCCGCGGCGCCTTGACGGCTTGGGGTTCCATCCTTCCGGAACGAGGCCAGATAATGAAAAATTCAGCAGCCCCGACGCACTAAGGCGAAGGGGGCGGGCGAGCGGGAGCTGAGCGGTCGGCTGCGGCCAATATCGGGCCGCGCTCACGCTGCCCACGCCTCGCTTGGCCGCGCCGGGCCGGGCCGCGCCGCCGGGCAGTCGCCGTTCGGCATTGCTACCGCTGTAGAGACTACGGAAGCAGGGCGGAAATCAGGGCCGAAATGTATTTCGACGAAGCGCGCTAATGTCATGCACTGCGGGGATACTAACGGTTGGCCGTAGAGGCTCTGCAGCCCCCCCGCGGGGCCCATGGACGCCACAGCGGGGGGCACGCCGACGGGTCTCTGTTCGGGCACCCAAGCCAGGTTCGTGCGGCGCCAGGCTGCGTCATGCGAGGTGGTGTTGGAGGGGTACTGACTGGGGTGCTGCGGGGGCCGGGGGCCGGCCGCACCCCGCGCGCTCGAGGACGCCGAGGACGCCAACGCCGCGCCGTGGGTCAGCACCGCGTGCTCCGGCTTGACCCTGGCGCCGGCCCTGGGCGGCGAGGACAGGTGTGAGTGTGTGAGGGCGGACAGGGTCAACACACTGTCTACTCGGCAGGCAGCAAAGGGGCTGAGAAAATGAAAACGGCACCCCCCAGAGTGGGCGCTGAGTCTGCTGATTACCTGGGCACGGCGTCTTGGTAGTGCCTGGGAGAGGCCGTGCTGCCGACGCCCCGCTGCAGGTCCCTACCGTCGTGCTGCTCCCGGTCGCGCTGGGCCATGGCCGCCAGGGCGCGCTCCTGCTTGCAGCGGTCCCACTCCCGCACCAGGCTCCGCATCCTCGCCTCCTCGCGCAGCCGCTCACCCTCGCTGTCCGGCTCCAGCTCGGGACCCTGCCGAAGACGAATGTTGCTGACGGCCGTGCCGAAGTCGATTGAACCAGTTACACAGGATGCTCGGTACTCACGCTCTCGACCTTCATGTCCAGGATGCGGAAGAAGTCCGTCTGGCTGGCGGACACCTCTCTGCAAGCACAACAAGCCGTGAGCGTGGCCGCCCAGTGGAGCTGCACCGGGGTTGGCGTGAAAGTCCTTACATGTGCGGCGAGTAGGTGTGCGGCAGCAGCGGCCCGGGGGCGTTCTGCGCGAGCTGACGCAGCCGCGCCGCCGCCGCCCGCGAGGACTCGTCGTCCGGCTCGCCGGCCGCCGAGGCCGAGGCGCCGCCGCCCCCGCCGGTTCCCGCGCCGGCCCCGGCCGCCGCGGCCGCCGCCACCGCCAACAGGGCGGAGTTCTCGTCGTCGGCTGCGGCACCCACGCCCGCGCCCGCGCCCACGCCCCGGCGGGGCACCGGCGCCGCGTCGTCGGCATCCTCGTCTGAACCCGCGTCCGAACCTGGCGGCAGAAAGCAGGGTTTGGTTGGAAGCGCTGGGAGGGTAGCGGACGCCACGGACGCATGGCATTGAAACAGGAGCAGAGCAGCACGCCGCCCATTCTGGCGGCCATCCTGGCGGCCGGCCAAGACAAGCGCCTGGGTTTCGGCAACAGCTGTGCCCGGCGGGACGGCCTACCCTGGACTCTGCAGGCGCTTTGCGCCGCTTGGCGCTCGGCTCAGTTCGGCTCAGTCTGCTCGCTTGGCTCGCGCAACGAGGCGCACGACAGAGGAATTTCAATCAGATTCAGATTTGGAGGAACGGA